GGAGTCCTCTCTTCCAAATTTTAATGAGTAACTCTTCGTTGATCGGAGAATTATTTGAAAGTTGAACTAACTCGCGGTAAAAATCTGATGGTTTTCTATCTCCTAATTCGGATTTTGATAATAATTTATCTAATCTCTTTTCTTCTGACAAGGAAAGTCGACTAACAATTTTATTTTTAATTGTCTCGTACGAATTTCCTTCAGGGGGGTCGTTAATGATATCGACGACATTACTGAAAACTTCTACCGGTAAATGAGCTACTACTAAATGGAATTTACTTTTATCTGAACTAATTCTGTTAATAAAGAATTGACTTTCTATTTGTTTGAACCAAAGTTCAGGTAGATTGGACCAAAAAACGGGTAATTTGATTCGAGAAATATCTTCAATTTCTAAATTATTTGAATTTTGCATTTGGGCTGTAACCTGCTCTATCTGATGTGATGTGAAAATTTCGAATGTAATAAATAAAATCTTTAAATTTAAAATTTAGGCAGATAATTGTATCTAATTCAAAACAACTTACCGTTTACGACTCAATTTATTTCTGTGTCAATTTTTCTGATGTTCTTTCTAAAATTCTTCTGATGTCAGCGGTCTTTTATTGAATGATTTCTATATATTTTGATTCTAACTTCGTTTCCTTTTCTAAATTCTACATTTCTAATTCTCGTAGCTGAATATAAATTTTCTTAAATTTGCATGTCTGGATCGGGGTCACCAATTTGTAGGTAGTAATTTGTACTGATTACGATATAATATTTTATTTATGAACGGACTATAACATGTACATATCAGTTATAGGATTCAACTTGATTGTCTATATATAAAAATGATTGAAGTATATCTGATTGACATTATCATCGACGTCCCTATATATATTAAAAATTCTCAACAAATCTATTGTTTCACGTTACTGAGTCGACGATCAGATGTCTTAGATTATCAACAATTATCTGCGAAATTATTAAAGAGTGAAGAATTCTAAATCTGACAATTAGCAAAGTGAATTGAAACATGACTTCAAAATTATAACGTTGAGGTTATAGTATGTAGCGGATAACTACCGCTACATAACTTCCCTCTCTACAAAAGATAAACGCACATGCAAAAACATCAACTATTAATTGTATTTAAAACGAAAGTACGAACATTATTATTTGGTTTTGGAATATTATCTGGCTCTAATAATGTAAAAGCTGGCTTAAGCCTATCAATATTGACAAATGACTCTTTGCCACGTATTAATATTTTAAAAATCTTATCGTTCCTGCTAACGACCTTATATGGACCCTCGTAGGGCGGTGTTAGGGAGGGTTTAATCCCCTGAACTTTGACAAAAACGTAACTAGCTTTCTCTAACTCAGGAGAAACGAAAGTCTTGGTTGTTCCATGTCTGTTAATTTTACTTGGTTTAACTTTGTTAAAACATTCCTGTAATTTTATCAGAACCGAATGCGTATCAATTGCTGTTTTGAAAATATCCTCTTCTGTTATTGGAATTTGGTGATAAGCTCTGACTAGATCTATTTTTGAAAATATTGTACAATTTTGGCATTTGAAATTGACATCAGAAATCAATGTTAAAGGAAATCTGTCCGGAATTGTTACTTTATTTAAAAAACGGTAATCTCCACACGGGCGCCATTCTCCAGATTCTTTCTTAGGTACCATGTGTAAAGCTGAAGTTACGTATGATGAAGACGGTCTACAAATCCCTAATTCAATCATTTGGTCAAATTCTTGTTTCGCGATTTTATACCTTCCTGGGTCCAAACGCCTAGGTTTACAAAAAGGTAAATTCCCTTCTGTTACGATATGATGCTTGACATTGTGTTTAACAGGTAGGTGGAAATTTGGAGATGAAAAAATTCCAGGATATCGTTTAATTAGTTCCGTATATTTATTTTCAACATTAAATAGCTTAGGGGACATTTCTTCTAAATTTAATTTTATAACTTTGCCAACTGTATTTTGTAAGGTTTCGTTATCTATTATCTTACGATTTTTGAAATCTAAGATTAGTCCAAAATGTGTCAGAAAATCTGCACCTAAAATTGGTTTAGTTACGTTGGCAATAGTAAAAAGAAAGGGAAAACTTCTTCTTAATCCAATATCTATTTTGAGTAATTTCTTTCCAAACGTAGAAATTGTATTACCAGAAGCTGACGTTAGTATGAAGTCAGTATCTTTAATCCCTTTAAATAATTTATTTGGTACGACGCTTATGTCGGCACCACTGTCTATTAAAAAATCCAATTTATTGATTTTATCGAAGAAAAAAAGTCTTTTTGAAGAAGGTCCCAAACCATCTAATGTTGACCTATTTAGTTTTTTGACTGATTTTGAAAATAATCGTGTAACAAACAAGGAGGGCCTGAACACTTTGTCGCCTGATTTTTGAATCTTCTGTGATAATAACATAATAAATTATCCGTTTCGCTTGTTTTGTATGAACTACTATTGGGCTTAGAATTGTTAAAATTATGATTGGTGCTACTGGGCTTTGGCCTATAATAATTTTGGTTATTAAAAAAATTAGAGGAATTCGCATTTTGTTTTTTCAATGCGTCTATTTGGTTTTGAAAAGATGCTTGTCTCGTCATAATCTCATTTAATGAAGATTGGAAATTCTCAGAAAAATCTTTAAGTACTTTTGTCAAGTTTGAGTCGACTTTGTTAACGGTCTCGCATTCGTTCTTATTATTTACGAAATGTGAAGATTCCCATATTTTATCGGCAATGTCTATTAATTCGTTACAAGTAGTTTTTCCCGATATCGTAAGGGAAACTTCAATAAAACTTGGGAGTCCTCTCTTCCAAATTTTAATGAGTAACTCTTCGTTGATCGGAGAATTATTTGAAAGTTGAACTAACTCGCGGTAAAAATCTGATGGTTTTCTATCTCCTAATTCGGATTTTGATAATAATTTATCTAATCTCTTTTCTTCTGACAAGGAAAGTCGACTAACAATTTTATTTTTAATTGTCTCGTACGAATTTCCTTCAGGGGGGTCGTTAATGATATCGACGACATTACTGAAAACTTCTACCGGTAAATGAGCTACTACTAAATGGAATTTACTTTTATCTGAACTAATTCTGTTAATAAAGAATTGACTTTCTATTTGTTTGAACCAAAGTTCAGGTAGATTGGACCAAAAAACGGGTAATTTGATTCGAGAAATATCTTCAATTTCTAAATTATTTGAATTTTGCATTTGGGCTGTAACCTGCTCTATCTGATGTGATGTGAAAATTTCGAATGTAATAAATAAAATCTTTAAATTTAAAATTTAGGCAGATAATTGTATCTAATTCAAAACAACTTACCGTTTACGACTCAATTTATTTCTGTGTCAATTTTTCTGATGTTCTTTCTAAAATTCTTCTGATGTCAGCGGTCTTTTATTGAATGATTTCTATATATTTTGATTCTAACTTCGTTTCCTTTTCTAAATTCTACATTTCTAATTCTCGTAGCTGAATATAAATTTTCTTAAATTTGCATGTCTGGATCGGGGTCACCAATTTGTAGGTAGTAATTTGTACTGATTACGATATAATATTTTATTTATGAACGGACTATAACATGTACATATCAGTTATAGGATTCAACTTGATTGTCTATATATAAAAATGATTGAAGTATATCTGATTGACATTATCATCGACGTCCCTATATATATTAAAAATTCTCAACAAATCTATTGTTTCACGTTACTGAGTCGACGATCAGATGTCTTAGATTATCAACAATTATCTGCGAAATTATTAAAGAGTGAAGAATTCTAAATCTGACAATTAGCAAAGTGAATTGAAACATGACTTCAAAATTATAACGTTGAGGTTATAGTATGTAGCGGATAACTACCGCTACACTTTATATAAGTAATACACGTTCTAAAAAAAATATTAAGGTGGTTTTTAATCATATTTTCAATGATATTGTTAAATCAATGGCGCCTCCGATCCCTTCATGAAAACAAAAACGTTCAATTGAAGAGTCAACAATGAAGTGGCGGCAGGTATAGTGTCACCGACGATAAGGAGTCTACGGTTGACGCGTCTCAATGCTCGTTTGTTTCGTCCTTAATGCCCTTTATCCGACACCTGCTACGACGTACTGTCAAAGGATTTGCCCGGATTATTCCGAGCTTGCATGTAACACGTGCACTCCTGCCGGTAATTTAACGTACGTACCGCTACATCAAATCTGCCAGTCTATACATCATTGTCATATGTGCATACTGCCGTTGTCTCCGGCGTGTAAACTATGTTTAATTGTGGTAGGTACACGTAAATATAAACGCGTAATTGTTGTAGCTCCGTAGAGGTAGTGGATTTGCTTATGAACAGTGAAAGCATCACTCTGATGTTCATACAAAGTTCATACAAAATTAGCAAGAAAACTGTTAAGAATTTTGGAGCTGTATATTCTACTTTTATTACTCTATATAAGTACTCTAGTCTTTTTTTCACTGCCGAGTTCATGTTAGTAAAAACTTAATTTGTACCTCACACAAATTCATCTCCCAATTTGCTTGTAATCGAAAGCGACCGGTAGTGGTCTTCGATTTTTTTTCTATTTTCGGGTTTATCGTTTTTCCGATTCCCGCCAGGAAGCGACTCAATCAGGCCCTTTATTACATCCGATTGCGAGAACACTTTCTCCTTACGCTGTGACAGTTACTGCGCCAGAAGGGCATTACGCTGTTTGCGGAAAAAATCTTGAGCAGGAGATTCGCCCCCTGAAGATGACGTTTAATTTTGGCGTATTGTTAGAAACAGGATATTGTGGAGAGACAGCGCGTATTCCTCCTAAATTGATTTCTTAATGTCACTTTCATCTTCGATTATTTTTTTAGCTAGATTAACTGTTCGTTTGGAAATTATTTCTCTTGATACTGATCACGTTTATTACAACACAATTAAATTCTTTACAAAAAGCATTTTCTTTGTAATCAAGTCTTAAAAAGGTATAATAATTTGTTTGCAGGAAGCGCGACAAATTTTGCAAAACCGTCTACAGTGGTGTCCTGACTCTCACCGAGTGCCACGACCTGTTCAACCTGTCCCAGAACAACATCCTGTGGGAATCCGAGGATCCTTTGAATATTTTCGAGGATTCCAGCTGGGCCAAAGGCGGGCCGAGAATATTCAACAATACCGACGATTCGAACCGTACCGGCGGCCCGGAGAACGCAGACAATACTTTAGCGCCTGTTTTAGCGCCATTCAAATTGTGGCAGACCATTTTGATAGCTATATCCTTGGGTATTTGTATAATATTAACGGTAGCGGGAAATATTCTGGTGTTGCTGGCATTCATCGTGGATCGAAACATCAGACAGCCTAGTAATTATTTCATAGCTTCGTTGGCTTGCACTGACATGCTAATTGGTAAGTGTATCCAATTTTAATTAGCTTAGAATATCGAATGTGCTGGCATGAAATCGAGTGTTTCGATAAATAATTTTAAATGAGATTTGTATTAAAATAAAATCCCTCGTTCTGTGTACCTAACAACTCGAATCAGTGGGTAACTTTCGAGTTTCCCCCCAATGTTCGAGGAGTCGCTGTAATCTCCGAAATTCTTTTAATCTCTGACACACGAGATCGTCTAAAGAAAGTTGAATTAATCATTCCAGCAACAAGCAAACTCTGCAAAAAAAGATTAATTTAAGAGGATTTTTGTTTGATCCTTTTTAAGTGTTTTCTTAAGCAGCGGTTATCTTTCAATAGGCCGTGACCCGATGAATTTACCACATTTAAACAGTTCTGACCAAAGGGAAAGTTATCCTATAGCAAAGCAATAAATATTAAAAGGTGATTAAATACATTAAATAGGTCACGACTTTTTTGTATGTTGAACAACATTTTATAATACATAAATTTATTTCGCAGGAACAGTTTCAATGCCTTTCTACACGGTGTACGTCCTGATGGGCTATTGGAATCTGGGCCCTTTGTTGTGCGACCTGTGGCTTTCAGTAGACTACACAGTCTGCCTAGTATCGCAGTACACCGTACTATTAATAACGATAGATCGATTTTGCTCGGTTAAAATAGCGGCGAAGTATCGAAGTTGGAGAACGAAACAAAGAGTCATCTGGATGGTAACCATAACGTGGATTATACCGGCGCTGTTATTTTTTATCAGCATATTCGGATGGGAGCATTTCACCGGCTACAGGGACCTCTTGCCCGGAGAATGCGCCGTGCAGTTCCTAAAGGATCCCATTTTTAATACGGCACTAATTATCTCGTACTATTGGACTACGCTCATCGTACTTTTTATTCTATACGGAGGTAATCAAACGAACAAATCTTTAGATGCGAATTTTATACCGAACATATTGTTGAATTAAATTTTATCAGTGTAGAAATTATGATAACAGTTCACATAAACTGTAACCATTTTTAATGAACTAGCACCATGTATCGTATCTTAAATAACGATCTCTTCTTTAGTAGAAAAAGTGCGCCATATATGGAATACTATAACCAGATTTATTTATATTAAACAATTCCTTGACCATTTAGTTAAGAAAATAAATAAGAAAAAATAAGAAAAAATAAGAAAAAATAAGAAAATAAATAACATTTTCTAAAGTAGGTATATCATTTTTATGAACTTTCAGAAAGTGAACATAATATGCACCACATCCAGATTTTTTCATTTCTAGAGTATAATTGACTAATTCATCTTCCAATTCACTTGGTAATGTTGATTGTATCCCAAGTTTTTGGGTGGTGATATCATTAAGTGATTTGTTTTGGGTGTATGAACTTAATACAATTAATTGCAAGATGACTCACCTTCCTCGTGGTCTTATCTACTTTCACAAAAAATAGTATTTTTTGGATTAAAAACTTCCAAAGTTCGCTAGAAAATTAGATCGCTCGTTGCAGAAAACTAAAAAAAGCTGTCTTAAATATATGCATGCATCCTGGATCACTGCAAGCGACAGATGGGCCAAGGGAGGAGTGATGCTTAGTGTGATGATCATTTACTCGATATAAAGCACGTTTTTTTATAAAATGGAGATGGTCTATGTTCCAAGACCGGTCCATATTTGGCGCACTTACTCTACGTTATTTTATCCCTTTATGGGTTATTTATTTAAATTATTCTCTTGCATTTAGGCATTTACAAGACGGCGTTCGACATGCAGAAAAAGAGCGAGGCGAAGCAGCGCAAGATGCAATCCATGGTGGCTTTGAGCGCCGGTGCCATGAGCGGAATGGCGGGTCGCGCGGCCGGCATCGGCCTCTCCAAAACCCAAAGCAATTCGGAAAGCCAGGAAAAACCGCCCCTAACTTTGCTCAACGCCTCCGTCGTCAATGAGAAGCCCGACAGAAACACCTTGACCGTGCTGGACTCCTACAGGGCCGGCGGTTCGGCGGATTCCAATTCTAGTACTACAACTAACAGCGCTACCACTACCACAACCACTACGACCACGGCTTCGTCTGCTGATAAGAAAAATCTCTGTCCACCTAAAGGTGTGTAATCTTTTAAAAATTAACAAAGGAGTGACGGGGATTTGACTGTTCATAGGTAAAACGTCCGTGGTGCAGGAAAGTGGAGATAAATCGGAACGTTCCAGTAGTCCGGCGTTTGAGTCGGACGAAGACAGCACAGCTCCAGTTCAAGAGAAAGGAACCGAGGAAAAGAAGAAGGAAAAAGAGAAAACCCAAGCTGCAACGAACAAGAGAACGTCGATAGTAGGAATCGTAATGCAATCTAGTGCTCCGTTACACGTCTTCGGCGGTACTAGAGTCAATGGGGATCTTTCACCTGGAAAGGGAGCTGTCAAAAATCAGGAACAATTGGTAGGACAATCATTTATAATGTAAAAATTATTAAATAATTTGTGTTGTTTGTTTTAGCTTCGACCGCTTCCTCAGAAGCCTCAGCTTCTCCAAATTACCGAACGCGAACCGCTAATCGATTCAAACAAATCAAAACATTATACGGTAGGTGTAAAACCCCAGCCCGAACCCCCCTGTACCGCCATTGTAAATAGCAAAAGCTGCGATAGTACCTTACAAGCCTCAGTAGATAGTAAAAGCAAAAAACCCTCCAGTACGAAATTGAAAGCCCAATCTCAGAGTACCTACGACCTGTTAGTAGGTCTAGATGGCGCAGATTTGAAGTACATGGACGAAAGCTCGGTAGTCGTACCCTCCCCGACCTTAGAGAATCCCCAATTGAGTAACTGTAGTTCCCCTCGATTTGTGCAGGGTGAGCAAAAGATGCAAACCGAGGTGACTATCAGCGCCGATCGGCCGGTGACCTCCGTGGTCGAAGACGACCGAACGGGGGAGATAACCGAGGACAGTTCGCCCATGGGAGGAATCTCGGCCATCAGCCAGACAGGTAAAATCGCCCCCTACACCGCCGCCGCCTATAACAATCCGAAATTTTGCGTAGATTCGGTGGACAATCCGAAACGAGTTTTCGTCAAATCGATAGGGAAACGACTCAAAGCCAAAAAGAAAACGTTAGGGCCGTTGGGCTTCGGGCGGCAGAAATCCAAATCGGAGAATCGCGCCCGAAAGGCCCTGAGAACGATCTCGTTCATTCTGGGGGCGTTCGTGGTCTGTTGGACGCCGTTCCACATATTCGCGCTGGTCGAGGGGTTTTGCACCAATCCGCCTTGCATTAACGGCCACCTCTTTATGTTCTCGTATTTCTTGTGCTACGCGAATAGCCCTTTGAATCCCTTTTGCTACGCTTTAGCCAATCAACAATTTAAGAAGACTTTCACTAGGATTTTGAAAGGGGACTTTCATCTCACTTAAAAACGTTTTAGAAAACTACCTTCCTAACTCTCTGTAACGTGTCTATTTGGATAAGTAACTCTCTAGGACACCGATATTTAGTAAACCGAATACTTGGAGAACTCTTCGAGTTTCTAGTAATGTAAAAGAAGATGCTTCCAAAAAAACTATAAATGAAAATTTCCCACCTCATTTTTTTAGTCAATCTAGGTAGATACTTTTTCATTACCAATCTAGGTATGCGTACAATAAAATTATGAAAATTAATGTTGATGTAATTTTGAAAGCAGCTTTTATTCTCTCGTTGAGTTTTTTGTTGATAATAAAATTTAGTCTAGGAAAAATAGATAGGTACTAGGAAATTAAGTGTCTACGTTGCAACCTGGCTGTTAACCTAAACTTAATTACGAAACCTTATACCTACCTGGTACCTATGAATAAAAAGTTGTTAAAATCGCACAATTACTAATATGTCCCGTGGAAGTAATAAAATTCCATGCCTTCGAAGGATTATCACAAATATTTAGTAATTGTGCGATATTATTGGGTAAATCCAGTTCTAAGAACATCTACCTATATCAAAAAGCACTGCTATTAAAAAAACGGCGCTAATTGTAAGAGAAAAATCAATAATATTAATTAGTAATATAGTAAGAAGACAATAATAGATAATTCCGAATTAGACTTTAAATCAAAATGAGCTTTAATTTGAGAAAATGAAATATTGTAATCACATCGGTTTGTTTGCAATTTGAAAACTTACAAGTAAATGTATATTTGTATTGTAATATAAACGTAGGTAAGCTGTACAATATTTAGGTCTTACAATAGCGAAAAGGAATAATTAGATGTAATAAAAGGTGAGATCGGCATGCTGTATATGAGCCCTACAGCATGTTGATATCTACTTTTTGATTAAATAAAAATAATTTTATAAAAATATCGGTATTTTTATTGTTACTACTTATCCTAAAGAAAAATGGGCAAAATCCTTACAGATCATGAACGAGTTCTTAGATGAATTTGTAGATATTTTGAGAATAATTTATTGATGAATTTGAGGACATAGATTCCTGAAGAACGAACAACGAATCATAGACAAAATAAAAGACAAATAAATCTTTTTTTCTCTATGCAACGAATATTGAATGTAGACCGAATAGCCCTAGTAAATACAGCCGTTCAAAAAGAGAAGAAATGTCAGTTGACGTATGATTTGACGTTGACAGTTGACATTGACAAGACAATTGACAGATAAAAAATGCGTTTGTGTAATGTGTAATGTAAATATTTTTATTTAAAACAATTTACAATATTCACATGTTATTCATTCTATTAAGGTAAAAATTAAATGAGTATTGTATAACTTTAATAGCACTAAAAAATGCATGGAATTAATTCGGGTTTTTAGTGTTAGAAGTGAGGCTATGTAAAATCGGTCTACTTTACAGGTAAAAAAATATTTTCATGTTCGAAAATGCCCGCTCCAATTCGACCTAAGGGGTCAAACAGCGGCAGCAGGACCCCGACGGTAGCTCCGATGTCGGAACGACAACAAATGGCATTGCTGATGCAGATGACGTCGGGGAGCGAGTCGGGCTCGCGGAGCCCGAGTTCGAGCTCCTCCCGATCGAGGGAGCGCAACGAAAGAGGTGAAACTCCATTGCATTTAGCTGCTATTAAAGGGGATCTTGAGCAAGTGTGTAAATTGCTGGCACACCGTGCCGATCCTAATGTAGCTGATTTCGCTGGTAATTTTCAGTTTATTACTACATTATGAATTGCTAAATTGCTACATTCGAATCTTGAGTAATGTTGGATATTTTATACGTTTACGTAATGATTCCATCGAACGTAGTCTATATTTATTTTGGAATATTTGGGTATACAGGGTGTTAATTGAGTGCCGATACTTTAGGATGTGAATTTTTGGCTGATTTTAAGAGTTTATATCAGTTTATATCAATATACAGGTTGCTCCATTTTTGATCGCAACTTAGGTTATATAGGCCATGGGTGCGATAAAGACAACTTCCATTAGACACTTACAAATGAAAAACAAAGAGTGTCTTTGTGTCATTACAACTTTTCACTCTGACAACTGTTATTTTAATAACCTTTCTTTGTTTCACTCATAGAAATGACCATATTGCAATCGGAAATGGAGCAAGGTGTATATTGATATAAACTTTTTCTTCTTAAAATCATTCAAATATCCACATCCAGAACTATCGGCATTCAATTAATTATCACCCTGTATAATTTGGCAGCTTTAATTGAAGTAGTGTAGGTAAATAGATACACTGCTCAAAGCTTCTGATATTTTATAGATATTTACAGGGTGATTTTTAATTTTTGTTTTAACAAGGTGTAGTGTAGAGTCTACATTGAAAACTATAAAAAGAATGACAAATTTTTTTAAGTAATTATTGACCAAAATCAGAAAGTTAACTTTGAAAGGATATATCTGCTTATTTTCTTCAGTTATTATACAGGATGTCCCGCCTAAGAACCGATACAGAGGAAGTGCGCGTAGGTGGGCTCAAAATAATATGTTGTTTAATTCAACTTAACTTAATACGAAACTCAAACTTAAAACAACTAAATTTGGTGTACATTATGAGCGTACTAAGAGCATTAATCGATAGTTAGGAGATAGGTCGGAGAGATCAAACTAGTAAAATTCGTTCTTTTATTACTACACTGTTAAAAATGTTGCTAAAAATCGCCCTGTATATTACTCTTAAATTTTAACACTATATTAAATATACATAAAAATAGTTTACTGAATATGTTGCAGTTATTAACTACATCTAGGGAAATAAACCAAAAATAAATTTTTTCTTAATAATTTTCATATTAAATAATTTACTTTGTATACCTACATACCAATTTTCTTTCACTGACCACTCTTTACTGGACCTTTAAATTCAGAGTTCAAAATAGTTTTACTCAGTCACTAAGTTCCCTTGTCGCTTGTTTCATCAGCTGCAAATACTTACTTTCAATGCAATTCCATAAAAATCTTATAAAACACATTTAGCTAGTTTAATTGCAAATTTCTCGTGTTGCAAACGCTCGAACAATTCCGTCCCGAGCGAGGCAAACAACCCGCAGGTATTCGTTTTTCCCGTAAATAAGTCATGGCGGCATGTAAAAAAATTCTCGAATTATCTTTTAATAATATAGACATTGCGATAAGTATGTAGTTGTTTTTCATATCGCTGTTATGCGGTGACTAATAAGGCTTTGTTGAAATTATTTTTGAGCCTTTGGCATTTCGCGAGTTTACTAAGACCACACCGATTTGCTTTTTCTATTACCGTTGACATGAGTAAACTGAAGAAGTTGAGAACTAAATTCAAAAAGTCAGGTAGGTTTTTTGTGCGTTTTAACATTGACTTGAAAGTTTAAACAATGTTAACAATTCAATACATGCTTTGGCTTATCGAGTACTCGAATTTGTATTTACAACATAATTGTTTGCGAGCACTATTTCTTTTTAACAAATTCTTGGTAACATTGCAACAACAGTTAAAAATATCGCAGATAATGTCCAACAATCACTGCGTTGTATTTAAAGCCGGTGCCTCTGCAAATTAATCTGTTCTCGCAGGCTGGACTCCGTTGCACGAGGCCTGCAATCACGGTTGGTACGAGGTGGCCTTCCGGCTGTTGCAGTCGGGGGCCAACGTCAACGCCAGGGGCTTGGACAACGATACGCCTCTGCACGACGCCGTGATCAACAGCCACTTGAAATTGGTGAAGTTGCTGGTCGAACGAGGCGCCGATATCTACGCCAAAAACTCGAAGGGAAAGACGCCTTTGGACGTCGCCCCCGCCAACGTCAAACCGTACTTGCTTAACGCCAATTTACCGTTGCCGGGTATGTTATTTATTCGAAATTTTGCTATTTTTTTCTGGGGTTTACTATTAAGAATAATTTGCGATTAGGTTTTGTAAAGAGGCGCGTATTTAGTCCTAATCAATCGTTTGAAGAGCCTCTATAACTTGCTAGTTGTTATGGAGTTACTATGGACATTGTTTGCGTTAAAGAGACTGTTTAAAGCCATTGATTAGCGTATAAATAGAGCGCTGAATACGGACCAGGGTCTCTAGAAATGACGAAGGGGAAGATTTATGGGTCGATTTTGCATGAGAAGTAGGTAGCTAAGGTGCATTTACAAACCCCTTAAGGAAGCATCCCTGAAGATGTTTTGTATTTTATTTCTCTGAAACGGTGCCACAAAAGTTTGAAAGAATTGGTGCATTGATTTTTTTCAATATTAGATTATTTCTTCTGGTTTTGATTTAAAGGTTTTATAAGAAGAGATTGAAAAAAAAAAAAAAGAATAAAGTTCGTACGTTTTAAAATGGCATTGACGTCACGAGCCAGCCTGTTGCTATATTGCCGGGTTGTACTTGAAATTCTTTATATTCTTTATATGACAGATACATTTAAACAAGTCACAAATAGTAGAATTTAAACATGAAAAAGAACATCGGGAGTAGATACGAATTCTCGAGTATTAATTTAACTAAATATATTACACACGCACGAAAATTACACTAAAAACTCACGAAAATCTAAAATGGACGAAATACACAAAAACTACTCGTAAAATTAATAATAAACAGGACAAAGGCAAAAATCCCAGAATCATTTAGAACTGTCTAGATTTATTTAGAACGCTCCAGAATCATTTAGAACTCTCTAGATTCATTTAGAACGCTCCAGAATTATTTAGAACTGTCTAGAATCATTTAGAACACTCCAGAATCATATAGAACTGTCTAGAATCATTTAGAACGCTTCATAATCATTTAGAACTCTCTAGAATCAATTAGAACGCTCTAGAATCGTAGGAGGTAGGTAAAATTATCCTAGTCAAATGGCAGAATTAACATTGGCACTGGGGAAATGTTGAACTGCGTTGGAAATGACTAAAAATGACGTCATTGTCATTTTAAAACGTACGAACTACATTAATAATGAATATTTTTCGATCGATTTCGGGATGGGTTGGACAAGAAATCTTAAGGAGCATGAAAAAATTAAACCAAATAACCTTTTTATAGCATTATTTGTTTCAAAATCGGCCAATTTAGGACGAAAAAAACGTATAACATTTTGATGAGCATTTTTTTCATCGATTTCGAGATACATTCGACAAAAAATCTTTACGAGCATAAAAAAAATAAACGAAACCATCCCTTTGGAGCCTGCTCTGTGTCGCCATCGACCGAATATAACGCAAACAAACGTAGGCAAGTAGGTGAAAATACCGAAAAACGCAACAAGTAACTAGTAAATCACTAGCCAGCATAAAACCGGCGCTACTGAATAATCCGTCAGTGCTCCATCGGTGAGTGCGCTTCGTCCGTCCGTCGCTCTCGGTCCTCCTCCTCTTTCCTCCGTGCGTTTGCGTTCGCGAATCCTCTTTTTGCCCTTTTTGTTTTCCTTTGAGGCTCGGCCGCGTGCCGTTTCTCGATTTTCTTCCGAGACGATCGGTAATCCCGTTCCCGTTTGCTTGGGGTCGGTTCAGTTTCCATTGACTTGCGGGCGTTGTTGTTATTACGCTGGACGCCGGTCGTTACGCCGTTTTTCGACGCTAAATACTCCTTTACGGTCTCTATTTGTATGCGATTAACCACTTAACGTATCGCCCGTTTTAGCCACGTCGGGTAGGTGTATTATGATGATTTATTTTTTCGTCATTAGGTATTTATGTGGGATGTTAATTGAGTATAACGTTGGTAAATCGGGTCATTATAGTGATGTAATTTATTTGTAATTTTAAAGTGCCTCTTGAAATATATTTACATCAATGTCGGTTTTATTAATTATATAAATATTATATTTTAATTCGGATTTAATATTTACATATTTTTATACGTTGAATTAGGGTTAGAATTTAAATTTAATTAACTCTCGATCCTACTCTACTCCTGCACAACGCATTAAATTCAATAAATATGGATTTATTAATTATTATGCGCGAACATGCCTGTTTTGCATTAATAGATGCAGGATTAATATTTCAAACAACGTAATTAAACGAATAAATGCAAATTATACAATTTAAAAACATAATTTTATAAAACAATTTTTCACATTTTGCATACTTTATTTGTGTTATCTTATCTACCGACATTGGATTCATCTCCGAACTCTTCACGAATTCAAATGGAGCGGACCAAGAAATATAATCTCGGATTTCGATTGCAGATTGCAGTTCGAGCTCTAGGCAAGCATCGCGCACATCGCGGGATGACAAAAAAATCTCGAACGCCGGCTCGAGCGATTCGTCCACGTCATCGAACGCCGGCGGCGGCGGGAGCGGTGCTGCCTCGGGCGGCGGTACGTCCTCCGGCAAGCATTCCAAAGAGGATTCGATGGACCTGAAGGGCTCCGCCGGCGCGACGACGGCCTCCGGCGCGCCTGCGGGCGGCGCCGGCGGCTCCGGCAGCGCCGCTGCCGTCGACGATGTCTACGAGTTCAAGTCTTCCAAAGAGGTGAGAAGTCGCGCGAAATCGGGCGATAGAGGTTTTTGTACGGGATTCGTTGTTGTTCCAGGGGGATTCTTCGTCGGACGAGAGAAAACCGAGCGCCGCTTCCGATTCGAATGAGATGGAGGTGGACGAAGGGGATCCGCTCAAAATTACTCCGGCTGCTTCGCAGCCTTCCGAAGAATGCGGCGCTAAAAGGGGATTTTCCGAAGCTAATGAAGCGCAAGAAGAATCAGGCGGTGGTGCCGGCGCGACCGACGACGAAACGAGGCGTAAGAAACGCAAAGAGGAAACTGCGAGGGAAGGGAAAGGGAGCAATCCGAGAAATGCCGGTATGTAATGTTACTTACTTAATATAAAAAATAATCGATTTGTTTGGCATCGAACGTGTGTTGTTGTGATAAATTTCTTAATATTGATATAGGACAGAACAAAGGTCAAGCTAATAAGCAATCAAGTGGAAATCAAAGCAAAACAACCGCCTCGAGTGCTTCTAAAAATAGCGGCGACAAGAAAAGTCCTTGCGCCAGCCCAAAGCTCTCCGGATCCGATCATGAAGTTGAAGACGGCAAATCAGATCTAAAAGTTAGTGAGCTTTGAATTTATTATTTATTAATAGTAACATTTATTATTTTGTCTACAAGGTGAGTTCGAAAGCAATTAACACAATGTTTTGCATTGTTTAACAGCTCCTTGTAGGATGGTCTATCGCTCACCCTGAATTATCGTTTCTTTTCTAGTACACACCTCCACTTACCTTTTGACAAAAAAAGTACACGGAAATTCTGATTTTATTTACCTGCACTTAATATTTTTAACTATTTCATGTTTCTGTATGTAGGTAACACTGTTCTTAACTAGCATGCAAAAATTAGAGAGATTCATCAATTTGGTTGTAGTAGCTGAATGAATCAGTTCATGTCAGTTAGGCTCAACGAATTTTGCAATAGACAAAAATAATGAACAAAGAGTTTGTCTTATATTTTGGGTTTTGAACGGATTTTCGTGGGCGAATCGATGCAAATGCATAAGGTGACTCTATTTTATCAAAAACCCATATTTACGAATGGTAAAAAACTTTTAAAGACAGTCGGGAGATCGCTAAAAACTTGCCTTGTTCCGGACGGTCTTCGACCTCTTCAACCAATTATAACGGCGAGAAAATTAAGGAAATTAAGTTCCAAAATCATCGTGCTAGTATTAGAGAAGTAGCACTGACCTTAACACATCTTCCGTTAAGCCGCTCGATTGATTTTGTTCAATCAATCAGACATGCTGCTCATTTAGGCTCGGCTTGTTTCGATAGAGCTGAGTTTCCTTCAAAAACGATAAAGTCTTCTGGTTCGTGTGAAGATAAAGAGATAGATAAAGATGCTGGTTAATGTGAAGTACCATCGACCAGCCGCTTTACTCATCAGATTTAGCCTCATGTGACTTTTTTGTTTCCCAAGTTCAAATTGCCACTTCGGGGATCCCGTTTTCACTCCATAAATGCCATCAATGAAAATTTGCATAAGGAGCTAAAATCCGTACCAAAAAGGGCCTATAAAAATGTTTCGATAATTGAAAAAGGCGTCTGACTATGAGTATCGCTTTAAAAGGAGCATATTTTGAAGGAGATTAAAGATGTATTAAAGAAGATTAGGAATTTTGCGTTTTTTCCGATTACTTTTTTGTCACTGTGTGTAGCATAGATAATTGTTTAGTATTTTTTTTTTTTGAAAATAGTGTTAGTTAATTTTGGTAGTTACGATAGCGTCGTTTATTCAGGTACCTCCGCTGAAAATCGTCATTCCCCAAACGACCAGTAACGAGCAGGAAACGGGAGCGGGAAGGAACGGCAAAAGCAGCTCCCAGAGATCGCATCAAGCCCTTCCTTATGTCGTTCCCAGTTCCTCCAACACCGAGGCCGCTGAAAAGGACGGAACAGCCGCTATCGCGAGCCCCGAAAGTGCCACTGCAGCTAACAAAAACGACGAAAAGAAAGAAAATAATAGCGGCAACTCCGACGAGGTGATTATTTCCCAATATTTACAACATTTCCACGCTCGAAAGATTCCAAGCACTAGCAAATGCTTATTCAATACAGGTTCAATCGAACACGGAAGTCGATTCGACGCCTTCATCGTCTGCTTCGACGTCGGCCGCCCTACCGCCTCCTCCGGCCCCCGTGGAATTGCACCCGCGCAAGCGGAAAATGAAGCAAAACAAGGAGCACCAGCCCCCGCAACACGCCGAATCGTCCGAATCGTCGGAGACTCAAGTTCATCCACACGAACAGCCCATAACGAATTGCTACCAATTATTTTTAAACATCAGAAAACAGGTAAAAACACCTACTTTCAGTTCCAAATTTGTTATTATTTCTTTATATTATATGCGTTTAGATTGCGAAAAGACGTCGAGGGCTCTTCCCCGTGCAGCCGAAGCCGCCGCAGGGCTTTAAAGACTATCTAATGAACAGATGTACTTACGTCTTGGCAGGCACCGCTCCCACGAGCCCCAACATTAACTACCCTCAAACGTTGCCGCAGTTGATGAAAGACCTTTTTACCGAACAAGAAAAGGAGCGATACAGATTGAGAACACAAGTAATTAGCTCCCATATTTCTGTAATTATAATTAGCTAAAACGAGCGCGGAAGCAGGCAAAATTTAAATGAAAAAATTGTTATGGATGTTTTGTTTATTTCAGCACGTCATCGAAAAAGAGAAGCTGGTATTGTCTGTTGAACAGGAGATATTGCGGGTGCACGGTAGAGCTGCGAGAGCTTTGGCTAATCAATCTCTACCGTTTTCTGTTTGTACGATTTTGGGAGACGAGGAAGTGTACAATCTTATCACACCCGAACAGGAAGAGAAAGACAGGAACGCCAGATGGCGATATAACGGTAAATTATTGTAAAATTAACGTCGAATTTTGAACGCTTGTAAATTGGGCGCAAATTTGAGTACATAATATTTTAATCCTATAGGTAAATTGAGAGCGTAGACTGAAAAGGTTGTTTTAATATGGCAGGTAAATTGGTCACAGGGTCCCCGGGAAAATAAACACAAATGATTTATTTTCTAATATTCTTCAATCATTTTGATGATTGAGATTTTTTGACTATTAAATTCTGTTCTACATTACATTACTTTTTAAAACGACTGGCAAAAATTTTCAATTTCTTTAAAAGTTTGCAATGAATCCCCTTATCTGTATGTTATAAACTCTCACGTAATAAATGTAATATTGCGGTTAATTTACATCCGCCCGTCCGAATTTTCTTTATAAATATTCAGGTTTATAGCATAATAATTTTTTTCAGGTCGATTATTTTTAAGTTGGTTGCAAGACGTCGACGATAAATGGGAAAAAATCAAGGAACACATGTTGTTGAGGCACCACAACGAGGCCGAATCCTTGCACGCAGTGCAAAAAATGGACTGGGAATGGAAACAGAAGGATTTGAATCTTTGCGACAGGAAGTCTACGCTTAAAATAGACGAAACTCACGTGCCTATGGTGCACGTTTCGGACGATTTTGATTTATTGCCTGCTTAGTGTATTTTTCTATATAATTTATTAAAGTATTAAGTATTATTAACTAGTCTGTGATATTCTAATAATTTATTAGGTGTAAAAACAAGAATTCACGCAGGAATCCAAATCACTCGGAAAATGCTTGCCAACACTAGATACTATAGTAATATTGTTGTCAAAAATCGAGACTTTTTTGATTGAATTGTAACATATTCTTTACGAATTTTTGGTGTTTGGCCCGAATTAATTACTTACAATCAAGAAATGGACTTTATACAGCTTACCTTTGCCTCGAAATATCTAAAATTAGGTGTACTCGCTGCGGTTTTGTTAGAAGTACTTGTTATTACAATTGCCCTGTTACCTTTTAATTGTTACTACGAGTGTAAAACCGCCGAAAGGATAAATTTGTACATGGTTTGGATGGCTTGCATAGTTTTGTTTTTTAACGTAGGGTATTTATGCAACATGGTGTTCTTGAATGTAAATTTCAGGTAAGTACTAACTTTTTACAACACGATTTCACCTACCAGTTATAAATTTCGGTGTTTTCTTACAGCAACAACACCGGATTGTCGATTTTTGTAAGTCTATTAGTAGGACTGTTCCTGTTTATTAGCGTTTGTACGACGAACATTTTCCCAATGTTCTGGATAAGCTTTAGTTTAGTTGTACTTGCCGAAATTTTGATATTTACTATTGTTATCTTTATATCCGCCACGCACAGTGCTTTCGATGATTGGAAAATTTTCGTTAAAAAGCAAAGGCTAAGTCTTCAATTCACAGAAGGAATCCCCATTGGCACTTCACATAAGCAAACCACTTACATTATCCCGTTAAAAGACGAGCATGTCCCGCCTATAGATGCCGAGCATGTCCCGGTAACTCCTCGAGGCAATTTAATGACCTATAAACTACGCTAAAAGCATATTGAAATGTACAAACGTTAAGTATTTGTATTAATAACATGTTTACATTCAATACAATTGACGAATTACTCGCAACAAACCTCTTTCAATCGCTTTTTGTTCAGACATTTTAACAACAATTTAGCACGTTTTAGCGTTTCATCAGTATCTGTTACGGGATTTTTCGGGACGGTTTCACATCGAACGGAGACATCGAAACGTACAGTGGATTTAGATTTGTGGGTTTTATTTCTGGCAATTATCGAAGCGTAATTGTCTGGTCCGCAGGAGGCATCGGATAGCATTTTGAAGAAGGAATTTCCACAAGCAACGTGTGACACTCGCAAGTATTTTTGAGTGGAGACGTTTCTTGTAATCGCGTTGCATTCGCAGCCGTTGCTGTCTTGTAGATTTCCTTGGCTAATTATTTGGATTGATATAGATGATGAAGACTCGGTTTGGATTATTTCAGATGTTTTGCTCAAATTCGCTTTGTTAGCTTTGTTTCGGTGTGTAATATTATTTATGATGTTTGGAATGTTTAAATAACCCAATGTTAAAGGATCCTGATTTAGTAAAGGGATATTTTGAATGGTTTCCTTTCGGTAGAAATCATAAGGCGCAAATTGTTGGTTTGCTGGACTTTCGTAATAAATTTCTTCGGGCGTTGTCAGGGATTTGAGGGAATTATATCCGAGTATTTTTTGCCTTTTGGTAGGAACTACAATTAAAGGACCATCGATTTGGGTTAACGATGGGATTTTGACGATAGATATTTTCTCTGGATCGAATGTACCTTTGGGAATGATAATATACTTGATATCACGCATGGTAAAAACACTATAATTTGTAACACGAAATGTTAAATGTGATTAATGCCTATAGATAATGAAATTTATGACAACGCCATTGACATTTTCCAGGAGGTATTATTAAGTATGTAGTTCACTTCAATCAATAATCTTGATTGTAAAATATTTTTATACTATAATTGGGTCCATATTTATAAAAATGAAGCACTTACTTTGAAGTAAAAGGTAAGAGGAAATGTTTCGCTCTGAACCATATTCATAATACCGGCCTTTTTCTTGCAAGGAAACGCTTCAGATAGATACAGTTAATGATACAGAGATTACATACCGATTTCGTCAAACTAGTCGAAATAACTCTTAAATGGTTCTAAACAGTTCTAAATGATTCTGTAGCGTTCTAGATTGATCTAGACCATTCTAAATGATTCTGGAGCGTTCTACACTGACCTATACAGTTGTAAATGGTTCCAGACAGTTCTAGATAATTCTGGAGCGTTCTACATTGACCTATACAGTTCTAAATGGTTCCAGACAGTTCTAGATAATTCTGGAGCGTTCTAAGTGGTTCTAGACAGTTCGAACGTAAATGCACCCTGTCAGCCATAACACACTGGGAAAACACAGCCAAAATACACAAACATTTTAGGTTACAAGCTTGGTGGTGGCTGAGTAGCTACTAAAGAGAATGTGAAAAAATGCTATGTACCTTGATTCCATTTTTACAAGCAAATCCTTTTCTTTTTAAGCAAATGCTTCTTTTTATAAATACGGAAAACATGAAGCCTTTTGCTTTAAAGCAACAGTAGGGTCCTCGGAGCAAACATTTGTTCCTTCACTTCTTTTTATGCATATACCTACCTTGTAACAATTTCTTTAATTTTTGAAAGCCAAGGGTTATGCTTCTTTTTGTAAATACGGCCTATTACCTTTGTGGGTCACACTTATTAAAAAGAATAAAATAATGATAAAATTCACAATATTTTAATATAGGTATGCACATCTTATATTATAAATTGGCACAATAAAAATAACAAAAAATCACATTTTTCGTATTTTGACCAGAAATAAATATTGCCCAAGATATTTCATAATTTTTTCTTGAAGTTTTCTCGCGGTACTTTATATACATATTGTATTCTAGGATATTTCTCAAACCAGTAACATTTCTAATCTCTTATAACTACTTTACATTCAATAAGCATTTGTAAGCTAAAGCATCTTAATATAAAAGAACCATATTATGTATAAAAGTATAAAATTAGTCTCACTATTTACTATAATAAATTTCTAATAGTTTGAAAATGGAATGTAAAAACGCAACATTGTATGTATATCGCTAAAAATTGATCATAAACCCTTTTACAATAAAAATTGCCAAAAATCCATAAAATATGCTAATATACAAGACTAGAATTATCCGAAAGAATTTAGAAATTTCGACAATCTACATATCTGTACGTATATTTTCAACACATGAGCCTTCTAATCCAAGTGATATTTAACAGGAATACCATTTAATCAGCTTCCAGGACGATTTGTGAATAAAATATATAAAACTACCCAATAATCACAACAACAACCGTAAACTAATATATTAAATAACTATATTTATAATTGAGCTGAAGCAAATATATAGAAAATTGTTTAATCAACCAATACTATCCGTTTCTAAACTGTCTTCATACGATATATGCAATTGTTAAAACTTGTGTGAATATATTTGTAATATTTAACAACATTGATAGCTTAAATTAATAGAAGATACATGAAAATAAAGTCCTCATCCTGTTACAATGAGCGTAAAACCGATAAATTTGCTATTATAGTTGTGCTGAATCTATTTAAATTATTTTTCTATCTTTAAGATAATAAATTAATTAGTAATTTGGCCTATCTCCATCATAAAAGAAACAATTTATAGAAACTGAAAAATGCCAATTTTTAGAAACCTACAGAATTAGCCAATCTCCCCAATACATCTAGTTGCTAAGCCTCTAGTAAAAAAATCGCAAGCCTCAAGTACCTCTAGTAGTAATCGAATAACCCCATTTTAAAGTTCAGTAGTCATGTGATTAGTAAGCACTTGAACTCGTTTGGCGTTACAGCTTTTACACAAAACGTGACCGTCCAGTGGATAACAACCTCTACCTTCCGCCTCGGACGATAAAACCAGACCGCAATCCTAAAATTAATTTGATTTTAACACAAGCGAATACATTACAAAACACTATTTACCTCGCACTTGTAACACTGTACATGAAAGCTGTGATCTAATGCTACCACTCGGACGGTTTCTTCTTCACCTGGTTCAGGCATAATGGGCTGTTTGCATACCCAACACCTCGGCGCAAATATCCTGTGCAAATAATTTATTAGTAACGCTATATCAATAGGTTCACATAGCTTACTTATGGAAGTCTTCGATGCAATGCACTCTATTAGTAGCGTCTACAGTGAACGGAATGCCGTCTAAGCTTTTACCGCAAACTACGCAAGAGAAACATCTCGGATGATACGGCTTGCCTGTAGCTCTGAGGATTCTATCTAGAATTGGTTTTTGACAAACGCAGCACTTCTCTAACGTGTTCTGTGCAATAAATTAGTTTAGTTGTAAATCTAAATTGCTGTGTACACAATTTACTCTTACCAGATAATCTTCTTCGCAATAAGGCTTCCCGTCCAAAGCGTAGAAAGGCTTTCCCTGCAGATTTATAGCGCAATGATGGCAAGTGAAGCATTTAATGTGGTACAATTGATCCATCGCCGTACAACCGCTGTTTTCGCCGATAATCTACAACACGCATTCGATATAGTTCGATATGCTCGATTAACACCATCAAAATGTACCTTTTCGCCGCATTTGATGCATATTCCGTAGACGTCCTCCTGGTCGATGTCGCTCTCTTCGCCTCCTCTCATGCCCTGCACGAGCAGGTCGGTCAAGTTATCAACTTCCTGCTCTTTGTTGTGGCCCAAACGGCTGACGGATTGGCTCGGTCCGATCGCGGTACTGCTGCCTCCGCTGACGTACGGCGCGTACAGCGAATAATTGGAGCGGGACGACATTTGACTCGGAGGACGGGGATTTATCGGTTCGTAAATGGACTCGTATGTCGAGGACGACTAAAAAATTTGTTCGCCGTTATTGTAAAATCGTTAAAAAGTGTGCGGCTAGTGATAGGAAATTAAGAGAATGATAATAATGTTGATGTATAGGATGTTTAGTACGAGGGTAAGTTGAAAATATCTCGACCAGATATACACAGAGGGCGCTCCAATCTGCAAACATTCTTGTTTCCTCTTTGGGACATTTTATTATTCATTCTAGAACTGTCTTGTCTTGAACCATTTAGAATGCTTTAGAAGCATTTAAAAACTGCCCAAAACCTTTTAGAACACTTCAGAAGCATTTAAAACGATCCAGAATCATGTTGAACTGTATAGAACCATTTAGAACGCTCCAGAAGCATTTAAAACTAAATAGAACCATTTAGAACGCCCCAGAATAATTTAGAACTACTCAAACTAAAGATTTCGACTTAATAAGAAGAATAATGCAGTACTCTAAATTGTCCTAAATTTAGTTTTAATGCATGTTGAAGTACTCTAAATTGTCTTGAGCCAGTTCTAATGCATCTTGAAACATCCTAATGGTTCTAAATAGTTTTACTACAGCCTGGTGCACTTTAAATTGTCCTGAACAAGTGCTATTGCATCCTGAAGCACTCTAAATTGTCCTGGGCCAGTTCTAATGCGGTCTGAAGCATCTTAATTATTCTAAATTAGTTCTAGTACATCCCGATACACTGTAAATTATTTAGAATGCTACAGAATCATTTAGAACGGTCTAGAACCATTTAGAACGCTCCAGAATTATTTAGAACTATCTAGGACTTTTTAGAACGCCCCAGACTTATTTAGAACTGTCTCGAACTATAAATTTCAATTTAATAAGAAGAATAACGTAATTTTTCAAATGAAAATCGCGCTATTTCATTGTCAGGTCGAGAACTTTTCACCTTACCCTTGTACACATGGTACAAACATAATGATATCTGACTAAACGTTTTTTTATCTACTATTTGTACCACTACATTAAGCATACGTTCGCATCTTAAAAACACCGACTTACCTGAGAGAGTTCCCCAAATCCATATAAAGAATCGCTGTCACCGTACTAGTTAAGCAAAGAGAAAAAAAGCCAGTTTTAGAAAGATGTAGGCAAATATACACAATTATATTTTCAACAAAATAGAAGCATTAAATTATTAATAAGCCGTTAAAACTAAGTTTCAATCCTATCCAATGCTCGTATTAACGCATTTTATTAACACAGAGCGAAGAATACTACGTTTTTTTTTTAAATAGCCACTATATTTTTATAGTTAAATTTAAAAAATAAATTACCTGCGAACCGACGCTGTAATTATGGAAATCTTGACCCGGCTGGGTAGCTCTTCTCAATTCGCTGTAGCTCGAACTTACCGGCGAAGGAGGCGGCAACAGCTCCTTCGGCGGAGGCGGTAAATTCGTGTTTACTGTACACGGAGCGTAATCCGGTAAACCTGAGGTTATATCCAATGGAGGCGGTGGAGGCGGCAAATCGTCTAAAAATTTAGCGGTGTTAAAAAGTTATTGACCTTTAATCGAGTGAAAAATTCTTACCACCATTAGCATAAGATGAATTTGTCGGAGGTAAATTACTGTAAATATTAGAACCATCAATTGGAGCGTGTATCAGATTGCTGTAAATTAAACCTTCTTGATTTCTTGCAGGAGCCATCTAAAAAATCGAATTAAATATTGGACTCACTAAATAAAATTATTAAGTATATTACCTGAATATTACTATAAGCTGTATTATCGTAACCTTTAGGAACCATGTTTGCCCTTGGTAAGGAGCCCTGTTTTTGAATAAACTCACTGGAACCATAATTACCTACAAAACAGACAATATTAAAACTAAGCAAAATAATATAGGAATTTTATCTAACCTTGTCGTGAAACAGAAGAGCCACTTCTAGGCAAATTGGCATATTGATTAGCATCATTGTTCTTAGGCAAGTTAGCATAATTTGTGTCGTTAGCTCTTTGACTGTGGTACTTATTGGTTAGCGTTTGTGGTTGAGCATTGGAGTAATGCGAGTGTGAATTATTACTTTGAACATTGGAGTAGAGTTGATGGGCCTGCAACCGGGACGAGTAACTCGGTTCAACGGCTTGTTTTAGTGGATATGATTGAGGTATCTGGAAAAGAAAAGATTCATTCATAAGAAATCTACTCTATTCTACTATACTCTAAATCAACTCCATTCTGAATCTACTGTATCCTACTCTATGTTAAATCTACTCCATTCTGAATCTACTTTATTCAGCAGCTGCTCTATCCTACTTTACTCTGGAATCTAGTTCATTCTGCAGGTAGATGCAAAGTTGTTTGCAATACAAACTATGGATGCAACAAAGACAATTTCCATTAGTCTCAAATAAAAGAAAAAAAAGAGTGATATTGTGGGATTGCAACTTTCTTTTTCTAACCAGTTATTTTAATAATCTTTCTTTGTTCAACTCCTAGATTTGATCATATTGCAAATAAATTCGCACTTATCCATATAATCTTACTAGTAAGAGTAATCTTAGTAATCAGTCATTTTTCAATATTGATCTGATAAGCAATATTCCTTTGGTTAAATAGACGTAATTATTTATTACTTATTAATAAAAATAGTGTATTATAACAATAAATCTTTAACAAATAAGTACATATAATATGAACTCTGGACAAAAATTATTATTTAGTAACTGGCCATTTTAAGCAAATAAAAATACTACATTTTTATTTTTACACTAGATACATTTAAATTTTCCATTCAATATTTATAACACTTTTAAATTAGCCCAAAATTATTAATCAAAAAACTATATATTCTTCTAATACATAGAGCTTAATATTCCTTAAAAGCAAAGCTATTAAAACTAAATTATGCAAACTCTCATTATGAACAGATAACAGCAGTAAAAAAACTCGGGAGTCTCACCTGCGGTTGGGCCTTTTTGGGCTTAGGAGGAACTGCAGGTCCAATTTTCTTCCCAGGGCTTCCCAAAGAGGGATTCAATTGCAGGTCGGTTTTGTTTATTAAGGCCAATTCAGCCAGTTGTCTGTCTAAATCGTTCATTTTGAAGATCTCTATAGCGAGTGCATGAACTGTTCTTAAAATAAATCGTAAACAAACCTATAAAATATTTTTATATTATTTTAACCTTCACACCAGCATTTTTTAAAACAAATGGATGTAAACTTATAAACAATATTGGAAATATATTATTCGTTAATTTTAAGTAATAAAAATACAGACTTGGCAGTTTATCATGATTTTTACAGAGATAATGGTTAGATAAATTGTGTTGTGTTCAATTATTTAAATTAGTTATAACTTATTATTTAAAAAACATAATTTTTTTGTTAAATTGCTACACACAATAAAATTTTCCAGTTTTTAAACATATTATTAGATATAAAATTCAAAATTAATTTAACATATTTACTTAGTTAAACGTAGAACATTAATTTTTCTTACCTTTCACTGCAGCTTTTGATAAAACAGTTGTCGAAATACCTTCAAGACCAACTCCACCCAAAACCAAACAAAAAATGAGTCAAATGTACTTTCTTGGAAATAAACACAACACACAATTAAATGAACAATACAAATTGAGTGTCACTTTTTCTTTTTTTAGAAAGTGCCTATGCAGCTACTGTCAGTTCGCTGGCCTCTTACTTTCGAGTTATCAAGGAAACTTTAAGAAGAACTACAGTCAAATTAGAAACAATTCCTAATCATATTTCCTAATAAATAATTAATAATTTTAGAAACGATTTATTAAGTATTTAATACTTTTTACTGGATTATTAAATATATTTATGACGAATAAAGATACAGAAGCTGCATTACAGTTCGTTGCAGTTGAAAATTAACTTTGATGTTACCATAAAAGGAAATAATTAAGTTGAATTTCCAATAAAAGATTGTGTAATAAATCAGCATTACGTAAATATTCCTTATTTGGATATTTTATGGGTCGATTCTGAGAATTTACCTATAAGCTACAGAATCTGTAAGAAATAGTGCCTGTAACTTGAAACTTTACAGATTTGTAATATTTGCTATTCTGGAACCAAATCTGTAAAAGTCAAGTTACAGATCTTTACCTTATAGGTTTCAACTTCACTCATGTTTATAATGTCAAAATTATAACCTCATAATAATTAAAAGTTTAAAAGCTGAGTACCGACGCCGACCTTATCTTATGGAAAAAAAAGGAAAAATACGTCTCCATATCAACTAGAATTTTATTTAAATTTTATAAACAAAATATTTGTTTAAAATGCCTCTCTGTGAGGTCAAATGGATTTAGCCTTCTTTCAATATATCATATAATTTCTAAAAAATGTAATTATTTTTATTATTATAATTATTGGTATTTATTTAAGTAGATACCCATTTAAAAGTACAAAAATCTCACTTGTCATATTTCTCTAACAGAACACCCGCAAATAAATTCATTTGTAGGTTATGGGTAAAAAACAGTAAAAAACATAGTAAAAAAACACGCTTTTACTTTAAATAAACTGCTCCACAAAAGTTAAGGAAATTCGCAAATATCGCGATTATTTTAAAAATTACAAACTTTTTGATCACCGAATTTTCAAATATGCGAAATTAATTCATACTAAATTTGATGATCAAAAAACCTGCAACTTTTAAATTAATCCCAATATTTGTGAACTTCCTTAACTTTTGTGGAGCACTATAGTTTAAACACCCGTAAGGTTCACACAACAAAACACAAGGAATAATGCTTTTTAATGCTCTCTACCACACTCTGTACCGCTTACAGTGACTGATGTCTAGCCTGTAAATATTTACGAATCTGTAAGCGAATCTGTAAGTAACAGATGAGGATAGAATTGCATTTCCTGTAACTCTTACAGATTTTGGCTTATAGGTCTTACAGATGTTCTCAGAATCGACCCATTAGATCTACAAGTAGCCTGTATAAAATATTACGAAACCAAAATAGAAGATTTCTTTACATTGCTGTCAAGTGTCAGTACTGTCAATATTTTCTGTCAAAACTGTCGAAAACAAATTTGTCAAAAAAATTGACACCAAAATAGAAACATCCAGAATCAAGTAAAATTCTCGAGTCGAGTTTGAGCGCTCAAAAAAAGGAATGGAAGGGACGGAGTCTCCAAATGAAAAGGTTATTCTCTCATTTTCATTTATTCTGCACTATTTTTATGAAATTCATATAAAATACTCCAACAATCATACTCAAAACATTCTTTTTCAGCGCCAGTTGCCAATTAGATACGATTGGTACCAAACCGAATCCCAAGTAGTAATAACAGTTCTCGTGAAAAATATAAGCGCAGATTATCTTCAATTACTAATAACTAAAAATCAAATAAATATCAAAATATCTCATCCTGACTTCGACCCTTGCGATCTATGTTTAAATTTATCTAATCCTGTTGTGGCCGAACAAAGCAACTACAGACTTACACCATCTAAGGTAACGACTCTTTATTTGTATGGTATTTCCTACAATTGTTATGTTTTAGATCGAAATCAAGCTCAAGAAATTAGAAGGTCTTCGATGGGAACAGCTGGAAGGTCCTCCGGTGGAAGTTGTCCAGGAAGCCGCTGCTAAACCTAAAGGTATAATGGTTTGATAAAAAGATGTTTTATTCTGCTTCATTTATACCTTTTATTCAACATTTTAGAAGTAGAACTTGAAGGACCACCGGCGTATCCTACTTCGAAGAAAGGAAAGGACTGGAATAAAATTGAGAAGGAAATTAAGGAACAGGAGGCAAAGGAAAAACCGGACGGAGACGCGGCTATTAATAAATTGTTTCAAGAAATATACGGCAAAGGGAACGACGATGTCAAGCGAGCTATGAACAAAAGCTACGTAAGTTTTGTAATATAAATTTATATTTAAAGCATTTTAATGTTTTTAATTGCAGATGGAAAGTGGTGGTACCGTTCTAAGTACGAATTGGTCTGAGATATCTAAGCAAAAAGTTGATGTGAAACCTCCAGATGGAATGGAATGGAAGAAATGGGCTGAATAAATTCCATTTCACTTACTTTATATTTTCTTTATGCATGTTTTCAGAATATTTCTCTGTTACTATTTATATTTTCTAATCCGTGGATTATATTAGAAAATATAACCGATTCAATTATTTAATACTATTTAGTATTTTTTACATTACTAAAAATAGGTACCTTTTCTTCAATAAGTACAAACCACTATTATTAAATTATCCTTTATTGTGTTCTTGAAATAAGACAAGTGTGCCTTAGAGCCCTTTCACACAGTGCAATATATTGCATTGCAGGTTTTATAAAAGCGTTTAACCCTTATTTCTATATGCATAAACTAGAAAGAATGTTGGATTATATCTTTATAATATGTTTCCCGAAATGTTTAATTATAAGTTAGGCAAACTCTATTATTAAATTGAAGCTTTTTGGGTACCTAATTTGTTTATGTTTCTGATCTACATTTGATTACTATGAAATACAAATGATATTTTAAACTACAATTAGAAACGACGTACACACAATTATTGAATATTAAATTGACCTTTTTTATACTACAATTTTATAAATTACATTAACATTAATGGATTGATGATTAGGAACACAATTAGTAAAAAAAGCGAACTACATCAGCACATTTGGTAAAATTACGGACATAATTGATTGTTAATGTTTCTTTCCTTAGTATATGTATACGCGTTTCTTTATCTATAAAGTGATAAAAATGTTTGTAAAAATTTATCATATTTTATTTGACAGTGCTGTTACATTTGAAGGCCAGTTAATTTTTATTCAGAGATTAATTATTATTGGATAAAAAAATGCGACAAATGATTTATTTTGTCATTTTTAGGCGACCACTTAAACTTTTTGTTTGACTACGGCACTTTACTACATCGAAAACCCGTACAAAGAATTATATCGGAAATTCTATGCTTATTTTGGTTATACGCTTTTATATTAATTTTATTGAACATAACTAAAGAAAACTCTGTAGAGAAGGCTTTCCAACAATTACCAATAGACGTAATTGGGCTATTAGTACGTATTTAGGAATCTTTTCACAGTTTTTCCAAAGTTTAATGAACATAATTTAAATTCACCTCTACAAAGTAACGCAAAATTAATGCAATAAATTGTATTAGCCCATGATATTGTTGATTCGATTTGATTCTTATATCCTTTAACCATTTTTCAAATGACTTTGGATGTAATATCGTTAATTAAATTTGTATTAATTGCAGTCATTCCTGTATTACGCTGTGAGCGTTAGAACGTTTCCGATAAATAAATCTTTAGTTGAAGTGCAAAAAGAAATCTGTCTTAATCACTGGTCAACAGCTCCTGAAACATTGATTGCAGAAATTCAGAACACTCAAAAAAAGTCGAAGAGATTCGCAAAAATTATTCTAAGTTTATTCACAATCACTTACTGCTTATACTACTTTTTGTCGTTGAATGATGATGCAACAACTAGAATAGTTTTCGGCACATTGAACGGAAAATTATCAAATGTCTTGATATATATTTTCATAATACCGCATGCGATACTGAACCTTACCGTATATTTCTCTATAAATGCTTACTACGTTTTGTATTTCTATTACGACTTGAAGATATTGAATTGGCAAATTACCGAAATGCTCAAGGATGACTCTAAAGAAAGATTTCTATCGGAATTGATCAATTCATTGCAATATCAACGCGTAACGACAGAGAAACTAATTCATTTAGTAACATTTTATATAGATATCAAAACGTAAGAATATCATAATGAAATGTACAGTGTTAATTGTTATATTTCAGTTTCTTTAATACGTATCAAAATATAATGAAATTCAGAATTCTGGTGTTGGTTCTTGGAGGTGGATATTTAATAGGAACTTTCCTTATCACAATAACTGTCCGTATGAGTAAAAATTACGAATTCGTATAAATATATTTTTGAATGTTTTTAGTATCTTCCCTTGTTTGATAATTTACAGTCATTAGCAAGTGTGATTCTTTCTACCATTGTTTTTTCAATCGGAGCAGAATTGGGAAATATTGTACAAGAGAAAGTAAGTTTATTATCATTCAACTAATTTGCCAAAAAGAAAAAAATAGTATATTCATGTTATAAATAGAGTTTGGAAAATCCGCACTAAAAATGGCAAAATATGCACTTAAAATCTTCAAAATAAGCACTTCAGAAACAACCAGATATAGAATATTTTTTTTTGAAAATTTTATTAAAAGAAAGAGATAAGACATGTATTGACATACAATGCCGACTATCCGACTAATACTTATTAGAACATTCGAAGAATGGAATAGAATTATTTAGAATTGTTTAGAATAATTTAAAACTCTCCAGAATCATTTAGAACTGTCTAGAGTCCCTTATAGCGATCCAGAATCATTTAGAACTGTGTAGACTCGCTTAGAAAGCTCCAGAATCCTTTAGAACTGTCTAGAATCATTTAGAACGATCCAGAATCATTTAGAACTGTATAGAATCGCTTAGAAAGCTCCAGAATCCTTTAGAACTGTCTAGAATCATTAAGAACGCTCCAGAATCATTTAGAACTGTCTAAAACCATTTAGAGCGCTCCAGAATCATTTAGAACTAATTAGAACGGACCAGAATCATTTAGAACTGTTAGAATCATTTAGAATACTCCAGAACCGTTTAGAACACTATATTTATATTGCATTTTTACATGCATTTTGCATATGTTCCAGGCTCTAGTTATAAATGGTATTAATAAAATAAATATTTCTAGTCTGAACAAGTTCACAATGAAATATTAAAGTTTAAATGGTACCAATGGAATAAAGAAAATCGTAGGATTCTATGGATGTTATTAATAGTCGCCCGAGAACCTATTGTTATAAAATGTTATGGAATAGTAAGCTTAAATAGGCATATGTTTATAAAGGTTATAAATTTATTTAACAATTTACTGTATACAAAATGATTGTATTTAAATGATTTGTTTCAGGTGTACAAATTAGTCTACAGTGTTATGAACTGGTGTAACATAAGAATGTAGGGAAACGAAGGCGTTATTTTTAATTACGTTTCATTTTCATGAGCACTTTTTGAATTATTAGATTATGTTATTGAATTAATTAGGCAGCATTTGAATTCCTACCAGCAATCTTAACAATTTGCACATCTTCCAATACTTTCAAACACAACCTTTAATTAAATAAAACCACCCTGAATATAATTTACGTGACCTCCCAATTCTTATTGTGTAAGTTATCTAGTATTCTGTGGCTGTCACTTTGTTTACAGTTCTTTCAGTTTTAATATTTTTTCACAAAAAGAAATCTTTTAATATGGACAAAACACGTGATAAGGTGTTTCGCCGTAAAGGTAAGCGGGCACAAAAGCCACATATTAGAATAGGTCTCTATTTTATTATAGAATACAAAGTTAAAAATTGACGTGATAAAATACTCCAACAATCATACTCAAAACATTCTTTTTCAGCGCCAGTTGCCAATTAGATACGATTGGTACCAAACCGAATCCCAAGTAGTAATAACAGTTCTCGTGAAAAATATAAGCGCAGATTATCTTCAATTACTCATAACTAAAAATCAAATAAATATCAAAATATCTCATCCTGACTTCGACCCTTGCGATCTATGTTTAAATTTATCTAATCCTGTTGTGGCCGAACAAAGCAACTACAAACTTACACCATCTAAGGTAACGACTCTTTATTTGTATGGTATTTCCTACAATTGTTATGTTTTAGATCGAAATCAAGCTCAAGAAATTAGAAGGTCTTCGATGGGAACAGCTGGAAGGTCCTCCGGTGGAAGTTGTCCAGGAAGCCGCTGCTAAACCTAAAGGTATAATGGTTTGATAAAAAGATGTTTTATTCTGCTTCATTTATACCTTTTATTCAACATTTTAGAAGTAGAACTTGAAGGACCACCGGCGTATCCTACTTCGAAGAAAGGAAAGGACTGGAATAAAATTGAGAAGGAAATTAAGGAACAGGAGGCAAAGGAAAAACCGGACGGAGACGCGGCTATTAATAAATTGTTTCAAGAAATATACGGCAAAGGGAACGACGATGTCAAGCGAGCTATGAACAAAAGCTACGTAAGTTTTGTAATATAAATTTATATTTAAAGCATTTTAATGTTTTTAATTGCAGATGGAAAGTGGTGGTACCGTTCTAAGTACGAATTGGTCTGAGATATCTAAGCAAAAAGTTGATGTGAAACCTCCAGATGGAATGGAATGGAAGAAATCGGCTGAATAAATTCCATTTCACTTACTTTATATTTTCTTTATGCATGTTTTCAGAATATTTCTCTGTTACTATTTATATTTTCTAATCCGTGGATTATATTAGAAAATATAACCGATTCAATTATTTAATACTATTTAGTATTTTTTACATTACTAAAAATAGGTACCTTTTCTTCAATAAGTACAAACCACTATTATTAAATTATCCTTTATTGTGTTCTTGAAATAAGACAAGTGTGCCTTAGAGCCCTTTCACACAGTGCAATATATTGCATTGCAGGTTTTATAAAAGCGTTTAACCCTTATTTCTATATGCATAAACTAGAAAGAATGTTGGATTATATCTTTATAATATATGTTTCCCGAAATGTTTAATTATAAGTTAGGCAAACTCTATTATTAAATTGAAGCTTTTTGGGTACCTAATTTGTTTATGTTTCTGATCTACATTTGATTACTATGAAATACAAATGATATTATAAACTACAATTAGAAACGACGTAGACACAATTATTGAATATTAAATTGACCTTTTTATACTACAATTTTATAAATTACATTAACATTAATGGAATGATGATTAGGAACACAATTAGTAAAAAAAGCGAACTACATCAGCACATTTGGTAAAATTACGGACATAATTGATTGTTAATGTTTCTTTCCTTAGTATATGTATACGCGTTGCTTTATCTATAAAGTGATAAAAATGTTTGTAAAAATTTATCATATTTTATTTGACAGTGCTGTTACATTTGAAGGCCAGTTAATTTTTATTCACAGATTAATTATTATTGGATAAAAAATGCGACAAATGATTTTTTTTTGTCATTTTTAGGCGACTACTTAAACTTTTTATTTGACTACGGCACTTTACTATATCGAAAACCCGTACAAAGAATTATATCGGAAATTCTATGCTTATTTTGGTTATACGCTTTTATATTAATTTTATTAAACATAACTAAAGAAAACTCTGTAGAAAAGGCTTTCCAACAATTACCAATAGACGTAATTGGGCTATTAGTACGTATTTAGGAATCTTTTCACAGTTTTTCCAAAGTTTAATGAACATAATTTAAATTCACCTCTACAAAGTAACGCAAAATTAATGCAATAAATTGTATTAGCCCATGATATTGTTGATTCGATTTGATTCTTATATCCTTTAACCATTTTTCAAATGACTTTGGAAGGACTATACTGTAATATCGTTAATTAAATTTGTATTAATTGCAGTCATTCCTGTATTACGCTGTGAGCGTTAGAACGTTTCCGATAAGTAAATCTTTAGTTGAACTGCAAAAAGAAATCTGTCTTAATCACTGGTCAACGGCTCCTGAAACATTGATTGCAGAAGTTCAGAACACTCAAAAAAATTCGAAGAGATTCGCAAAAATTATTCTAAGTTTATTCACAATCACTTACTGCTTATACTACTTTTTGTCGTTGAATGATGGTGCAACAACTACAATAGTAATCGGCACATTGAACGGAAAATTAGCAAATGTCTTGATATATATCTTCGTAATACCGCATACAATTCTGTACGTTACCGTATGTTTCTCTATAAATGCTTACTACGTTTTGTATTTCTATTACGACTTGAAGATATTGAATTGGCGAATTACCGAAATGCTCAAGGATGACTCTAAAGAAAGATTTCTATCGGAATCGATCAATTCATTGGAATATCAACGCGAAACGACCGAGAAACTAATTAATTTAGTAACATTTTATATAGATATCAAAACGTAAGAATATCATAATGAAATGTACAGTGTTAATTGTTATACTATATTTCAGTTTCTTTAATACGTATCAAAACATAATGCAATTCAGAATTCTGGTATTGGTTCTTGCAAGTGGATATTTAATAGGAACTTTCCTTATCACAATAACTGTCCGTATGAGTAAAAATTACAAATTCTTATAAATATATTTTTGAATGTTTTTAGTATCTTCCCTTGTTTGATAATTTACAGTCATTCGCAAGTGTGATTCTTGGTACCGTTGTTTTTTCAATCGGAGCAGAATTGGGCAATATTGTGCAAGAGAAAGTAGGTTTATTATCATTCAACTAATTTGCCAAAAAGAAAAAAATAGTAGATTCATGTTATAAATAGAGTTTGGAAAATAATCCAGAATCATTTAGAACTAATTAGAACGCACTAGAATCATTTAGAACTGTTAGAACCATTTAGAATACTCCAGAACCGTTCAGAACACTATATTTATATTGCATTTTTACATGAATTTTGCATATTTTCCAGGCTCTAGTTATAAATGTTATTAATAAAATAAATATTTCTAGTCTGAACAAGTTCACAATGAAATATTAAAGTTTAAATGGTACCAATGGAATAAAGAAAATCGTAGGATTCTATGGATGTTATTAATAGTCGCCCGAGAACCTATTGTTATAAAATGTTATGGAATAGTAAGCTTCAATAGGCATATGTTTATAAAGGTTATAAATCTATTTAACAATTTACTGTATACAAAATTATTGTATTTAAATGATTTGTTTCAGTTGTACAAATTAGTCTACAGTGTTATGAACTGGTGTAACATAAGAATGTAGGAAAACGAAGGCGTTATTTTTAATTACGTTTCATTTTCATGCGCACTTTTTGAATTATTAGATTATGTTATTAAATTAATTAGGCAGCATTTGAATTCCTACTCGCAATCTTAACAATTTGCACCTCTTCCAATACTTTCATACACAACCTTTAATTAAATAAAAACCACCCTGTATATAATTTACGTGACCTCCCAATTCTTATTGCATAAGTTATCTAGTATTCTGTGGCTGTCACTTTGTTTACAGTTCTTTCAGTTTTAATATTTTTTCACAAAAAGAAATCTTTTAATATGGACAAAACACGTGATAAGGTGTTTCGCCGTAAAGGTAAGCGGGCACAAAAGCCACATATTAGAATAGGTCTCTATTTTATTATAGAATGCAAAGATAAAAATTGACAATTTGCAAAACCCTTCGAAATGATGTGAAGAGATTGTCACAATTGCACAAGTACTTTGCAGGATAAGGTTGTTAATAGATTTAATGGGATCTTCTGTGGTTTCTGCAGCACTTAGTGATGGCCAAATGTTATAGTAAAGGGTTTTTTACAAATATTTAAATTGGGAAAGTAGTAAAGGGTATTATAGGGTCGGCTTCTTAATTATTGTAACTTAAGATCGCAGAGTAGAAGCCTATAAACCAAAAAATATCCTTAGGTTTTATTTTAACATTACTTCAAGAAAGTTAAGCTTGTTAAATTTGGTATATCTACCAAACTCTAAAGAAGATTAACATATCTACTAATTCAGTACACTAATGACTACAGTAAGAATGACTAGGATTATAAAACTAATCAGCGATTTCTTAGCAGTTTTCCATATTCCTGAAGAGTAGCATGTGATAGACATGTAGATACATCAGTTTTGCATAGATCAATATCAGTTTGATAGCGTTTTTAGTTATGATATAGCGTTTGAATGTTTTTAGATAGTATAACGAGAATACCTAAAGTGTACGAAAACGGACGCAAGGATGTACCCCGTCCTAGAAGTAGAAGTGTTTTTACCAGTTCTCATGCTAGCGACGATCTACAAACTAGGGACATAGTGAGATACGAGGGCCAAACTCCACGGCCTCCGTACGTTCCAAAACCAATTACAGTGAAAAATTATTTTACAGAAGATTACAATGTAAGTGTAATCTTTGGTTAATCTTCTCACTAAACTAATTAATGAATATTTAAGGACTGACTGTCTACTGGCATATTCTCTTAAACTATACATTCTTAACTATTTTAACTAAATTTCTGGGTCTAACTAAATCAACTGTGTGAATATTTTGTAGGATATTTATGCAGATGATCATACAGGCGGTACTACAATATCTCCTCACGGTATTATTACCATGCGCCTTCGCGAATACATACGTGTGGATTTATCGTTAGATCGGGCCATTCGCATTTCGAATACGAAAAACGGGATTGTCTTAGCATTGAGCGCGAGCGGGAGTTCCTCAGGTTTGATTCATCCCAATGGACGAGTGTATCAATACGGTTCCAGAGTAGAAATTATGGCAAACGATAGTCAAGGCAACGATAAGTAAGCTAATTTCTCCAATGCTCGGCCAATAATTGGTTATTATTCTTGAATTTATTTTAGGTTTGCAAAAATGTGGTATAAGGGTGTAAGTTTCACTAGTATACAATGCGCGTTAGTTTATTTGGTAGATTCTGCTGGAACGAGGACTACCACAGATACATTCAACGATTTAACCCATGATTTTACCCTTAATATTTTTTATGAGTAAGTATCAATTACGATCATTTGACATAAATAGACGATACCCATCATATACCCTATTGGGAAGGGATGGCGTTGAACCTTGATTGTTGATCCTTAACCATTATATTTTCTTCAGGGATTCGCTGTATTCCTACCTTGACAATCCCAGCACGACCCACACAACGCATTTAGTGAACGAAGCCATGACCATACTCCAGGCTACTAATTGTTGGATGACCGAGGATGGAACTACAAACTGGATTATTAATAATGTCAGAATTTCTCAAACAGCAGATGGCCTTGTGAGGTGAGTTTCAGTCGTTATTTCTAGGATGGGAATGGACCTATCACCTGTTGGAAGGTGATTCTGTTGTTGATGTTAATACGATTCAAATATTTGTTTTAGAGTTGGTAGAAACAACAATAAATTTTCGTTAAGAACATCTCCAACGAATGGTTCAGCATCGGTATCGTCGCCGTACATGCATTGCACCGGTTCAATGGGTCAAACGCGCCATTTGTTCGTGAGACGCGGCGAGCGTCGCATGCACTACGACGGATCCACGTTCATCGTGAGAAATGCTGGTCACTCCGCTGGATTTGACGAAAAACACCAATTGAAAGTTTACTAGTGTTTTTTTAGTTTCATTCGATGACCGGCTCAATTTTTTTCGTAGAATTTTTATTTGGCCGGCAAATCCAATCATTTGTTCTTTCGTAATTGCAATGTTTGTTTTGTCTATTAACTGCTAGCTAGAAGCCAAATTTGTGTAAACGCTTTGCGAAATCGAAAAATGTAATTTGGTTTATGCGGGGCGATTTGAATTTAGTGGTGGTTTTTTCCCGGGAATTGAAGCATATGTAAGTCGTAACACCTTGGTCGTTTTTAAATGAAACCGAATAGTATACCTTCGATCTGTTCGTAAATAGTGGAAGTTGTTTCATTTGGAAAAACTCGCGCGATTTGTTAGAAAGTTGTAATTCAATTCTAAAGTTTTTTTACATTCTGATTTTTAATTTGTCGTCAATTTACTTTTTGAAATGTGATTTTTAAGGAATTAATTCGATATTCATTTTAACCGATTTCATATTTAATATATTTTTCAGATTTTTCTACTAACCGCAATACATATTTATTAAACAGTACAAAGTTGTATAGCAAACATTCTCTATAAGGCTTCTTGTTTTTCTCATCGAAAGTTCAATTTACGATTGCCAATAGTTTTACTCGCATCAAAAACTACATTTCAAAAAAAGCACAATTTAGCTTGGAGTACCCTGTATAATCTAATCATCACAACTATATTACTTGATTAAAATTTTGTATTGACAAATTAAAATGCTCACCAGTCAAACGATTAAATTAATCACGTTATTGTACGTTGTGTGGTTAATTAAAAGATACCTTAACTTAATGCTTTGTTGGTTACTCGTTTTGAAAATATTGCAGTTTCACTAATGAATGGGAAATAGAATAAATGGCAATTTAAATTGGACGTTTTTATAATGAAATAACAGAAATAAAAATGTAATTTTTATAGATTTAAAAACGAAAACCAATTGGAAACCACCGCTAAATAAAATTATCGAACCAAATTTTAATGATATTAATCCAAAAAATGTATTCCATCCTATTGCATGGTAATAATCAAAAAGTCGCTAGCACGTTTATTTGCTAATTAGAAAATTTTAATTGATATGAGAGAGAGAGATAAGTGTGCATAAGAAACACGGCGATATTTTACATTTACAAAGCGTGTATGGAAGAACATCAACTTTATTGTAAAATTATGGAAGGTGTCAGCTTTTATAAGTTTGTTTCTGACTGTGATAAACGATTTCCTGACTTGATATGCTTTGTCAGTAATATAAATAATGGAAATAAAAGTAATTTTCTAATTTGTCGATTTCTTTTATATAAACAGCATCAACTGTAGGCATTATCAATTTGTATGTATGCTGGCTAATTCTAGTGTAGGCAGATGTAAAACTTTGTAAATGATTTGAAAAATTGTTTTGTAAATAAAAATTTATTAAAAAGTTAATAATTTCTTCAAATTGTCATTGCTTTTACAGTAGATCGAGTAGATGTATAGTTTCTACGGTCCGCGTAATTCAGGTACAACGAAATCTTTGTCGTCAATTTTGCACTCTTCTTCCCAATTTTCAGGTATGACGTTCTTTGTCAGTTCCACTAATTTAGTAAGAGGGCAGAAATGATCACATCCAGGTACGGTTAATTTGAACGGAGGGGCATCGGTGACGTTTCTAAGGAACATCTAAAAAATTGGATATTATTAAATATTAGCTGTAATTAATTTTAGCGAGTTCCGTTTTACCTCGACTCCAAATTCGTTTGTATGAGTATCCTTGCGCAATTCGAAGAGAATTGTTATAGCATAATTCGGAACTTGTTCGTCCCATACTTTCAGAGCACTTAGTAAATTAACGATGGTGCCGTCGTGTCCGCCGTACAGGAAAGCTTTTTTGGATGGTTTTCCTTCTGATTTGGCAGTCCAGTCTTCTATCAACTTTTTCAATAAAACTCCTAAAATGTTTTTCTTTATTATATAACACGATAATAGGAATTGCACAACTGTTACCTCCTCTCAGTCGGTTCATTTCGTCGTTGTAAGCATTCAAAACGAAGCTTTTGATGGTTGGGAAGTACATCTTTTCGGGGTAATAGTCCTTGGTCCATTCAGGTATTGTTAAATTGTAGCCAACCTAAAAGCAATTAATTTGCCATTTTTTAATCTTATTGCAAAAAAATTCCCTTCAGAGCCTTCTAAACCATGTGTACAGGTTTAGGTCATATGCGTACAGATATTACATTACATACATATTACAGAGTACTATTTATTACATAATTAGATTATATAAGTATTTGTTGATGACCTTACCTCTGATAACAAGGTTGTGTAGATATCTTGTACTCCTTCGAAATCGTCAGTTTTCTGTCCTGTAATTTCGGTCAAATTTTTGAAGAGCTCTTCGTATTGTTTATACATCTTTTGAACTTCTTCCGATTGGATAACTTTAGATTTTTCGACGTGGTACTTTGGGCATGGTCTCCTCACTAACAATAACTAATTGAAATAAGAACAATTAAAACTAGTTTCTTCATAGAAATACTCAGTTCAAACCCACCGAATCTTCTTCTAGGGGTTCCGAATGAATGGGTATGGGTTGCCAATGGAGAGGACCCCATTGTTGGTCTCCTTTCGGGGGCCATAGACCAGCGTTAACCAGTTGCATACTGGCTTTAGTTCTATCTACGTCCGTCGATTGCGTGTAAAACTCGTCAGGTGAGTACCGGTCGCCTAAAAAGTTACCGTATCTTTGTCTGAAGTATCTGCCGATTTTGAATAAAGTGAGTTTTCCAGGCTAAAAAATAGAGAAAATTTAGCTAAAATGATTACATAGGTATTTTACGCGGATTGTAATATATTTTTTTCATTACGTTAATTTCACTTACGTTGGTTAATTGTCCCCAGCCCACGGGGTATAAGGGATCGTCTTTGTAAGGATCATTAGGATAAGTACTGGCTGGAGTCCTAGCCCCATGCCTCATGACCTGAAACATTTCATTTCTGTTATAGGCTGTTATTAATAATAGCTAAAATCAGCAAAAACTTACGATATGAACCATTTGCAGAGGTTTGTCGTTGTTCTTACCACTTATATGAGCTGCTTTAATACCGATTATTAAAAAGACAGCGAATGCTGCCATGGCCATAATGCTGCCTGCCATGATTTTCCAAGTTTCTTCCTATAAAAATAAGAGAAAGTTTTATTGTAGCCACATTTTTTATATTTGTTTTTTTTTTAATTTGTAGACGAACTATTTGTAGTGATACACGCAATAAAGGTAGTAGTTATGCTTATCATATATTGTGTGACATGGATAACAAATATTTATCATGCTAATTAGGTGGTTTTAATATTTTTTAATTATAGGTATATTTAAAAATCGTATTTTATTACAAAACTTTAGGATGTACATAAATGAAAATAAAAAATTGTAGGACTAACGATATTGAGCAGAAAAAAAAACGGAAAAAAAGAAAAGTTTTGAGTGTGCTTGGAAAAAGAAACATATAAATGGTGAATGTAATTAAATTAAAAAAAATTATCCGGGAATTAAAAAAAATAATCCGGGGAATATTTTGTTCTACGGTTTTTTCACGATCGGATTTTAATTTAACATGAATGAATTCTAAAATGAGTGACTTTTTATACAGAGTGACTCAGAGTAGATTTCTAGTGGTATTCAGATTCACCACAAATTGCCAAAGCGCTATCCCCCCAAAAACTTTCCAAGCGTTTGCACAGGGCAAGTTTAAAAACTGAAATCTACTCTGAGTCAACCTGTAGTACTTGCTATAGCATATTTATACAAAATAAAAAATTATTATTAGGTATATGTAAAATTTGCTATAGTAATACTGTAATTGAAAATGCTACAATTTCATGAAAAAAAACCTGAAATAATACTCTGTTAAAAGTAGTTAATACAAATATTGCGCTTACAGAAATACTATACCTATCGAATTTGGTTTCAATATGCCCAAATGCCTCACAACACCCAACTGAAATTCGCCGCATGAACGGTCCTAATATATAAGGTCCGAATTATCGGACTTTACCAAAAAGGTGCAGTTTATCATTCATTTGATACGCTAAATTTATAACATATTTTAAACACAACATCAATGACAATACAAGGACTAATATTAACCGTTGGGATTTCGAAAATTTTTACTCAATTTTATCGCGTTCTTGTCGCGAACCGATAATTTTATTGCGCAAAGCCTGAACATTTTGGTTTATCTAATAAAACTTTGAAAGTTACCGGGGGAGGTAGAAAAGTGTTTCTTCACATTAATTTTATGATTGATCTTACATAACAATGTTCTGTTTTCTTCATAATTTCTTCATTAAGCTGCAATCTCCGATTGACCCAAAAATGACCTAAATCCATAACCTATTGAAGATAATTCGACTATACGGAGCCGGACATGCTTTAACTACAACTATGAATAAATCATGCCTTTGATAATGGTATTAACTTTACAGTTTTTTTTCTAAATTCTTCACAATTCCACATTTATTTTAAAATTTGATCGTCTAAGTCCAATAATGTTATTGATGCAGAGATGCAGATGCAGATGTTAATGTTATTATGTGAATGGGATGTAAAGTGGGCTATCTATTGCACTTGTGCAGATAATCATATGATGACCCTGATTAAAATTGAACTCTATGTATGTATGTAGCAAGTAGCAAGAGGTTCCCTTACCTTGACCATGATTTTCCAGTCTAAACACTTCATTTTTCACTTTCCGGTTAACATAATGCTCGACGATTCGACAAAACTAATCACTTTTGTATTATTGCCTAATAGACATTGTATTCCTCACACATATTTTAAACCTAGCGATACGAATAATATCAAACAGTCCGTACTAAGAAACTGGTTTTTAAAACTATTGTAGGATCGTACTATGGTGCAGAAGAGCAGGATTTCGGCTATTATTATATTTACTTACAGTACTACCAAAATTTGTTAGGTTAAATTGTATGGTTTTTACACAAACACACCGATTCAAGACGTATTATTATAAATTTTAATTACAATTCATGTGAGATAATTACACATAATAACTGAGTCTAAACACGTTTGACCTTATACGATTTTTCGTTACCTATATCAAATGCAGAACCGAACTCGCCGCAAAAATGCGGTACGCGGTACTATACCTATATCGCATAAAATGTCTACCTATTCTACGGCCTCTAGAATTTTAAATTAATTTCATAAAGATTTGTAAACAAAATAGTGTATGTAACTCTTAGTGGGTACATTAACAATACTTGTATAATGCACTATTTATTAAAAATAACCAATAATATGTATAAATAAAATAATTAAAATGGGTATAAATTTCTCGTTCACGCCAGAATTTGCTTTGTTAGATTGGTTCACGTATTGCTTCATGTGTTCCAAAACGTCTGCATTGACGATTTTGTTCACATCCTTCGCCCATAAAAAGTCGAGGTGGGTGAATTTTTTATTTTCTATGAGGCGCTTCTTTACAAGATTGGGTAATTCGTCAGAGAACCTCTCAACGTCCTGGATAAAAGATAATGTAGAATTTAAAATTAAACGGTGTCTGAATTCTACCTGAGCAGCTGTAAGGTAATCATTTTCCGCATAGTACACGGCAACCGGTGCTGTAATTGCCGAAATATCAAACTCAGGTGGTTCCAGTGATTTGTAATGTGCTATATTTAATGCACCGTAGTCGTACCTTCGAAATTGACCTTAAAGATTATTAAAAAAACGTCCATTTAGTCGTATCAAAACATGGTTCCATATGCTTGATAAGCAGGGTAAATCTCATAAATCTCATAAATCTTACCAGAATTGATCCCTTGAAAGAAATGCACCAACATTTTTATGGAAATTCCTGCAGGCGTATTAGATGTAATAACCGGTAGAAACGACTGCGAATTGGAAAGTTTCAATTAGATAAATAAATGTAAGGTAATCTTTACATTACCCTGTCGAGCTGTGGAGAATCATAGCCACTTATTTCAAATAAAAGAATGGCGCACATTTCCTGAAATCTCGAACCATCGGAACATAATTTCATTGATACATCTGCCACTAATTGTGAATGCGGCAGTAATTCATGTATATTGAATACATAAGACAATAACTAAAATTGCAAGTAGTAAATACTTATTACAAATTTAAATGTTATAATAAATAATTTGTTACCTCAAAAATGCTAAGGTGCTTTGCAAAAGTCCTGAACAACAATGATGATATATGATTGGTGTAAACAACAGGCGCTAACGCCGTCATTAATACAATTTTTTCATTATATTCAGGTCGTAAGGCAGCCATTGCAAAGAATTGGGTAGTACCTTGCGAATGACCCACATAAAATATCTTCTGTTGTCCTGTTTTTTGGAGAATATAGTCTATTTTAGCAGGTAAATCATAGTACCCACAAGTCTCGTAGCTGAAATCCCAAAATTTGGCATCTGTGTCAGGATCTAACGTAGTATGTTGTCTTGACCATGTTGTTCCTCTGTTGTTCCCTAACCAAACATCAAAGCCGGAATCAGCTAGGATTAAACCCAAGGATTTGTTGGGTCCCATATTAACGAAGTCCATTGCGCTGCACAATAATCCGTGCATCAGAAGCACAGCTGGTTTATTTTGGTTTTCTGAAAATGTGCCGTTTCTTCTGGTAATACGTTGCATCCGTAAAATGTAGTTATCTTCAGTCTGAACCCAATGAGTTTCAGTCGAATAGTTGTATTTTCTCAAGAACTGATACTAGAATAATAATACTTTAGTTAGAAATAGTCTATGAATTAAATTTGAAGTTTTTAGTTAGTTTTATAAGAAAAATTTAAAATATGTTGGTATATACCGATACCCTTATTTTCTAATGTACCATCAGTATTTTCTCCAACTTTCACTCTTATCTGCAATCGGTCCGTTGCATATCAATGATGTAAGTTGCAGTAAGTAATTTTTAAGATAACAAAAAAACAAAATTCCTTTCAACATTTACCATTATTATAAACCGTACAACTTTCCTAATTCATCCAAACAAATATTAAGAATTGCTTACAATATCCAATCCATAATCCTTAGTTATATTGGGAAAGCCTTCAATACGTTTTATTTCAAGAAATAGTGATAAAACAATTGATACTTTCGCAATAAACATGATCCTAACACTATTAGTAACAACAAGAAAAATAAAAAACACGGCGTTTCAATGTTATCACTAAATGTTGTTTAATACATAAGTTATTTTATAAAAATAATGTGCTATTATTGCGTAAAAATTGATTAAAAATTTCGAGTACTATTTTTTATCTGTTTTGATTCAAATATATGTTATCTGAGTTGAACTCAATTTGTTACTATTTTAATACTTAACAAATCTGAGGTACAACCGACTATTATTGTATAAGAGGTTCAAATTACTTGTAAAATAAAAAAATGAAAAAATAAAACATTTATTACCGAGTACTGATTGTAGTCATTGTAATTGTTTCTATAAGTATTTTCCGGTTATTAAATAATGATGTTCAAAGTAATAAATTAACGTTTTCTTGACATTTTTAGCGACAGTTCAACTGCAACTACACTTAATTTGAAATTTATCTAATTTTGTGATTTATTGGTTAGAAGATTATAAGGATTCTGTATATTTTTTCTATCTATTATAATAATTTTTAATTAATTTTAGTATATTACATACATTAAAATTTTTAGGAGTATTTATGTACAATGATCAGAGTAGGATCAGGATTATTTTAAAGATGATAAATTCAATAAAACATTATTGTAAAACATGTTAATATTAATGAGTATAGTTCATTAATTTTGTATCCAACATAATTATGTTATTGCCCATGAAAATACATTTTTTAAATATATTTAACAATCTTTATAATGAAAAACAAATTATCTTTGTGTTAAAAATATTTTGAAATATGCCCAAAGTTTTTTAGCTCTTAAACAGCATGTAAAATTAGATAAAAATAAGTAGGTATATTTCAAAATAAGCCACAACAAAATAACAAATGTATCTTATTTTTAGAGGATCATGTTGTTGAAAACGTTTGTACACTTTTTTGGTTGTTTATCGTTTGCCAAAAAATATACATTTTATATCGCACTTTAATTAAATGTATTTAGATATGTATAATTATCTCACTTACTATGATTTATACACATCTTATGATTTAAAGCAATTAATTTAATAGGTATAGTAATTGGCCCAATTATATGGTACCTCAGGATCAATTAAATATTCTATGAAGTGATTTAGTTATAATAGGAAACTTACTCACAAGTAAAAAATCATATATTGGCAATTAAAACAAATAAAACCATTTTAATTGTACTAAGTTGAGGTAAGATATACTGTAAATGTGTTTTATATCAAACACATGACATCATGGTGGTAAAAATTTCTAAAAATAATTTTCTTTGATTCATAAATTATAGTAATTATATAATTTGATTTAGGATACGTCTTGATACAGGTAATTTTAAAATTGAATTTAATTGATCATTTAATTTTTAAACATTTTGTGTTTTTACGAGGGTTTTACAAAACGCAGATAATTAAGGTGGAGTATGTGTGTTCAGTTAAAGGCAGATAATATAATGTAGATAACTGATTAGGTATAAGCATGGGAAATTTTAATTAGTGGTAAATTGAAATTAATACGAAATTAATGATATTTCACGTAGGTACGTACGGAAAACATTTCAATGTATTGAAATGCATTTTAATTGATGAGAATTGAATGACCAAAACCGAAAAAGAAAATTAATAAAGCAATTAATAATATTCGATATTGATAGTTAATTTCCACTTTTTAACTAAATTGTTATGCAGGAGAATTTATCAACCGCTACTCGTACATTCTTTCTTATTTTACCTTCAACCGGGCCATCATCAGTCACCCGCTTTTTCCGCGCCGAAGCGATCGCTTGAATAGTGCGGTACCACCACCTTAATTCGTGAAAGCAATAGGAACCCAAGAGTAATTTCACGTTAGTTTCAACGCAACGCCAACAATTCTCGATTGCATTTTACGAATTCATAATCGATTTGCGATCCGTTACTGGCGATATTTCGATAACTAACTGGAGGACTAGTGATATTTTTTTGGAATTTTTTACTAATTATGAACCCTTCCATCCAGCCTTACGGGCCTTCTTTCTCGGAGAAACCCTTGGAGCAGCTAAATCGGATCGCAAAAAAACCACCCATTGATATCGAGTTTAGTGATTTGATGTATTCTATCGCAGATTCAAATGTTAAAGGGGGTGAGTTTATTTGAATATTTTCGTGTTTAATATGAAACATTAGAAATTAATATCTGATTATTCCTTCTTTCAAATTTATTTGGTAAGATCATTTAATAAATCGATTACTTGATTAAATGATGAATGCGATTAATAAAATTAGTATCATCTTAATTTGAATTATTTTTTTTTGAATATTAAAAATATAGAATTCTTTGAGGAAGCTTCCATGCATAAGTAAATTTTTCTACCTTTAGTAAAAATTACTAAACAAAATAAATTTGCAACAGTCGTATATTACAGTTTATTGACTCAGTGTGGCAGGCATAATGCATACGCACACAATTTAGATCCTTCTTTAGGTGTTTTTAATTGTTAGATATATTTAAAATGTTTGAAACCCCGATTGCACATATATTTTATGCTACTACTGTGCAGTAAAAAATGTACATAAAAATGACGTTAAAACTTAAAAATTAAATAAAATTTAATGTTATAATGGATGCATGGTGTTAAACTGTTTAAAAACAATAAAATTTTAAAATTACATTTTATTATAGAAAGCTTTATTTTAATGTCTACTGAATTTAACATTATGTCTCCACGTGGGTAATTAAAAATTGAATGAAAAAAATTCAATCATCTCAAACTTAAATATAAATGCAATACTTTAATGAAGTTAGGTAGATATATCAAAATTTTTTTCTTAACTACTATACAATTACTTTAGCTTTATTTTATGCATTGGGTTTCAGTTTATATTATTTTTGTATGAAAAATTCTAAAAATGTCTCTATCATATATTGCTTGCTTAAAATACGTCTAAAATTGAAATTAATTTACGTATTGCCTAACAATTACTTTTTGAAAGTGCTATCAACTTTTGACATTAGCCTTACTATTGTATTCCAATTTCAATTAACATTCATACCTCCCAGACCCCATAATTTAATTATTTTATTAACTTTAGGTAGATAATTCACTAGACACGGTTGCGTTAAAAAATCAATTAAAAACCAATTAAATTTTCTCACATGAATTCTGTAGTAAATTATACATATTACCCAAAATAATTTTCCACTTTATTTATGATTTTTTTAGAATAGCAATATCCCCTATTTCAGCAAAAATATTTTGCTTTTTTTCTTGTATTTCGCTTTGTGCGCTACTTTTCTCCTCTATAAATCTCCAAATCCTTACGAAATGTGTCTCATATCGTATTCAGAACAACCTACTTTATCAATCACCTTTTTTAATAAAAATGGTTGGTGATGATGTTAATAAATAAAATTTTTTATCTCCATTTTTCCGGAAATAATATTTTTAATACGATTAAATCTAAGATTAGATAAATATTGCAATCTCAATGATAGTTACAAAGTATTGTTAGCTAGTAGGAACTGAAGAATATTTTTCTTGTAGGATGGAGACAATTACTAAAATCTGTAAACGGAATTTTCAAATCTGGAGAATTGACAGCAATTATGGGCCCATCTGGAGCTGGAAAATCGACATTACTAAATATATTGGCTGGATACGTGTAAGTGACATTTGGAAATTAATAATTGAAAAATATTTAAGTTCTAATTTGACTTGATATACTATTTTTTGAAATCAAATAGTTATAATTAAAATATCCATGTCGAAAAATCAACAATTTGACGTCTTAACAATAATGCTTACAAGACAATTTAGATAAGAAAAGCAAATGAAACCATTAAAGTTTTTTATTAAACGACAATTAATTTAAGAATACATTAAAATGAATTGAATATAACAATGATTACCCGTATTAGTTTTTTTTATATTTTAAAACATTACCTGCTAATTTACAATTTGGATATTATAATTAAATAAATTAGTAATTATTGGCAAGGACTTTTCAATGCACGAATTGTTGTACTATTTATAATTCACTATATACCGCAGTTGTAACTCAATTTGCCGCCCAAAAATTAAAAATGTCATGTCATAAAAGTTTAACCAATTAATAATTTTAGACAAATTTCATATTTACAATTATCGCAATGTGCAATAAAATTATCATATTGTTTGTTGGTCAATTTTATTGCATTTATCGCTCAACTGCTGTACGGTTCGATAATAGTTATTGCCCTAGTTATTGCTCCTATTTTTATGAATATAAAATGAAATTAGATCATTTATCATGCAATAAATACTGCAAAAAGCCTGATTTTCAATCGCAGCCACTTGTGGGTTGTTATTTTTGTGCTGTATGGATGTTTATAAATGAGAATTAATCGCACATATGTATGTATGAACATATGGGCCTGGTTGCTCGTACGCGGATCAACTTTGATTCGGGATTAAGCCGAGATTAACTCGGGATCAAATATGGCCGCTCTATTCCAGTACTAACTATTAATCCGACTTTGATCCGAGATCAGTTTATCAGTAAGTTACCAATTTGAAATCAATATTTTATTAGTTCAATTTATTGTTAGTTCAAAAAAATAAGGAGCTCTATCTAATATGTGTAAGAAATTTAAAGAATATAATTTATTCATTTTTTTATGAAAACCGCTTCATTCAGAGAGGACATCTACTTTAAAAAATATCGTTAGTAATAATTTTCTATAAGAACCAATTAAATATTTCATTGCCTTTTTTTAACAGTAAATTCCTGTTTATGATTATTACATTGACCTTTTTTTCAACGTCTGTTAAAGAGTTAAATGAGAATCAATGTGAATTTATAATTTTTTTTTTATTATTTTTTGTATTACAGATAATGTTTGGGAGTTCTAATGAAATTGACGCTTCTTTATAATAAATGTACGGATGTAATAAATAATAATAATAAATAAATGACTAGCTACAGCTGCACGTGATCATCTATTCATCGATATAAATAATTTTATTAATAATTAAAATACTCGAAATTGACTGAAAACAGTGATTTCTCTTGCAGCAGTTAAACTTACTTAATCTCCCTCGTATCTTTCGGAGGAAGTAGGAATTCCAGTAGCCATGCCTACGTGTAAACTAACATTGAAAAGAAAGTGCTTGACCGCAAACAATCTTTTACGGGTTCGCTTAATTTTTACGTAACTTATTTTGTAAGAATTCAGTTAAATACTAAAAGAGCAATACAAATACACACACTTGCGGGTCTTTAATAAATACAATATTATTAGTTATTTATTCTTACTGTTGACCCACAAAGTAGGTCTCTATATTTCACTTTATTTCCACACTCACAACAATGCTTTTCTAAGCGGTATTTGCAATTCTTCAACATAGCAAACTCCTAAGGCGTTTTGCTACAATTAAATCTAATAAAGTATTGACTATTTTATATTTACTTTCTAAATGTTGCAAGTGCTAACAAACTTTTACCTCTCCGATGTTCTTATAATGTCAATTTAAAGTGAGAATTTATTTTCTTGAATTTTTATGCCTGATTAAAATGCAAAATGAATAAATTAAAGCGCATTGTAAACAAACAGAAATTGATATTTCAAGTTAAATCGCAACAAGGTCGGAAATCAATTAATAAAAAAAAGTTGTAGATACTTCAGTACCTACTTGGAATGATTAAATAATCGTTAATCGTATTGTTCCTGTTAAGGAAAATTGTTCAACAAATAACAATTTGTTTTAAAATATACAGCACTTCAAGCTATGAATTATGCTCTTTTTATTTTTTTCGAATCGCAGCAAGTGCAAGAATTTTCTATTATTTTATATAAGTTAGTTATTTTTCAATAACACGCTTGTGAATAATAAATTTCATAGCAAATGTAGCCAATCGAAACCGTTTCCTGATGTTTGTAATAGATTTCTAGTGCGATCACGTTTACTGGAATACCTGAGAAGAATAAAATTATTTACATATGTAATCTGATATACCGAATTAGAAGAATTGATCGATACTTACTGAAAATATACTTGATTTACACATCTTATAGCTGTAGTAATATGTCAATATAGCCAATTATTAATGAATAACATCTTACATTTTATGAGACGCAACATTATTGCGTTATATCGTTTTTTTTATTACAACGAACGTACTGACCAACTTTTAACTATTTCAGAACAGCAGGTGTCAAAGGCAGCATTAAAATTAATGGAAAACCGAGAGACATGAAACTCTTCACTAAATTATCATCGTACATTATGCAAGAGGATTTGGTCCAACCGCGTTTGAGCGTTAGAGAATCCATGATGGTGGCGGCCAATTTGAAGCTCAGCTCCACTATTGGCAATAAAGAAAAAGTTGATGTGGTACGTTCTGTTTTTTATGGTTGTTTGGTTATTTATGTTTGTGGTATTTTTTGTCCGGTTATTCCTGCATTAAAAATGTTTTGCACTTATTTTAGGTGGATGAGGTCATACGATTATTGGGCTTAGAAAAATGTTACGATACAAAAACAGAATATTTATCCGGAGGTCAAAGAAGGAGGCTCACTGTAGCTTTAGAACTAGTCAATAATCCTCCAATTATATTTTTAGACGAACCAACAACGTAATTAAAGCATTCTTAATTTAGCAGCATACTATAATATTTGATAAAATTTTAGGGGATTGGATAACGTATCGATAAAGCAATGTATAGAATTACTGAAAAAAATATCTCGATTAGACAGAACTGTGATATGTACAATTCACCAGCCACCAGCGTCTCTTTTCCAAAATTTCGACCAGGTAATCCTCTGCTCGCTTAAAAATTTCGTAATTTTCAGTAAAAAAAGTGAAATTTAATCGAATTTCAATCTTGGTAGGTGTACGTAATGGCAAACGGCTACTGCGTGTTTAACGGTTCACCTAGTAAACTTGTTCCTTTCATGTCTTCGGCAAATTGTATTTGCCCAGCTACGTCCACGCCTGCCGATTATAGTAAGTAAATGAAAGTTATTAATGATTAAATCTATTGAGCTTAAATGTTCGGTGAAGGTATTAAATACCTTTGATTTGTGTAATTTACGGCCATCTTTAATGTATTATAAAGCCGTTAATTTCATTAGAGAAAACTGTTCTTAATAAAATATTTCTGCCAACAAATAAATAACAAAATTTGTCGTTTAAAAAAACTTCTAATATTTTAATGAGCAACAATTAAGTAGTAATTAACTGAACGTTCGTGTAACAATTTGTAAAATGGGTAAATTAATCAAAGGTCACAATTTTTTATTTCAGTTATCGAACTAGTACAATCGAACCCAGAAAATATCCAAGTGCTTCAAAATCATTCGCAGAATGGAAAGCAAAACTTGAGACAAAAGCTAGAACTTAGGCAAAATCAGACGGAACTGTTCGAAATAGGTGAAATTTATCAGGACACCACTCAAACAGGTTTGAATTATATGTATACCTAGTTTACCTAATACAAGTAGGTATACCTAAACTTATCCAATTTTTCCAATAACACATCCTCAAACCTTGAGAGTTCTTAAGTTCTCTAATAATCTAATTCTAAGTAGGATTTTTTTTTTATTTTTTAGGTATTTCATTCCAAGATGTCGATTATCCAACTTCGTTTTGGACCCAGTTTATCATACTCCTTTCGCGGATGGGCAAACAGACACGTAGGAACAAAACAATGCTCTATATACAATTTTTCCATCATTTAATGTCAGGACTGTTAATCGGAGGAATTTTCTTCGGCACAGGCAATGAAGCGAGCCAAATATACTCCGTTTTCAAGTATTGCATTAGCATAAATGTGTTTTTCATGTACACTCATGTGATGTCTCCAGTATTGTTGTGTAAGTGCTGAAGAGTCTGGCGTATAAAATAATTTGAAATAGACTAGAACATTCATGGTTCTGGTTCTGCGCAATGATTAGTAACTGTAATATTTTATTATTAGTGCATCAATTGAAAGGCATAGAAAAATGAACTTAGTTACTTTATCTAGGATGCATGGATGTTATTATTGCTTTAACAGTAAAATGCAATGAACGAATTAATGGTGCAAAACCAATAACCAACTTACTTTGACTTTATTTAACTTATTTTAGTTCCTTTGGAAGTTAAGTTATTGAGGCGAGAATATTTCAACAGATGGTTCAGTTTAAAGCCTTATTTCCTCGCTGTTACTATTATCAATATACCAATACTGGTAAGTGGGTGGAAAAATGGAAAGCATTGTATATGAAATTTGCGAAAAAATTTTAGTTAATGGGTGGAATTTTTTTCGCTATAATCTCATTCTTTCTATCAGGACAACCTTTAGAATTTGAGAGATTATTCTGGTTTTCTCTGGTGGGATTAAACGTGGGCTTGGCGTCGCAAGGCCTGGGATACACCATTGGAGCTACCTTCGATATTTTGGTAATTATTTTATATAAGTAATAATTAATTACAGTTTATGTACTATTATTCTTGTTTTAGAATGGATCTGTGGTTGCTCCGCATATTTTAGCTCTGGTTTTGGCACTCGGGGTGTACGGAATGGGATACAAAGATGGTATCGAATCCTTCATGAAAGTCATCATTTCATTCAGTTATATGAGGTTTGGTTTGGTCGGCACAGCAGGTTCCTTATTTAACAACAGATCGAATATTCCTTGCGAAGGAACTTACTGCCACTACAGGTACTCACTCATCATTTTCCTTTACCTTAATCAAAACATAATATATTATTGTTTTAGAAATTCAGAGGTATTGATGGCTGATATGGGTATGGGCGGTACTAAACCTTCTTACCAATTTGCATACATTATGATCTTCACTGTTATCTTCAGAGTTCTTGCTTACCTAGCCCTCAAATATAGGATGACCTCGGAATTAAGAAACAAATTAGTCTATTACGCTACGAAAATAGTCAAGCAAAAAGAAACGTAATTGTTCAGGACTGTAGCTAATTTGTTTTTTATTACATGTATTGTTATTGTGATGTAAATTTTAATTGGTGATTGTTGATACCCAATTTTGTAAGTGTCTGTTCTAATAAAAATGTTCTATAGCACTGTGCTGTAACACATATGGACTGTAAGAACTAAATGAATCCATAGGTATTATCATCAGAGCTTTTATTGTATTTGTTCCTTCAAAATCCTTGTAGACTGAAATACGTACATATTTTTCAATTTAAGAAAAGGTGACTTCTAGATTTTATAATCTACGAACCTTTAAGTTATGCTACCTTTAGTACATATTTTACCTCAAAATCTATAAATAGATATAAGAGGGTAACCTCGAATAGAAATCTAAGTGGTGACTAAGAATAGACATGTATACTGAAACATTTTATTATTGCATTGCTATGCTACTCTCCACATTGCACAAATTAATTGTGCATAATTCCTTGTGTTAGCATGAAGTATAATTGTAATAAAATTTGTTTCACTTAATTAGTGAAACTCGTTGCATATGTACATGTTTTGTGATAGTAGCCAAGGAATCTGAAATCTGCACTATCTGCAGTATTATTAATTTAGAAGAGGTTATTGGTTGGACACCACTGTTTGTGTCCATCAAAACAGGTCGATAACAGCGGAGATTGCGCAAACGTTAAGTTGAGCGCAACCGACCGCAAACACAAGAAGCGGAATTGTTCTTTCTTTGGATAAAAAAAGGTATATTTCACAAGAAGTGCACTGAAATGTCGTTCAATCTGTTCGCTAGATATTATGCGAACAATTAGACAGTCTTTTTGAGAAAACGAACGTATTAAGATGTGTTAAATTGAATAACTAACAAGGTAAGAATATTTACATTAGGTAATTGTATCAATAAAAGTCTATAGTTTTTTCTCTAGTTATACTTTGATACTTTAACAGATTATTGTTGGTAATTAGTTTCAATTGTAGACAATTAGTTGTTTATTGACAATTTATTGTTTCATTTTTCATTGCCTTTGTGTTTGATAATTGACATGAAGGATATCCTTAAAATAATTTAGACGAATGCTCTAAGGTAGACAAAGTAAATCAAATTGCATTGTATGTTATATGAATGTTTCATATTAAACCTATTTTATTTTATAATTTTTAGAGTTTTTAAGACATCATGGTATTCCATCTGTGAACCTAATTATAGTCGTTGTAACGAGGTGCTAATATAATTAATTCAAATGTGTCTTTGCTGTCCAGGACCATGCGAAATATGTACGGCTATTTGGACTCTACTTAAGACTGCATATTGCCTAATTCTATTATTAATTTTGTGTTGTCTTGTAGGCACACTTTTATATCTACTCGATGTAATTCATATACACAGTAAATAATGATTCTATTTTGACGATACTCTTTTTTATATTTTGAAATTCCTATTAACTTACTAAATAGTATAACTATTGTTGCGAATATTGTTCTTAATTGCAAGAAATATTATTAATTGGTAGCCAATTAATTAATTATTATATCGGAATGAATTGATATTGGCATTTCAAATTTTTGAGATCCCCATCTAAGAATTAAACCAGTTATATTTTTTTAAGAAAAACAAGATGAACGCTTCCTTACAATTCGTGACAATACTCATTCTTACGGGCCTCAACGTTGTAGCAGCTGTTGATACTTCAGAGAATGAAATAGACAGCGATACGGTTTTTCATAAAAATTCAAAATCGCCTGCTAGTCCTCTCCAAGGTAATTCAAATTGTAGTAATCGGAATCTTTACCGGTCTATACCTGTATTAACACATATAGCTCAACATACTCTTCAATTTTTAACTCAAGAACTCAATTTATGAATCTATAAATTAGGAACTTTAATTGCAAATATCATACAAACAAAAATACGTTTACAAGTCAATTATCTACCATGATTTTTAGACGAAGTCGACATCCTAAACCTGCTCAACATTTCCCTCAAAGATCAAGGGGTGTCGGCCACGGAAGGACCAATTCGCAATTATCCAGCGTACAAATTCCGTCTGCCCTACGGGAATGTCCTCCTATCGAACGCCACCAGCGTGACCGAAGCTCTAAACAGTCCGGAAGGTTTCACGGCTATTTTTTTGATCAGACAACAGAAGAATAATTTAGGAACATTGATTTCGGCCAATTCGCCCGGCAGACTGACGCCTTGGTTCCAGGTGATCAGCAATTCCAAAACCGGCGTTCTGACGTTGAAATACAGATGGAAAGGGTTCAATAAGATCAGGCAGATCGATTGGGGTTTGCCCAAGCATCACAGAAAGTCTCCAATGGCAGGTTAATTATCTCTATTAATTAATACTTTTTATTACACCTTAAAAAAATCTACATTTAAGTGTGCATTTTCGTACATGAAGACAATTAAATTGGAAATTTTTAGCTTGGACTTGGCTGTCAATCTCGTTCGATACGAAACATGGCATGATCCGATTGGACCTTGACTGTGATCCCAGCGCATTCGAGATCATTAAACAAAGGAAAACTCTCGAGAAGTTCACCGTTCCCAATGATTCGCTTGTTTACTTCAGCCAAGAACCGGGAAGAAAGAAGAAATATCTAGTAAATACAATTATCAATACGAAAAGGTGGATGAGATTTAATTGATTGTTTTGCAGGGATCCATTCAAGTAGCGAAAGTTTTGCCTTACACTACCGAGAAGAGGCTTTGGTCTTGTATGCAGATTGCTCAAAATTTGTCTCCAGAATTTCGAAAACCGATTACTTAAAGGCAATACTAATGTGCAAGACCATGTGATAAAAGGATTAATTTTGTTAATTTGAAACGGTGATGAAACAGCAACGCTATTAAAAATAATATTGTTTTTTATATTCTTTTAAATAATTCATGAAGGACTTTGAAGTTAATACATTTGCAGTCGAAGATTGAATTGAATGTTACTCATTTTATCTAAGTAGTGATATAAAACTAATATATCATAAAATGGTTTTAATTTTTCAAAATCTGCATTTCTACTAAAAATTAATTTTAAATGATATAAAATATAACCCTTTCCCAATTAATTTCTTTAAGTTTATAAAAGTAAATATTGATTTAGCATCAGGTTACTAATTTACTATTCGTATGTCGTTAATGAATGTTATTTTTAAACATGACAAATAGGAAAAGAAAAAAGTCAATATCAAGTAGGTATAACCTATTGATTTCCAAATGGTACCCGATTTAAACAATTAAAAATGCATTATTTTACGTTTACTTTCAAGAACTTGTCTATTGGTTACCACTGTATGAGTTCATAAGGATAAACTGATAGCGTAAATTTCTATTCATCTGAAAAGAATTAACACAATATTGGTATTGAAATTCGATATTAAATTGATAAAACCAAAAACCGTATCTGTCGAAAATATCCTAATCCACCATGTAATATAAAAGTCAGCTACTAGCTAGCATTTCTTCTGGTTTCAATTGAACCACTTCCTCCGAATGACGCCATAATGCATCACAAAGTTTCTTATTGTAAGCTTGGTATGGTTTAAAGCGTGGAACTCCTTCCCCGAAAAACTTTCCTGTTACATTTTCCACTTCATTAGCGCAAGCTAAGTGTATGCCGGTTTGCGCTCCTTCTTCGGGACTCTGCAAAAATTGTAACAGAATATTGCTTGAGGAATTCAACAAATTTATTTGAAGAGAATTTTAATCGGTTTATATCTTACCTTTCCTGCTAAGAATGAAGCTATAACTAAAAACTGATTCATTAGCCATTCGCATGTTTGCATGCCGTCTCCTCTAAATTGTGATAATATCCTTGTTTTCACGATTCCAGGGTGGTAGGAGTTCGATGTAATATTGTACTTTTGCAATAGGTTGCTCAACTTGTCCGCAGCCGCAATCATACAAAATTTCGAAGTATTATAGTCGTGTATCATCGAACCTATATCAACATCCAGTTTGTTCTTTTTTAAGGATACTGCATTAAAAAAGGATAATCCAGAACTGGTGAAAATGATTCTAGCCGATGAAGATTTTTTTAAAAGACCTACAAAATGTTGCACTCTAATTTTTATGCTCCGAATCTTAAAGCTTCCATTACTCACCAACGAGTAGATGAGTTAAAAGAAAAGCGCTGTAATAATTGATTTGCATGGGTTTATTCAAACCGTCTTTTGACAACTGACCATAGCACTTGCCGATGCCCGCGTTGTAAATGAAAATGTCCAATTTAGTTACGGACGAGTTGATTTTTTCAGCTAGCTTTCGAACGGATGCGAATGATGCCAGATCGACGTATTCAAACGAAACTTTGTCGCTTTTTGTTTCCTTGTAGATGGCATCTTTTATTTCTTCATTTATTATTTCATCGGCCACTATAACTTTGCAACCTCTCGATGCCAAATTACAAACTATGTGATAACCAATTCCTAAAATACGTACATGATATTAGTGAATTATTATATATTTTATCTATTTTATTTGTTACCTATTAGAAAATTTTTTCTTATATCGCTGATGTGTATTTGAATGAGAGTAGGGTATGCCCATGATTCAAACGTTTGTTTAAATTTTATTTCTAATGCCGAGAATATCAGTTTAACCTAGTAGTAATTTGTGATGATAATGAGAAGTTGAAGGCGAGTATATCTATCAACTACCTATGTACTAATCTATGATGTAATTATTTGAAGTTAAACTAGTAAATAAACAGGTCTGGTATATTAAAAAATGAAAAATAATTGAGGAAATTGTTAAAACGAGTTCAAATAACCGATATGAATTTATTCAATACCTACCGACAATTTTCCGTTAATTTGATAAACTGCGGATGTAGTAATGGAGTAAATAACAAGGAGGTATGTTTAAGGTAAGATAAATTTTAGTACGTTCTATGTAAAAATAAAAACTTTTATTAAAAAAGAAATTTAACAAATTTATAAAATTACTACTGATAAGAAATCGTGGCATAACGGGAACCCAAGAAACCCAAAAAATCTACCCTACCTTACCTATGTTTCTTGAGTATATCGCAGTTTTACCCGGGTAAACCTATGTTTAGTTGTTTATATAGCTTTACCCGTAACGTAAATAATATGTAATAAAATTTACATATGTAAATTAAGAATTTTATTGCGACTTCAATGAATGTTATATGTATTTACTACCTATTCTTATTAGCAACTTACCTAAGCTTCCACCAGTAATCAAAGCTGTTTTACCAGAAAGACACACATTGCTTTTACATCGAAAACAAATTTGTCTAATATAAATCCTAAGTAAAATGCACAATATTAAAATAGCAGATATTGCTAAAATTATCATTTCTATTAACTTGATTTCCTTGTGGATCAACAAATTATACCTATTCACATCGGCACAATTTTTCAAACTGTTAACTTTCGTTGACTAGAAAGGAATATTAAATAATATTTAGTTAGAAGCTTCTGTCTTCATTAACCAAATTATGCCTTTCATAATTATTAGTCTACGTTCAAGGTTATTTTTCAAAAGGTTTCGATAAATTAGAAATTATATAGTGGCGGTACTTTGCATATTTAGTTATCCAAATGTTTAAAATTAGATTACAAAATGATAAAAATAAATAAATATTGTGATAAATTTTATATGACACAATTCCCAAATGTGACTATAGTAAATTGCACAAACAATTCCAAAAATGTCTAATTATATTACCTATTGCTACCTTATATTAACCGTAAATACATAACGTTCAAAATTGCTTCAAATATTATATGTAGGTATGTAGATTAAAGGATTAAATCTCATTTATTTTAAAGATATCAGTCGGTACCTACGTTTGATAAACCTATTGAATCTTATCACATCAAAATAAAATCATTCGATTGTTAATAAGATTCTATTCAATCGATACACGCGATACATTTACCCATTTTCTAACAAAAATGTACATCATTAAAGCGATAATTTTTGAGCTGCTAATAATTAACGCCTATGGTGAACTAACTATAGCAGATATTGTTTTACCCAAGGATCCGAACACTCTGTTTTTGGAAAAACTAAGGAATGGAGAAATAAACTTCGAAAAGGATATCCAATTGGGTCTGGGCTTCAACTTATCCGAAATATTCAACATCGGAGAAATCTTCCAAAATAACAACCCTACCGATTACTTCCAGGAAAAATTAAAAAATGGAAAACTCCAACTTCCACCGAATTTCGGTTTGGATATTGTAAGTGTTATTTTTTATTTACTTTAACTTTCAAATGCGCTACTATTTTAGTATAAATTCTTGAAAAATTACGGTTACCCCGTCGAAACTCACTGGGTGCAAACGGAAGATGGGTACGTCCTGAGAATGCACAGGGTAGCCGGCAGGAACGGAACTAAGGGCTATATGGCGAAAAGGGACAGGCCAGCGGTGCTGTTCGTGCACGGTCTAGCATCCAGTTCCTTTCATTGGGTCGTTGCGGGCCCAAACAAATCTTTAGCCTTACAGTTGGCCGACCAAGGATTTGACGTTTGGTTGGGGAACACTAGGGGAAACACTTGGTCCAGGCAACATATAACCCTGAATCCCGACATAGATCACGAAGCATTCTGGCAATTCAGGTAAATTAAGTAGGTTATTTTATTTAAGCTACAAAATTAGTTCGATGGAACCTTATAATTCACCCTTTAATTTGAATTAATGGAACGTTTTCGAATAAATAACTTTAATAAAAAAAAATGTTATTTGACAAACTAATGGCCTGCTGCAATAAAAAACACTTGCGTGTCCAGCAAACAGATATAAATTAGTAATATATCTAAATATGTTAATATGCATTACCTGCTCGATTACGTAAGAGAATTTTTAATCGAATACCTTATACAGGATGTTTTTTTTAGTTATGAACAATGCGGTCAATACGATTTACCGGCGAAGATCGATTATATAATAGCCAAAACTGGACAGCAGAAAATATTTTACGTCGGGCATTCCCAGGGTACTTCGATTTTTTTTGCAATGGCCGCTTTGAGACCGGAATATAACGATAAAATAGCGTTGTTTACCGCTTTCGCCCCAGTCGTTTACCTTAAGCACATGAGCTCTCCAATGTACCGATTTTTGGTTAAATACATGGATAAAGTTGAAGTAAGAAACACTCAAAAGTTCTATAATAATCTAAACTAAAATTTAATAACTTATGACCTAGGTACACCTTTAATAACTATTTATGACCTAGGTACACCAAGCACCTATAGCAAAAAAATATCGTACTGTATAAATATTTAGAATATGTACTTACCCACATTTTATTTTATTAGGTTAACACTATTTTATAGATATAAGTGCATTTTTATGGCCATCGTAATATAATTTTGAATTTCAAGAAAAATTTAATGAATGAATTTTAGGTATTAATAAAGAATATTTATGAATTAATGTCATACAATTGGTTGAGTGCAAGAATTCAAGGTTTACTGTGCTTGGAGGAACCGTTTTCACAATTTTGCTTGATGGAACGGTTTTTCCTTTCGGGATTCGATCCATACCAAGTTGATCAGGTAGGTAACAAAAGAAATTAGTAGGGTCGTATGATTTATTGAGGGATTTACAGACGCAGATTGCTCTAGAAACGGCTCAATCGCCTAATGGTATATCGAAAAATATGCTTCTTCACTTTGGACAAAACATAAGATCAGGTAATTAATAAAAATAATACCACCAATGATTCGAATATTTGTAAACGGATATTACGTTAACCTAAATTACCTACATATTTTTAAGGATTCTTTCAACGATTTGATTATGGACCTGAATTGAATCAAAAGCTCTATCAAAGTAGTATTCCACCGAATTTCACCCTATCTCATGTTACTGTTCCCACAGCTTTATATTACGCTCAAAACGATTTATTCGTTCCAGTGAAGGTAAAAAATGTTTTACTGCTATAATTTTCTTTGTTCCATGTGCTTTTGTGCATTTTAGGCCGTAGAACAATTGACGAAGGAACTACCAAATGTAGTAAAATCTAAGCTTATCTCATTTAAATACTTCAATCATATGGATTTCGTAAACGCCGTAGATGTTAACAAATTGGTAAACAATGATGCGATTAGTCTCATTAAGACATACGTTGATAATGGAGGTACAACAACGCCCGCTCCTCCTCCAGGAAATTCACCTGCTGCTGCAATAAAATTCAATTACGGGTGTATTTTAATGATTATATTACTTGCTTTGTATTCATAGTCAACATAACTTTATTGTATACATAAAAAAATCTGTATTAAAAGAGTTATGAGACATTTGCATATTACTCAATATTGATGATAAGTGAATTATCGGAAAATTAAAAAAAATTTAATTTAAAAAAAATCGTGGAAAACTTGCATGTGCTTGTTAGATATGTTAGACATGTTAGATATCATCAAGTGCATATTATACCTAGATAAACATGATTGTAAAGTTTAACAAGTGTAGCATAAATCAATGTACCTATCAACAGAACTAATATTAGGACCAATAAATTATAAGAAAACACATAAATTATAAACATCAATCACTTTAATAGATAGGAAAGAACCTACACATGACCAAATTTCATATTATTTTACTACGATATATAAATATAATAACTTGAAGAACGCCGAATAAGAGAACAGTTCCTTAAAACAATATTGTGTATTTCCTCAAAAAAAATGAGACTCGAATAAAAATTATTGGTTAGCGTTGATAAAAATAACTCTTTAAATTTATACCAACACGAAGATTCTAAACTTGTAAAGATTGGTAATACGTTCAGCATATAAGAAACTGGACGCCCAGTTCGATGCGTCTCAGTTACAACTGTGCAGCCGTGACACGAATAGCGCAATCATGAGTAATTATCAATACAGATCGCCGTTAAACGATGCCATTTGTACTCCAGATAAAAAGCCTAATTGCCCATGGAATCCGAAAATCGATCGGTCCAAATCAATTCACACCAAACAAGATTGGTATGTATATTTTTGTTCAATAGCTAAGAATCTAATAGCATCTTTGGAATAATCTCGCTTAATATTTAATAAAACATGTAACACCAGAATTTATAATTATTCTTGTTTTTAATTTTTGAAATGATATGTACCTACACAGTGCCCAAAAATAAGCTTTGAAATTGTTTGTAATCCTTTTGAAAATTAACGAAAATAAAAGAAATTAAGCTTCGTTAATCGTTATTTAAAATTGATATTTTATTACTGTTGACATCATAATATTCGAGATCAATTGATTTATTTTGGTAAGTTACAATATTTCATTTGGCAATATTGATACAGATTTTAATTAAACGATTTTCATGTTGTTATTAAACAAAATTACATTATCCGGATAATAAATTTTCTAGAAATTTATTTTAGTTTCTACTTATAGAAACCCATTAGAACCTCGATGAATAAATTTTAGTAAGCACATCTCTAGGTGTATCCATAGGAATTACAGATAATGCAATGAATAAAAATATGTAATTAAGATGTTAATATTGACATAAATAATTAACCACTTATATTCACGAATAGTAAGCACATAGTTACTAATTATCAGATCAAACAAGCTCTGGAAATTTTTAGCATCAAATTTTATCTATAGAATAGAATAAGTGATTGGTTGATATCCTTGATGTTTGAACATTTTCCGTACTTACCAATATTTTTTTTATTTACGTATTTGTAAACTTGTGATATTAAATAAATAACAATGTATTAATGGGTTATTAAAGTTGGTAGGTATCTTTATAAGAAATAGATGCATTTTGGAAAAAAATCGTAAATTTGATTAAAACTAATTCGGGAAAATTACGGGGAGTTCGACAAACTTTTCACTATCTACATATTATAATCTTTAAACTTTGCCGTGTTTTTTTGTGGATTAATTTTAATTACAATAAACTAATTTATCAGTATTTATTACATTACCCAATAATTATAGCGTGTATAACATGTTAGATAATTTTGAGAATAATATTTAAATTTCGTACTATATCTACTGCTTTGTCACAGTGATTAATTGTTTTCTAATTTTAATATTTTCAATTTAATTATATACGTTCAATTACGTTGAATAAATATTTAACATGAGCAACGAGCACGTAAAAAATATTTTTACCATTATTATACAATCCACTTAATAGAGACGGAAAAACTTCTTAACCTGGTATTCATCTGTTAATATTAAAACAAATATAATGTCCAGTATTTGCTTATTTATAATAACGACTGTTTTTTTATTACTCTTGATATAACAACATTTATATTTCTCTTCATTTTGCATAAATGATATATTTTTTAGGAGAAAAACCAATGCGAAAATACTTCCAGACATTTTGGCCGCGGTCGGAAACACTCCGCTAGTAAAGCTCAATAAAATCCCCCAAAAGGAAGGCTTGAAATGTGACGTATGTAAGTATCCATGAAATGAATGTCCTACTCGGCAGGAACTACGAATATTTTCTTTAATTTTCAAAGTGCTAAAACTTACGAAGGATTTATACCGCAAGGAAGCGTGGGAGTGATATCGATTAATTCGCCTTCAATAGGCCTCTCTAAATATACGTATCCTATAAATTTAGTTCTGGCGAATCCCACCTGTTTAAGCTCTTATATTAAATATTTACAGCAAAATCCTATTATACCCTTAATGCGTTTCTGTATTTCTTTTACTGCATTTCAGTCGTAAAATGCGAGTATTTCAATCCCGGAGGTTCGGTGAAGGATCGAATGGCGTTGAGGATATTAGAAGACGCCGAAAAATCTGGAATTCTGAAACCAGGAGGTACTATTATCGAGCCTTCTTCTGGAAACACTGGAATCGGTTTGGCTCTGGCTTCTGCAATCAAAGGTTTGAAGATATTTCAATTTATATACGAGTAGAAAAAGTCTAATCGGAAGTTTTATTTAAGGATATCGGTGTATTATTTGCATATCGGAAAAAATTTCGAAGGAAAAGGAGTACGTTATGAATGCCTTAGGTGCTGAAGTAATTCGATGCTCGGTATCGGCCAGTTCGTATTCTCCTGAAGGATTATTCGGGACGGTCCATCGTTTGAGCAAGGAAATACCCGGTGCTGTTATTTTCGATCAGGTAGGTAATTAAAAAATACAAATTTATGCAATATTTTTTCTTTGTACCCTGTATACCATTTTGGGGATTTGGTTGTATAAATTGGAGCTAAACGCGAACTTGCTTCAAGATGAACGGTCTTTAGGTTGTTTTGGCAAAATTTATAAGTTCCAGAAAAAAGTTGTAACAGTAGAACTTGAAGGGAAAATCATTTTCCGCCGAATGGGATCGGCACGGAAGTTTCTAGATTGAGACTAAAATAAGATTTCCATAGTAAGAATCATAAAACTTTTGAAGTAATTTGGGGTTGGAATCTTTTACACATCTGTGCGCATTTTAATGCCCCAAAATCGATACATTTAGGCACTTTATCTACCTTACTATAATGATGCTGATCAGTATAGTACCAAAATATATTTTAATGCTATTTCAGGTACGTATTGTTAGAAAGAGGGTATCGATTCTGCATTAATTTTCATCTACATCAAATCTGAAATTCCATCAAAACCGCCACTGAAAAAACACATTTCACAGAGAATCGATACAAATATTTTTGTTCCAGTTCTCTAATCCCGGGAATCCTTTGACACATTACGACACAACTGCAGAAGAAATTTTCGATCAATGCGATGGAAAAGTTGACATGATTGTACGTATTTTAACAATTTAATATCACGTCCATTTAGAGTACTATTTTAACAGTACGCTTGATTAAACCGCTTTCATTAATTGCCAAGGTTCATGTAAAACGGGATTTATTCCTACGCGATTGACATTGCGACGAACATAATAGCGAGTTCTTCTTTGTCCAATACGAAGGTAAATTGTTTCCCTTCGAACGGACTATCGAAAGTTGGCCCGCGGCCAGCTGGCTCGCGTTTCATCGCTCAATTGAATACACACCGTAGTACATCCACGGCAGTAAAAAATATATCGAATTCGATTTGACCAGGTTATGGGAGCCGGTACCGGCGGTACCGTAACGGGCGTCGGCAGGAGGTTCAAGGAAATCTCGCCTCAAACGAAGATCATTTGCGCCGACCCGATCGGGTCCTCCTTCGCCCTGCCAGAAAGCATCAATAAAACCGACGTCACCTTTTGGGAAATAGAAGGAATGGGCTACGAATTCATCCCGACTGTTCTGGATCGAAACGTCATCGACCAGTGGATTAAAGTAGGTGACAAAGATGCTCTGCCGATGGCCAGGAGGCTGATCAAGGACGAAGGATTGCTGATAGGTACAGCTTAGAATACTTAACTTGTGTTTGCCTATAGATTTATTTCATCCAATCTCTTGATGTTTCTGATAATGATAATGATATTTCCACCAGGTGCCAGTAGTGGGGCTATGATGTGGGCTACAATTCAAGCTGCGAAGGACTTGAAAAAGGGCCAAAGGGTAGTGGTGGTACTGCCAGATAGTATCAGGAACTACTTAACTAAGTTCGCTTGCGATCAATGGATGGAGGAGAGAGGGCTTAAGCCAGCAGTTAATGTTAATAATCATTCGTAAGTTGAATTTTTTATATCATGTGGTGTAAAGAATCTAATATTATATTTTTAGTTGGTGGGACCAAAACGTATCTGCTCTGGAAATATCCGTCCCACAAACGCTCCCGCCGAACTCCTCTTACGAGAAAGCATTTGACGCGATGAAAAAATTGAAAGTGGATCAATTACCCGTTCTAGGGGAGAATGGGTAAGTTATTCAAAATTAACAGTAAAAAAATTCGTCAAATCATTTTTCAATCTTTCATAAATCGAGTTGTTTTTTACAGTGGGGTAGACGGCGTTGTCAGTATGCAAATCATCGTGAACAAACTGGTTTCGAGGAAAGCTAAATTATCGGATAAAGTTACCGATTCTCTGGATAGACTATTTCCAAGAGTCGAGAAAACAGCAAACGTGGGATTAGTGGCTCGAATTCTGGAAAGAGAACATTATGTAATCGTTGTGGATACTCAAGGTAAGTTTTACGGCCGTGTTTCAACCCGTAATTGCACCGAGCATTAGTAGAATCATGAAAATAGAATGAAATATTTTGGAACCGAGCAAACTGCAGTACGGCAAAAGTTTGGTCTTTAAGAGTAGGTAATTGTTTTTCGAGGAAATGTCGGTTTATTAACATAATTTTAATTTTGTTTGTGTAAAAGGATAATATTTCTATAGTTATGAGTGTAATTTTCCGATTAATTGGTTTCTAATTTTTTTGTTGTAGGAAGTGGACCATCTAAGGTACTCAAACCCATGGGCCTAATTACTCCAACAGATCTTGTTCAATTTATTCAAAAAAGTGGTTAAAAATGTATCTAAATACTAATAATTTTTGTTTCTTAAATACCTACCACATAATAAATAGTTTTGAATAATTAATCATTCGATTTGCCTCTGTTTTTACCTTATAATCTTTTAACGTCCTTTATGATCATTTTTTTAATCTAATTTGAATAAACACTTTGTTTTTGTAAGTACGCCTATTAAATCAATCGGCTCTCGCGTGCCGTGTAGTATTGTTTTTACAAGAAAACATAATTTTTCGAATTTTTGACCTGTTTACCCGAAGCGGGTTAAAAGCTGAAACCTACGTTGTGGAAACAGCAAATACGTAAACAGAAGTAAACAGGGCGAAATAGAGCAATAAGAATATTTTTTACTATGTTGACATAAGTGCCCGAAAATAAATTCCTGTAAACATACGAAGCCTTAAATGGGCGGAATTACAAGTAAGGCGTACATTCGTAAAAATTCGATTGAAAAGCGTGATAAAAGCGGTTAAGTGTATTCTTTATTCGAGCTTATATAAAGCTAAGGTAAGTACGTTGTACATAACACTACAATTTGAAATTTACTTGCACTCGCATTCACTTATTTAACGAATGACTCAAAAATTTACTTTTCTATGTTCGTAAATGTTGTAGTGAATTTTTTTTAGATGAACCTTCTCAAGCTCCTGCAGATATCCAAATACAATATTGTATTGAACAACCGAGTCTCGTCGAGTTCCTTTCAGGAAGCGATGAAATATCCGATGAAGTTAGGGCAAGTTTTAAGTTATTTTCCTATTAATTTGCGCCATGCAAATGAATCGCTGGAGTTCAGGTGGCTGTACTGGAGAATGGCTTACTCATTAATTACCTTCGTTTTGTTCTGTATAGAATTTGTTTTCGTAGTTATAGACGCTTTCAGGACCACCATAGATCTATTGAATATAAGTGAGTCTAGTTTATCGTTATAACTATTAAAGTTCCAAAAGTTTTTAGAAATACTGAATAAAACCGAGATACTGAGGAACACAAGTGGTTTAAAAGTATTTTGTTTTTTTAGAGGTGATTGTTTTTCATTTGGGGGCGCTCGTACAATTCGTCATTTTCTTCAGGCTGACCTATAACTGGCCGAGTTTCGTAAAAGAATGGGCCAAAGTCGAATTCCACATGAAATGCTACGAAATAACGGGAAATTTACGATTTAAGTTAGCGTGTTTGGTTACTGGCTTAATGTTTATAGCCGGAGGTAAATACATGGTTTAATTTTTGTCGTATACGATGAATATTCCAAGTTTAGCGACTAACTTGTTGGTGTATTGAATTGAGGGATCCGTACGACGGAAAATAAAGTTATAAAGTTAACGACTCGAATATTTCCAATTGTATATTGGCATCCACAATCAGATAACTACATTTCTGTGCATTTTTCAGTTGAACACGGATTGGTAAATGCTTACAAATTAAAACGTCGCTTCGACGAGGAACCTTCATATTCTAAAGCATTCGAAACGTTTTTTACTTACACTTACACGCACATATTTAGAGTCATGGAATATTCCTTCTGGTTGGGATTATTAATTCAGGCAAGTACCGTCCCACATCTTGTTTTTAAAATTCGTCCCTTCCTGGTGACATTTATCATGGGAACGTTTCGCCCAGTTCCTCCGAACTCATTAGATTGTCCCGTTGAAGTCGACATAATGAAAGGTCCCGAGGAATCCGTTCTTCGTTCCGTAAACGTTGTTTACAACTTTTGATGCAGCCATTGATTTAATTGAATGAGCTCGCGTGACATCCAGCGCGATGTATAGGATACCCAAACGTGACCTAGTTGTCGGAGGAGCTCGTTCCGCGCACCTTAATCGTCGACGATCAAATGATTGTACGACTTCATTAATCTTTATTCTCGCATGAGTTATTCACATTAGTCCTGTACACTCTAAAAATAATCATTTCAGTTCGCACTATATTATAAAATGTTATTTCCTTTTGCCCCGGCGCTTTTCGCGATAATAAAACCGGCGTTTGTCGGCGTTATTTTTGGTATGATAATAGTAATTTTGGACATTAAAAGAACATTTCGAAATACCAGGGAAGTAGAAAATTTACCATTTTATACCCAAATTTATCCACTTCTGTTGTATCCCTCTCTTGCGTTTCTCCTCTCAGTACTATTCCATTAACTTACCCATCTTTTCCATTATATTTATTCCCAATGCCTTTCTCAAAGTACCCTCTACTTCCCAATTTATCTCTGTACACAATTTATGAATTCATTTACTCCTTTCCCTGTATTATAGCTCCCAACTCAAAAATTGTTTTCTACACATTTCTCATTTTACCTTTATGATTTCTTCAGCTTACCAGATTTTCCCTTTTTTCCAGTTTATGAATCTGCAAAGGACATTTTACTGGAATTACAACGACGTATTCATAATGCTGATTGGTTCAGCGTTGACATTTAAAATGAAACAAATGTCTAAGAAAATCAAAGATTCGTCTAAAATTAAGGTAACCATTAAAACGGCGACTTCTTAACAATCATTCCAAAGAAACTTTGGTAAAGAAACTCGCTCTTTGCTAATGTATTTATTTAATAATCGTAGCGAGATTACTGGCAAGTAAAAATCAATTAGGCGGATAAGCCGAAGAAACTTTCTTAGAATGATTAATAATATTCAATAAAAAAAGCAGTAAGCAAAAGAAAATGATGGATAATGATTACCAAGCTGGATAGTCGATGCCAACATCGGCCAGTTCTTGGCACACGTAAAATAGATATATGTAAATACGTGAGTTTGACGTTAGGAAATGAAACTAACGAAAATAAATCTCTCATGTTAATTTTGCTAGCTAAAGAATACCGAAACCCGCTATTAGGTGATCAATACTGGAAACATACATGCGAATGCGGTTGGGTATTTAGAGATAGGCTAAATCAGCCAGGTATCCTTATCACAATGAAACGAGCAAACAATTAGTTTCATTCGCATTATTGTTTATGTGGATGCTTATCTACTGAAACTAAATTCGTGAAGCTAGAGAGAAATGAAAAGCACACAAAATCTTCTATTTAATATTTAATGGATCGTTAAATTTTAAAATGCTCGGCTCTTCAAAACCTCGGCTATTAAATATTAAGTACCTTCATTATTTATAAATCATGTCCTAATAATGCTATTATTATTTTTTAAATCGAGTCGCTTTTCCTCCGGCAAACTGGTTATTTTCCAGGTAAGGAACCTGCAAGTTTGGAAAACTATCCGACAAGATTATGCAAGATTATCTGAACTATGCCACCTGGTTAACGAAAGGATATCAGGAGCGATCATTGCCAGTTTCCTGCTCAACTTATACTTCGTGATCCTACAACTACACAGTAGTTTGAGACCTATTGAAAGCGTCGTGGAAAAAATTTATTTTTACCTGTCTTTCGGACTACTGCTCCTGCGAATATTCTGCATGTGCACATTCGGAGGTGCGGTATACGAAGAATGGATCAATATCAGATATTATTTGAATAGAATTGGTACTGCGGCCTACAATTATGAGGTATGTTTGTTTGCTATCTAATACCATAGACACTCTTGCCTAGAATAATGATGATAGCTAATAAGATGGATTAATTTTTACATTGAGTGCAGCAGGAATAACTGACGATATAAGAGTACGATGTGCAATTGCGCAGGTCATGTCTATAGTTATTTCTATTGCATTGTACATGAATATACGAGGAGTGGACTAAAATTAACCTCAAGTTTACAATATTGGCATATTAAATCATAAATTATTATTCGCATGCAAAAATGTAGATTATTCAATTTTGCTTTATGTTTGCATTGTGTCTATTCTAGATAGATAGATTGATCAATCATGTAGTATCTTGGGAATTATCCCTGACGGGAAAGAAATTCTTCAGCATTACGAGAGGATTAATACTTCAGGTACATATAATTATACAAATAATTAATTGAATTATATTTACAATAATCACGTTGCTTATTTTAGATGGCCGGTGCGATAGTAACCTACGAACTGTTTTTGATACAATTTTATAAGAACCCTAACGTTTGAAATTGTAACAGATTTTTAAAGAATTTTTAGTAAACGTTGTAACATAAATAAAAGAACTGTAAAATATAGTTGGTAACTAACACAGACTAATGGTAGGGGCTTCATTCGCACCGTTCGCGAAAGGACCAGAAAGAGAAAATAGAAAACAATTACGGTGGCACACTCCCGTGCTCTCCTATAGATCGCATCCTGTAAGAGGAAGGAAAAAAGGATGAGAATAAGGAACAGCCGAAAAGTCCGCATGGAGCGCTAGCGTAGCGGTCCCGGCTAACCCTCATGCAGTATTCGGCCGCTAATCGAACATGATGCTCGGCATCGCGTCGTGACGCCAATGAACACAATTTTATTTTCCACTAGTGTATATGAAACTCGAAATTTTCTCCTCTTAGATATAGTGTTTAGTGGCAAGAAGTTTCAGACGTTTTTTCATGTTGAATGTCTTCTGTTTTATCTCTAGGATACACATTCGTTATTAACTGGCTTTATAGGAATTTCAAGTGCCACAAATAGGTAAGTCCCTTTCCAAAAATTTGCATAATTGCCTATCTGCGGCTTCATAAAATATTATAATATTATTCAGAGAGGCAGAGACAACCGACTGTAATAAAAAATTTCACCACTTTCATTGATAATTGCGCCTTTTATGGCAATTATATAAACGCTATTTCAGAGAACGTTCTATACATGAAAATCTCTTCGGATTTATTATAATCCTTTTTTATTGTCAAGAATACGTGATTAATAAAAGAAGCGTAGTAGAACTAATTAATTATTTCGCTAAATGATAATTTTAAACTTACACCTACGTACATTCGACTTAATTTACTATTTGTGTGTAAGCGTATAACGCAAAATATTGAAAACAGTTAAAAATAAACGAGATACAAATGTCGTCTATATTTTTGTCATTTAGTTGAATTTGAACTTAAAACTTGGCGAATGTACATTGATTGTGTCATCCAATTTAGCTATCTAGTCAACGACTTACTATATAGGGTGTCCCAAAGCGCCGGTTAATAATATTTTACTATTCTAAAAATAAGGAGAATGTAATAAATTTTATGCTAATTGTATTCACTTTTTTTATTGATTAAAAATATAATTATTCATTCCTAAAAGATTATCCAGGAAAAATAGTAGAAAATTGTTGTTATTAAAAAAAATTATTTTATCAGTTTGGCATGTCATAATGTCAAATACACAGATTTATACACAATAATATATAATATAGAGATAATGTAATATATAGATATAATAATGTTTCAGTTTCATAACATTGCTACAGAATTCTAGATTGCTGTTTTCTTCATTAATATCACATTAACACAAGGGAATTTGTCATCATTTGGGAATAGCAGGTAAATTGCTACTCTAACGACATTGCGAGATGTCATCAAATGTCCTATATAACTTGTTCTAATGCCGAAGATAAGATAAAGGATGAAATATGAAAATAATAAAATATTAACCTATAAAGTTCAAGCCGATTCTAGACGAAATATTGGAATATACCAAGTTTTGGTAAAGGATTTAAAGCGCCTATTGGAAGTTGAAAAAGCTTACGCTTCTCTTGGTTCGGTAGATGAGCATGCCATTAATAAGTTAATTAATAATTTCGTTAAGAAAGCCTGGCGAACAAGAAATTGAGCAGTGCAGAATCTACAGCAACTTGTATTTAAAGTAAAATGTGAGTGAGCACTCTACCGGAACTATAGTTCTGTAACACTAGTAATATTTTGGAGATGTAGCAGAATATATCCATATTTCACAATGTTTATGCCAACCGTTTTCGCTTATAATAGATTATATCTCTATAGTTGTAACGGTCTCGTTTATCATTCTTGAATCATTTTCGTTCTTCCTACACTTTTGAAAACGTAGTCTACAAAAGGCTCTCTCTATAATTAAAGATAATTTGATATAATGTCTTTCGTAGTAGAAAACATCTGGAAATATAGCAGATCAATATCGTGGTGCTCGAATGTTCGCTAAAAAACGCGAAAATTATGTACATTGATCCTAATCTAAATCACATAATATGCAACTTTGTGTTAGGTTAGTATGGCGTGGTGAATAAATCTATTTATCTTGGTTAAGGCCCCGAAACCGGAATTCCTGACGATGAAAAAGTGGATTACTTCATGAAAGAAACTGCCAAGTTTTCAGATTATTTTAAATACTAGCACACTATTTGAACGCACGTACTTTCAATCCGATTTTAAAATTTTATTCTTGCTATTCAATAACATGAACGACCTAAATTCATCAATATTCCTGACAATCATCAACTGAATTTAATTTAAATTTCTGATGCAACGTTAGGTAAGTTTTTACCTGCAAACTGAATCTCGTCATCTCAATACTCCCACCCACATGTTGATTGTGTCACAAGATGAGGATCGCGACATCTTAAATTAAATTGAAGTGACTAGGAAACCCCCGCGAACAGCATTCAATCCGTCAGCGATTTTATCAAATCTTTCATTGTGAGCCGCTCTATTGTTCACGATTTATTAAAGCTCCAACATGTAAAAACCGCTGCCAACTGGGATATCCTCTGCCACTACACTACTAAAACTTTTTTAATCCGCCAAGCGAAGGATTTTACACTAAAACTCAATCTTTCTAATCGCAATCAGACGCAACTTCGCGTATTCAAGATAACAGCCAACAGTTTAATTTTTGAATGGCCCCGAGTTGCTTCCGACACCGTTCAATCTAGCAACAAATGCAGAACAGGCATTCATCACCGAACGCTTTTCGTTTCATTTAATGTGTTTTGCCGAAACTTCCACCGAGTTTAATCTAAAAGTGAATCTCGAGCTTTCTGTTCCAGACTGATTTCAAGGGCGTTCGTCAAAACACGTTGTCATTGTTTTTTGTAACTCTGCTCAATAACTTTGATTGATTAGATATCTTCGTTTCACTGAGTTCCTGTAGATTGCATGAAAAATTAATAACATATTTTTACATTTTGATTTACGAAACATCTTTACTGCAATTCTCTAATAAGTACAAAAACCTTTCGTGAGCAATTCCCTGCGACTGTAGGTATACTTCACGTTAGTTAGTCGATAATTTGTTTAAAATTAGTTCGGCTCTTTAACAAATTAAAATCTATTTTTACGGACGTGACCGTTAGTCCCGCTAATAAATTACGAATCGATGCAATTTTCAAACGGCTTTGATTATTATTATCCGACGGGCACACCTTCCATTTCGACGTAAAAGGGAAATGGCCAGCATTAAAATTAAAATAGAGAGGTCAACGTCGATTTGAATGGCTGTCGCTCGCGTTTTTTTGACGCCTTTCTTCTGTCTAATTCAATACGGTAACAGGAAAAACGTCGGAAGAAAAATTTGAATAGAGCCGATATAATTAAGAAAGGAAAACGAACTGAAAGGGAATTGAAACGCTCTACTAGCGACTTTACAAACAGTTTCTTCTCTTTCAGGGGTTGGGGAAATAATTAATTTATTAGAACTTAGAATCGCAGGAAATATTACGTATGTAGTAGTAAAGACATTTATGTTGTTACAGTTGCAATAAGAGTACTTAAGTTAAATGTTTTAGATCATTCTTCAAGATATTAAGGCCGTTTTCAACAATCATCTCAGTAATTGTCCGTTTTGGTGCTTCACGTATTGATAGAAAAGAAGAAAAATTGGAAGGTATGCAAGTACTTAGAAGGTTGGGACAGTGGCGGTAGTAACCAGGAGGCGGCAGCCTATAACAGCGCAAGTGCAGACCCTGGATAGGTTGGGTCAATTGCACCTGATCAGCGCCAGTAAGTATATTTCATTCGAATTGTTTTATTTATTTACATCCGCCGAAACATTGTTATAATAGATTATATGCTTCTTCTTGGCTTTGCTACGACGTTGGAATGGCTGAGGTAAGGCAAGATGGAAAACAACGAGTGTTGTAAAATTAGTAAAAATAGCTCCCTTGTACCAGTTATCTATTGTCTTGCAACATTTTACAGTTCTTTGCCTTACTTTTTCAATTCTGTGAATCTAGCTTCCGGAATTTTCTTCTATAGTGTATTTTTTGGTTTGCAGTAGTATTAGGTATATATTTCTATTATTCTTCACGAATGCACTCATGTTCATTTTCTATTTTATTTACTTCATGTAGTTCGGTACTTATTATTATAATATTGAAGGTAATGTGGCCGATCATGTGTTTCTAAATAGGAAATATCAAGATACACCACGTTGCATTTACCATTATCATACCTGTACCACCAAATTCAATGTTTTTCCACTATTTTCCTGATTTCCTATCTAATTTTGAATGATTCTATGATAGGTTGATATACATAAGTGTTACAATTACACAAGTAACTTAGCATTAAACAGTAGGTACGTATAAAAGAACGACGCAGTAAGATACATTGAAAAATGAGGTTTGTTTTACAAGTAATTTTTCTTCTTAGGTATCAGGCATGCACGCCAATTTACACTCGGACAGGAACGAATGGCGGCTACCGCCCGATGACACACTACAGGTCGGTGAACCGAAAACCAAAAAATCCGAGGTAGGTGATGAAGAGGTTAGTACGGATGCACAGCTTGGCTTTACGTGTAACAGGAAAAAATCACTTTTAGAAAACATACTCACATTACTACATTCATTACAGATTTTTTGCATTTAGGTACTTAAATTGATGGTCCATAGTGTACATATAAATCTACAGTAATCTTTAGGTACAATTTACGTGTTTTTTAAGTATATGTGTCAATCTATTTTTTGTATAATTTGCCAGTATATTTAAAGATATAAACTGATTAGTTTTGTCGTAAATCAGTTTGAAAAACTGCTTGAAAACTGCAAACTGCAATGTGAAAAGCAATGTTTTGCTAACTGTACAAAATATATGTGCGCTTACACTCATGCATGCATACTTGAATTACACAACGAACACTAATTCCAATATGTAGCACTAGATTGATTCAATTTTTTTTGTAGGAATTAGCCCATTTTGATGATGACGGTCACAATTGGTGGTCTATTATATTTTCTTTATTAGTTATCGGTTTAGTTATCACTGGTATAGTAGCGGCAATATTTATAGTTGGATATGTTGACGAATTATTATATTGGCATGGACAGAGAATGCACCTGGAAGATCTCTTAGAGGTATACAATTTTTACATTTAGTGGATAGTTTATAGTTTAAATTATACCAGCAGGTGTTTATTTAGTTGTAATTGTTGTTAATAGGGTGACTTAACTCCAAAAAGACTGCCTTCTTCCTGGGTATCTCCAACGCAATTTCTTTTCCAATCTGATGATGGTAGTTTATCGATTTTAGACACTACTAAAAATTTTACACTTTCGGTTTTAGTTACAAATAATACTTTGGTAAGTAACTATTTTGTTGCTTAATCACTATTATTACTAATAATTACTAAGAGTTGCCATTTCTACTCAAAAACATTTTTTTCTTTATTTTAGAGACAATTAAATGTTAAAGGATATCAGTGTTCAAAGGATCTTACTTACGTTCTCCTTAAACACAATCTAAAATCTGTAAGTAATTACAAAGAAAATGAATTTATAATTTACTTAATTCCTTTTCCAGACATTTCGACAATCGTTTACAGCCCATTATACTATCTACGATGTCAGCAAAGAGTGAGTTGCAATTTTCTTAATTACAGGCTAGGAGAACAATTAAAAACTTTTAAATGATAGTATAGTGCATCCAACATAAGACCCAAGATAAAACTTTTTCATAATAATAAACGCAAACTGCTCTGTTTCAGCCATCATATACCCGTTCGGATGGAGTTTTCTCCGAAAGCCCAACCGGAACGCCTCCAATTTGTTTCGTGGTTGGGCAACACGACATCCCTCTTAATAATATTCAACAACGACATATATTATAGGAAATCCCCGACGGACGAATATGATGTCAGGATAACATTCTCGGGACAACCAGATCTCATCTATAACGGGATTCCCGATTGGTTGTACCAAGGTAATTCAATCGTGTCCAATATCATAATTGATTTTTTTATTAAAGAAACGGAGAGAACGGGTAATAAAAATTATCTGTGGTATTATTTTTTTCAGAGGATATTTTACAAACGCAACAGGCGTTATGGAGTTCCCCTGATGGAACGCACCTCCTTTATGCTACTTTCAACGATAGTCAAGTTGGAATCTTGAATTTTCCTTGGTTCCAAACTGGATCCGTTTTAGGATCGATGGAGTCTTCCGAGCAAATACCCACTTTTCCTTCGTCTAGAACTTTAAGGTACCCAAGAGTAAGTACAGAGCTCATTACATACGCTTCTGTAACACCTATGATCCTGCCTTCGAATTGTCGAGTCAAAATGTATGTCTGATCTTTCCAGCCTGGTACCCCAATTCCTTCAGTGCAACTGTGGATTGTAAATATTTCCAATGTAACTTCATTGAAGTACCATCTCGTTCAACCACCGAAAGCCTTATTGAATCAGTACGTATTACGTACAATTTTATTTTGGTTAATCGTTTAATTACATTTTATACTTTTTAGGGATTATTACCTCACTTCCGCAGGGTGGATTGATCAAAAAAATTCCCAAGTGTCTGTAGTTTGGATCAACAGAGTGCAAAATTTGAGCATAGTTTCAGCGTGCCTAGCGCCTAATTGGACCTGTGTCGAAGTAAGTTAATTCTTAACAATAGTCCGGAATTTTAATAAACTGGTTCCAGACGCACGCCGAGCGAGCTCTGGAAAAATCTTGGCTGGAAATCCAGGAACACCCGATGTTCTCTCCCGACGGCGACAGGTACCTCCTACTAGCTTCGGTACAAGAGGGAAGCAGGGAAATGTTCACCCACATCAAGCACATGACTGTAACGAAGCAAAGAATTGGCGTGCTAAGTCACGGTCGGCACGAAGTGACCAAGATATTAGCTTGGGATGCTGTTAGCCATCGCATGTAAGTCGTTTAAACTCCATAAATGTTAGAAAGAATATCTGCGAAGCATTGTTTCTATACTAGGAAGTCATCTCTAGGCTACAGCTTAAAATTTTGTATAATTTTTCGTAGTTATTATCTAGCCACAGAAGAAAATCGACCGGGCGAAAGGCATTTGTACGTTGTACAGGATCCCAGTAGAGAAGATCCTCGCCATGTGGAATCTCATTGCATTACTTGTGACCTAGGCGATGTGCTTTGGAGCAGTCGATACCTCTACAGCAATTGCACGCATTTCAATGCAGAGGTAATAACAACTCCTATACCAGATAGTTTTACTAACAATTCGTTTGGTGTAGATAAATCCCCGCACGGACAATACGACACCCCTATACTACATCCTTCATTGCGAAGGCCCAGGGCTTCCATTAGCGGCCGCGCACAACGCTAGTTCTCACAAACTCCTCAAAATACTGTACGATAGTAGACCGAGTAAGTGGCCATTAATCGAGAAGTACGCGATGCCAACGAGAAAAAGCCTCGAGGTGCCTTTACCGCAGGGCAGCAAAGCTCAGGTGCAACTTCTGCTGCCGCCTTCTTGGAGAGAGGAACTTCGAGATGCTGCCTATCCCGTCCTTGTTGAAGTGTAAGCAAATTTGCAGTGTATTTAAACATTGGGGTTTGTTCTAATGACCTTTGGTGTTTTGAACTGTTTTATTGGTTTCAGTAATGGACGACCAGGTAGCAAATCAGTTTCGGAAGAATTTCAAATAGACTGGGGAACGTACATGTCCAGTCATTGTGATATAGTGTATATCAAGCTCGACGTTAGGGGGTCAAGAGGTCAAAGTGATCGATCTATTTTCCATCAAATAGGAGGTGTAGAAGTACAAGATCAGGTAATTACAATATCCTTATTGTTAATAAATATCATCACACTTGATTGTTTCCAGGTAACGGTACTGGAGCATCTTCTGGAAAAACTAAAGTACCTCGATAAAACCAGAATCGGCATCTGGGGTTGGGGCTATGGCGGTTACGTTACCTCCATGGTGCTCGGTCTAGGTAACCAGCAGAAGATATATAAATGTGGCATATCAGTAAATCCGATATCCGACTGGCTTTTTTACAGTGAGTATCGTAATATTTGTTAAAAAAATACATTTACCTATCGCTGACGATAAAATATTGTTTATAGACGCAGCGTTTACGGAACGAATAATGGGCATGCCCAACGAAAATTACAAGGGGTACGTCGAGGCCGATGCGACTCAAAGGGCACGAAATATACCGAAGCATTCCTTCTTTCTAATTCATGGTTTAGCTGACCTCACGGCGCCGTATCAACACGGGGTGATGCTTGCTAGTGCTCTTACGAAAGCTGGAGTACTCTATAGATATCAAGTAAGTACTACATGTAATCCTAAAAGCTTCTAATACTCCTATTCAAGTTTCCAATACACCTTGTTTAACTAGACTTTAAGAGTTTGGCTTTTAGAGTTTAACTTTAACTTCTTCTTCTCCTTTGTTCAGCAGCCTCTCACAGTCCTCTCCTGGGTATAGGTCTTCTCCACTCTATTCTACATCCACTTGTAAGGTCTTCCCCAAACTTCGTCTGTACAAGCTAGGTCTCCATTGTAATATCCTTTTTGCCCATCTACAATTTAGCTATGTGGGTTATGATCTCCTCCACCTTAGTCCTTTGTCTTATTACTGCAGCTGCCCTCTTTGATTGTTCTTAATGGCCAATTTAATGTTACCTTACAGGTAAACATATTCTTCGTCTGTCTCATGTAGATCATTGTCTAAATGTAGAGCTGTTGGCTATCTTTGTTTTGGCCCCGTTCATTGATAAACCTATAGATTTTATTTTGAGCGCTTTTATCATTTCTCGTTTTTTTGTACTAAGTGTATTGTTTTGCAGAGTTATGCCGACCAAGGGCATTATTTGGAAGGCGTGATAGAACACCTTTATTATTCAATGCAACATTTTTTTGAAGAGTGCCTTAACCTTGATTCGGACGAAAAAGCCAAAGAGAGAGAAGAGAAGAAAGATGAAAATAAATGAAGGAAAGGGAATTGAAAATACGTGTAGATAGAGGTTGAATATTGAAATCAGAAAACTGCTAATAGCAAGCAATTAAAAACGTAAAGTTCAAATGTTGTCGGTTGGTCAACAGTGAGCCAAAAACGTGCAATTTTAGCAGATTTATATTTTTATATATCTAATTAATGTCGTCAATTTCGTTAATAATGTTGCTGTGTTTATTTAAAGTCTTCCTCGATACGTTGTAGGCACTTTCCGTCTTTATATTGCTCAAGTATCTAGTGTATAAGTTACAAGATTTGCCGTAGTTATTGGCAATAAAATCATCTTCCAAAAAATACATCAATTTTTATTCCAGCAATTTTCAAAGACAATAAATCACTTAAAAGTAAATAGATAATTTGAAACGATTAATATGTTTTAGTCTGTGATAAAATTAATTTCGATTAATAAGTTTTTGGCCTACTGTAGAGGACTGCCGGCTATCAGCAACGAAAGCGATAGTAGATAAAGAGTTGCGTTTTCCTCAAAAAATTGTCAAATTATGACGTGGCTGTGTTTTAGCGATACATTGTATTGTAAATTTTAAGATGCTTTCTAATGTTTTGTCTGTTTCGAAACTATTTAAATATATAAAATTGTATAACTAATAATCGATCTTCTAGTGTCATTAATACTAGTTTTATTAACGAATTTTACGACGTTTCTTTTACTTCCATTCGTTAAGTGAATATTGTTTTTGATCTTGTTAAATTTGTATTGTTATACAGTATGTAACACAAAAACGTATAAGCCATTCGTGCAACTATACCGAAAGTCTTAAAATTGTGGAGCCGGTCTAGTATGCGGTCTACTTACATATTTCGTCGCCCAAGTATATTTAAATACTTTGGCAGGAATCATATTTTGAAAAACTAAAACTGGTTGTGAACATGTCTCACACAACTGCAAATATTTGTCCATTTAAACTTTTTTCTGTCTCTTACAGTTTCCGAGATCTCGATACTAAACATCGAAAAAAACTCACCCTGTATAATTCTGACACTTAATTCTCGATAAATTGAATTATTTACCTGCTATTGCATACTTAATATAATATTATAATAGTAAAATCTTTTTGTTTGTTTAAGATACATAGATGTACATATTTAACGTTTAAATAAATACTGGAACTTCCCCAATTCTTCATAAATTGAATTACCCACATGCTGTTCTATAAATATTGAACATATTGAATAACAGTCATTTTTTTTCTTTTGTTTAATGAAGGGTCAATTTTGAAAATCTTGATGTTATGCTTTGTAATAAATACTTTGTATAAAATAAATTTGGGTAGACCACATACTAAACCAGATGCAGTAGGGTAGACCGTGTATTAGACCAGCACCAAATTGTCTATTTCAATCGCATAGAAAAGTCTGAAAGTAGAGTTTCTCTACGACTATTTAATAATCCTATATTCTCAATCATTAAACAACAATATTAAGTAACCTAAGGCATGTACTTTTTTGTGAAATAAATTGTAATTTGAAGAACAAATGAAGTAACACCCGGTTGTTCTACTAGCTTATAAACATTTTTATATTTATATTACACGATTGCCGAAGGCTTTGAATGTTTGAAGTAAAGTAGAGACGAATAGACTGTTTTTGATAAAGACAAAGGGAGATGGTCGGAATTGAAAAAGTGTAAAAAAATTTAATAAACGACGGAAAATAAATTGCTTAGCGGCTTAAGAAACGATGCTCACGAACGCCCGGGCGCAGGGTACATTTTTTGTCTCAAGACCATCTTGGTGTTAGGGTATGTAAATTGTTAAAAATTGTTAGCGAGCCTGCTAAAGCGTAATGGTTTTGTTTCAACAGTTTAGAGCTATTCATAGCACTTATAAAATAGCGTTTTTATATTGCTGTTTATTAAATTTAGTGAATTATCAAATTTGACAGGGTGTTGCAATTTTTATCTTCTAATAATGTGCGAAAATACTTACAGAATGAATAGTCTATTGCAATTTTAGTTAAAATGCATCGTATTTAAATTTATGTATTCAACTATCTAAGGAATTTCAATCATTTTCAATGGAATTGTTTAACGATTTAAAGTTATGAAGTAAAAATGTATGTTATGTGAATGCTATTATTAAGCTTTAATTAAAATATTAAAATGTAGAAGCGAGTATTTTGTCGAGTACGGTGTAATTTTTCAAAAGGTTAATTTTAATATAAATGTTTTATCTTTTATCTTTCTGAAATTATGACTTTGGATAAAATTATAACTCGTTATATAAGTATTTTCCACGCTATGTTAATGCGGAATTTATAGTGGTTTTTAAATAAAAAACGCGACTAGATAATCAAACAAAAATTATGTAGATGTAAATCAAAACGCTCGTTTTGACGAATTACATTTTTTATAAGGAGTAATAATGTGAAAAGCGAATTGTACCTTAATATAGAAAATATTATTTGAATTTCTTTCGGTTTCTACAATTCTTTTATACAAGTTTTACTTTGTAATAGAATCTTCTTCACGTGATGTATTTGTTGGAGGTATGGTATACAGGATGTTCTTTAACAAGTGAGATTTTTCGTAAGAAACACTCAAAAATATACCTAAAATCTTCTTTTTTATCAATTAAATATTACTTCAGACTTCTATGAATTTATTATTAGCCCAAAGTGTCTATATCATTTACAGCATATATTATTACATGCATTTTTTGTAAAAGGAAATAATTAAAAAAACTAAAAACAAAAATGCTTACCCAAATGATTCTACTTATCGACAATTTTAGGGTTATTTTTGATTTTTCTTGTTAAAGGATATTCTATATAGGGTGGAGATCTTAACTGGATTAAATTCATTATTTCGGTTACTGTACATCTTTATAGAAAATCCTGAAACTCGTCAAATTGATATCACAAGTTATCACAAACTTATACTTCTCATTTAAAAAATTTGGAGATGTATCTGTCACTCAAAGGGAGTTGAAGGTAGGGATCGCATTTTCAGGTGAAGAATTTCGAATAATGATTAAAATTTCACGTGTTTCGGGATTTTCTATAAATATGTACAGTAACCGAAATAATGAATTTATTCCAGTTAAGGTCTCCATCCTGTTTAGTATTCTTGTTGAAGCTAACAGTGTCAATCAAATGAAAAGTAGCAATTTAACTAATTTTTGCATACTTTGTATTAGTACACAAAAAACAATCAAAGCTGAAGAATAAATCAATTTTAAGACTTTTATCTTAAGTGTTATAACTTATTCAAGTAGGGGCCTTATCTATAAAATAAGTAACGGATAAAAATTGTATTGTTGACGAACTAGCCATATGTAATCTTAATTTCTTAGATCTATTCGTTAATGTTTGGTATTTCAAAAAATAATACTTACATAATAGTTAGTTGTAGATAATTCTGGATACTTTTATTTTATTTTCTAATCGCTTATTGAATATTGTAAAAAGTGGCAACTGTAAATAATGAAATAAAAATTAAACGTTAAATTTTGCTTTCTTGAGAATTTTCATTGAATACAGGTACCTAATGAATAAAACACCTTTATATTCATCAAATATAAATTTATTTTGTCATGAATCTACAATACAAAAATGTGATTTTTATAGAAAAGTGACTTAGAAGAGGTTAAGTTTTATTCAAATTAGACCGAAGCTTTGACAAGAGACTGCCTAAAGTCAGAGCCGTATAATATTTACAGAGTGTCCCAAAAAATTTGTAATGCAAGCCTTTTTGAATGATGCATCGTTGGTCCATTGGTTAAAAAAAACTTACAAATTCGACTGTGCCGCTTCTAAGTAATTTCCTGTATAACAGAAAACACGAGACACTTTTTGGGACACCACGTACTATTAATCGTCATAAGATAAGTTCTACATGTGTTACACTAAAATAGATTGTTGTAAAGGTAAATTAAACATATACTATATGTATTATGATAAATAAATGTGTGTATATACAAAATAAGTAAATAATTAATATGATACATCCAATAGAACGCGTTCGAAATTCGAAATGGTTGCGGATCTCGAATTATTCGAGTCGAACTTTCAAAAAATTAAAACAATTTGTAAGGTAGAATAAAATCAATAACATTAATGCCCTTTAGGGATTTTAATTCTTGAAATTCTATTGGATATTCACGGCTAACCAAAGTAATACGAAAATACTGATTTTTCTTTAAACAAATTAATCGAAAATATATACCTACATATATCATATAAAAAACAAAACACTGAATATCACATCTATATGGATTATTCTAAACTTAATTTGTTACAGTTACACGTGTATTGCTTTTTTTCTATTAGTTTTTTTGGCTTGAAATACATGCACGTTTTTAAGGTAAAGAAAAACTAAAAGTACCTTAAGCATATTCCTAGTATTTCGGAAAAATTTGTGTGTGATTACAATTCGGTAGGAGGTAACAAGCATTTTAATGAATTTAAAACATTGACGATCGTACTTACAATAGCGAGAATATAAAAGTCTACCTCCGATTTAAGATATTAATTTTTGAGAAATACTATAAGGAAAAAGAAATAGGTAGTACCACTATGATTTATTAATATAGAAAGACTAGTGCAGTAATTTTTTAGTGATTAAATCCTGTTTCCGATCAAAATTCTTTTTCCTCAATTTTCTTAATGCTATTTGACTTTCGTAAGTATCTAAACAACTACAATAAAATTTTAACCGAACAAACAAATATAAGATTTTGATAAAAATTGTGAAAATACGTAATATCAATTAATATTTCAACACCGTCCAATTAATAATAACTAATTGTTATTGTTGTAATAATTTAATAATTAATGCATTAGGAAAACGAAGATAAATAGTAAATAATAAATTTACTTCAACTGTATCTTTTAAATTATAGCATAAAAATTTTGAAAACAATTATATCGTATATGTATTTTCACAATAGTATTAACAGTACATGGAAAATTTTCGTTTTTCTTCGAATTTTCCGTATCTAAGCCACAGCCTTCATCTAGTGTATAAGAAATACGATTAATTAAATCTAATGGTTTTTTAAACTATTAAAACCCTGTATATCGAAATTTTAATACTGAAAAGAATTATTGAATTACATTATACACTTATTATATCTTTGGAAAAATTCGATTACAAAGTAAATAAGCGGATTACTTATTGAATTTTTCGCTGGAGAAATCAACATGCAATATTTTTGGTCTTTTGGTTTCTTGTTTAAAATTTAATAATCAGGTCATAAATATCAGTCAAATTGAATTAAATTGTTTTTCTTTCGTAGATAATTTTTTTAGAACTATGTTAGAAACAAATTTTAGATTTTCAAACGCTATTCACAGAAGCCACTGATATTATATCTAAATGCCCGAAATCGAAAGTTACATACAACAAAATTAAAAATCATATTATTAGTATACCTACCGAAGCAAATCTCTCCTGAACAAATAATCCCAATAATCACTAGCAAGGGAAAACCTGTATGAATATCTCAAAAAATTTTATTGATTTGTTGAAGAGAGATTTCGTCAATCTGGACGTCACCATGATCTTAAATTAATGCAGGAAATATGCTCCAAACAAACACCCATACTAAATCTAATATTTTATTATAAAAAACCGTTTATTAGAAGTTACCTTTCAATTAAAAACAATTTGCATGACACGAAAAAACAAATTATCTAATATCACAATTATGCACTTAATTATAATTTAAACGAGTATCAAAATACAATAAATATTTAGAGAGTAAATTTAAATTAACGTTTTAAAGTACACCTACTATTAATTGGAAGAATATGAAACAAGACACTATGTCAGTAATTATTATAGTAAACTTAGCGAGTAGATTTATGATTTTTATGTAATGTGAATGTGCATAATGAATAATTAGATTTTTAATATTAAAATTATTTTTTTCTGGACAAAGAAAGTAATTTTAATTAAAAATTCCAGTCTGAAATCCATTATGATAATGAAAGCAGTTGAAGGTGTGCGCTAATTAAATTTCAATATTTCAATATTAGGATTAAATTACTTAAGCCTAACTAAGCAGATAATATGAATTCATGGATTTCATATATTGTTAAAAAAACGAATTATCAATTTGAAACTTAAAACCAATTTATCTGCTACATTTATAATTAAATAGAAATAACGAGAAATATTTTACAGTATGAAGGAGATAAGAAAGAACCAGAAACTAACCAGATGAAATAAAGTGACTCTAGATATAGAATATTCGGTTAGAAAAACGGAATTTCGTAAACATACAATTTTTTCTAAGCATGTTAATATTACTAAAGAATGGTATTAAAAACTGGACAGTGAATTAAAATATATAATAATTGGAATTCTAATCAAATTACAATTAAGTCGTAAATGTGAAGAAACTTCCTATACAAATAACATTAATTTTGACCGTACATTTTATAAAAAAAAGGAACAATTGGCTTCCATAAAGAATAATAACCGGAATAAAACACTACGTAATAATGGCACAATACCAAAAAAACTAAAGAAATAAATGGGCAAAATAGCAATTAAATCAAGTCCTCAATAACGAAACAACTGAAATATCTCCATACAATGAATGATTTCCCAAAAGAAAAATTCTCAATATAATTTTTAACTACTAATTAAGATTCTATAAAACGGTTTTTTATATGAAAAATAATTTATCACAATGCGAAACCGTTGAAATGATGTTCGTTACGTCCTATAAAATTTATTATCGTTTCAATACAACATTGTAAATACTCACTAGTTTTTTGTAACGCTTCTTTTGTTGCACTTTTTGAGCCAATAAATTCGATGTTACGTTTCAATTAGAACCCATTCTGGTCAATTTAATCGGCTATCGGAATGGCTGGGCGATGAATCGCCCGAAATTCGAACCAGCAACAGGACAATTTGACAAAAGAAATAATGTTACCAATTATTCAACTATCTCACTTTCCCTGTATTTAACGACCCTTCAAAATTGTTAAAAAAATCAAATAGTTACCCATTTCTTTTTCGTCAAATCATTTGTAACACTTTTAAGTAGTTTAACGATTATTTCAAAAAGTGCACAAAATGATAAAAAAATTGTTGTGTTTTTACTTTGCGGAGTTTCTAAATATGGCAATTTTGTTCATACAAAATATTGTCGAATTTACAAAAAACGTTAGCTAATATAATAATCCTATAAAGTTTGTACTTTTTAAATATTAGAACCAGAAAAAGCCGTTTCATTACTGGCAATACAGAAACACGAAGTATCGACTCATAAAAACACAATCATCAAAAAAAACACCACTTCAGACTCGACAAATTCAATATCAACAACGGACCTGGTACATTAGTAATCGCAAGGAAACAGTAAATTACCATTAAGAAAATTCGATAATTGTCCGTACATTTTCGTAGCCGTTCAATTGCTGCTCCCCGAAGAGATGGAGGCCGGCTTCTTCGACGTATTGGGAGAATCGGATTTCTCCGACGACGACTCTTCGGTTAACAGAAACGTTACGTAATGCGTTAGCCTTGTAGGTAAACAGCCGGCGTTCAATTGGTAGAATTCGACGAGTTGCAGGAGATCGTAGAATTTCGTGACGCCGTTGTCGATGGAGAAAACGGGCCTGTCCCTGAGGGGATCCAGAATCGGATTGACTTGTGCATGTATAACTTTGCCCCCGCATTTGTAGGTAATCACGTACGAGCCGGGATTCGAACGGCTATCGCGAACTAGAAATACCCTGGAAAATAAAGAAACATTGTTAATTTAAATTCGGAATTTTGCGAGTGATGTTTCCAAAGTTCTGGGAATTGTGCTTTAATTAAATTACGCTGCAGGACTTGTAGGCAATGTTATTGGTTACAGACATTTCTTGACATGTTTGTGCAACTATCCAGTGCAACATTGTTTAGTCTGATTCAGGTGTTTGACTGATATAGACGCGTTTCCAGAGAACTGTTTTTGTAACCATGGAAGACCCAGCAAAATCTGAAAGTGCAATAATCGATCCACCGATAAACAGTACTTTGGGATTCTGTAGACTCTCCTGTAGACTTCTTGCAGACGCTGAATTATTTCTGATGTTTTCATATATTTTTCCACAAAAACAGAATTATTGCACTTTGAAATTTTGCTCCTCTTTGACGGAAAAAACAGTTCTATGAAAACGCTTTTATATCAATCTAACACCTGAATCAGACTGAACAATGTTGCACTGGATAGTTGCATAAATTTGTCATTAGGCAGTAGCAATTCGCAGAACTTTGGAAACATTCCTCGTATATCGTTGAATCATTTGGTTTCTTCTTTACAATTCGGTAATCCGGTTGGCTACAAACTCTTTCATTTGAATTGCGATAACACAATAAGAGAGATTCTGGCAGGAAACACGGCCTATTTAACAACCGCGACAGAATTGATTTCGGCGTTCCTAATCTGATAAATTAACAGTATCGGTTTTAATGAGTTCCTTTTTGCGTTTGTAAAAAGATTTTCAATGAGAAGGCTATATTAGGTTCTCATGTTTCAAATTTGCATATGTAATATATTTTAAACAGGCACTCCTATCAAACTTTCTTAATCTTGGTAACTGTACATACATACAGATCGATTAATTAAGCATGGCGCTTTGTGTTGCGCATCTAAGTGCAGCAATAAACATGTTAGATAAAGAGACAGTTAATGCGCATGGGACAGGACTACTGTGTATCAAGCTAATTTGTTCGAGCTGTACTTGATGCGAGAAAATTTCGGTGTTAAATTGCGCTATCATACGAATAAGTCTTGAGAAACTCATGACTTTATAATTATAAGAACCAGTCACGTATTGCAGTTTGTTGGTTACTAAAACAAAACTATATCTTAACGGTTTTGTAGCTTACTTTGTACATTATAAACGATGCATAATTTAATAATGATTATAGTTGATTGATTTGGACATGAAAAAAATTGCAGCACCTTAATTACCAGTGTACTTAATAATTGAAATAGACATTACATTCAATTCATTAACCAATAATTGAAATAAATTATGTACGTACCTATAATAATAATAATACGAAAATTATGAATAATGCATAAATGAATTGATTTTATTATTTCATGAAACTCTATAAGTATAAATTACGCTTGGATTTAAACGCGTATACTTAAATATAAATTATTTTTTCTTAAAAGAAGCGTTTTTCCAGGAAACATTTCTCTTGCAATATCATCTAGAATACTAAAATTTTCATATTTACACATATTATAATTTGTTCTTGCTTTTCCATATCTAGTCGATCACGACGGTAATACGAGAGTGAAAAAATTACCAAGGACTTTCTTGACAAAATCTTCATTATGATGAATTTAACATGGACTCATGGTTTTAAAACCGGTATGGCTGTGTAGCCTTGGACACTCATTCGTTACCTGACCTACCTTATGAATAACGATTGTAACATTGTTTCGAGATTGTTTCTAAGCCAAAAGAACAAAAGTAATTTCTCTTTTTTTAGCAGCCATTCGTATTTACACGCTCAACATTTATTTTTGAACCAAACAAAAAAATCATTGCCTTTGAAAATTTATACAATCGATTTTTATCGGGGATTAATAGATTGAATGTTGTTGTGCGAGGTTCGTTTTATCCTTCATTCAATGAGATTTAATTTAAAATTACGAAAATAGATCAAATCACGAGTTTAATGAAAATTCTACATCGCCGATTTCATATTAATCGCACACGATTGTGATTGTGATTGCCTTCATATTGATTGTGATATAGAAGATAAAACACCTATTAATATCAATTAAGTGTTGCAATTGCAAAACGAAATTTCTAATTAACAACGATTCATCGAACCTTCTGCACGAACGCAGTGAAAATAAATATCGAATATAATAATGTAATAAAACACCAATAAATAATCGAAAGCACGTAACATCTACTGCACTAAAAAAATTATAGTGATTTACCACGCCTGCTTTGAATAATAACACTGTTGGTAGGTGCTTGATTGCATGATTGATTGCTGCCCACGGTTGTTGGGTTCAAGGAGAAAAAGGATTTCCAGTGGTCGAGACAAAGTCAAAGCAGCGTTACGCTCTTAGTCAAGACTAATTGTATTAGAAACATAGCCAGTTGATTAAACGGGTCAAATGAATACGTTATTAAAAACGACTTTGATGGGAATATAATGACAGGGTAGGTACGAATTTTCGTCACGCCGCAGCAGACAATCTCTATACGTATAGCGTGCTCCATTGTTACCAACGCTGCGTTAAATGTGTAGCAGTAATTTGTTAGGTGCTGATACTTGGTTGTATTCGTTCGAGCATTTAACCATTATGATCACGTTAGAATATGTAACAAATGGAGGAAGAAAGTTCTTTGTGCTTTATACCATTGCTTAAATATTATACATAATGGATTCTTAACTTGTAGGAAGCACAATCACAACTCGATAAGAAGAGATGTGTTATATAAAAATAGAAAGCTTTATGATAAAGTTTCATAATAACAATAATTATATTAATATATTGTGCTGACTAAAAACTAGATAAATCAATTCTATTCTGAAAGAAGTGATGAGAAAAGGAGCGCAACCTACCCATCGACTGTGCCATGTTTGGAAACTAATTCAGCCGCTTTATCTCTGGTCAATCCGCTATGAAACCAGGGCTGCGTCATGTGAATGCCGGCGTCTATAGATTGCACGTAAGCCGTTTGCGATTGATTAAGACCCGATGATCCTCTAGTATATCCTCTCCAACGGCGTTTCCACGAATATCCTTCGGCTACCGCTATCGCTGTCGCCTCTTGAGGATCTTCTACTATCCTGCCGACGCCTCCGGCAAAGTCCATGGCGACGCGAGAACGAACAGATTCCTATAACAATAAAAAACGGACCGATTTATATTAGAGCATTAGAGAGCACAAGGAATCAGTTCCTTGAAATCAACGCTGGTTGAAAATTAAATAACTTTTTAACATAGTTGGTTTTTGAAATTTAGATTACATGTCATATATGTAGATATAATTTTGAAAAATGAACTAATATTAGATATACCCATTTTTTAGTTTTAATATTTCTGCACAATCAATACAGAATGCATTTCCAATATTTATAAAGTAATTGTTGTGGACTACTACCGATCAATGGTCTTATTTCGCAAAATACCTATCTTTATAGTTAAAACACATTGATAAGGTATTTTCTCCGATACACTATGTGTACCCATTGATTACGTAAAAATTGATCAGTACATAAATTTAAAATTAATTCAAATACACCGACATTGCGGTGGAATTATTTGAATAAAAACGTTTGGATCGACAAAATCCTCACAAAGGATCGTCGTGGATATTTAGAAAATTGGTTCAAAGAAACTCAAGTTATCGAAAAACCATCGAAATTAATTAAAATACGATAAAATTTCATCCCAATTAAATCGAAAAAATGAGCCGGAAAAATGGTTCTGGTAGTCACTGAAAAGTTTTTAATTGAGAGGAATGAAAAGTTGATAAAATTCTGTGCTTACTTTCGGTTAATTTTGGATAAATTAAGTCGCGGTAGGGGGATTACACGAAAGATAAAAGTAATTTATGAACAAATTACAATACCGTACAGATATAATAATAGCAGGTGATATGATTATGTAAAAGAGAACTATTATTTTAATCTAGCAACCGTCATTCATATTTTTGAAGTATCAAATCCTAGTCTATCTCCTATAAATTTTAACACTTTTCAATTAGCCAACTTTTTATCATATTTGCACAAAGTCCATATATTAATTGAATACCTAACCCACTTAATCTATAACCTGAGGTTTTACAACCCGTTATTAAAACGTTTAATGCACTTTTTACAGCATGGCAATTGTGCAGCTTGACCTTGACGTTCATCATCTGTTTAACTTATTTTATTGCAAACCAAATATTTAATTTAACACTTTTTTATTCCAAATATATCCAATGAAACGATGCATTGAGCAACAGGCGCATTGGCGGTTTAAAAAAAAAAGAAGCTCCGATGCAATACACGTGCAATTTGAATTTATTTATGGAAACGACCATTTTGTTGTGATAATTGATACCTGAATGTATAATAAGTAAATTTATTTTGTTGGCCATAAAGCAACGTTTTGCAATGCTGTGAATAAATCATTCTGAGAATTATGTTTATTAATTCGAAAGCGAGTTATGCATTTACCAAGCAAGGTTAATTATTCGCATCGTACTTACAAGTTAAGTTTACAATGAGAACATGGTGCAAAAATCTTCGGGACGATAAGTGCGCTTTTATGTAGGTCTCTGGTTAATTTGCTGCGTTTGTTTGATATGTCCTTGATTAAATTTATAAAAACATTGAATGTTACTGCAACACGGAATATAAATAGTGGATTATTTATTTGCCAGCAACAACCCAGATGCCTTACAATATCATTTATCTTCGGATTTGTATACTTTTAATTGGAGTCTCCAATTATTTCGAATTTATACCACAAATATTTTTTTAATTCAGTTTCCGGAGTATTCAAACTATTAAATTGGCCCTTTAAGAGTATACTTTTAATAGTATTTATATTCAAACGCCCTATATGGAAACTCTATGGGCAGTTACGTGTCTGGTTTTTTATTTGTCTAGACCTTTTCTAAAGCATAAATAATTCAAGTTTACTAATGAACCTGAATAATTTAATTGTTGCGTTTTATTTATATTGTAGGTACGATCAAACAATTTTTACAAGATTGCAGCTACAAGTATGACCTAACATTTAATGTTTTATGAATTTAAAATTAGATTCAACAATGGTCGTATCTCCGATTACTCATCGGATTATAGCTTCATACATATTTACACAATAATTACATATCACACGATAACCTTGAACTTGAAAACAATTTGAGCGTATTACTTAGAGACAAGGTAGGCCTATTGTTTGCGAAAGTTGATTTGAAGATAGATAAAAAAACTTACAAATTATACGTCCGAACAAATGGAAATAAGAGGATTTATGAATAATAAATTTGCAAACTGAAAAAAATTCATTAATTCCAAATTTTAAGTTAGAAGTATTCAGAAAGTGTTGCAATTTATATCTTCGTTGATTCCATAAGACATTAATGTTTTTAATACAAATTCGAAGAAAACAAAACCTAAAAACTCTTATTACACACCGCACTGATTTGAACATACATCAATGTTAAAAGCGATCGTTTCATTCGAACGAATAGTCGATCATTTGTGAAGATACTTCCACCCTACTGGCTTGTACTTTATTTTTCAATGATACGATATTTTATCATCTACTAATCTTGACGTCTCCATTCTACAGATCTTAGAATTTTACACTTATTTGCTTTAAGGCTGCCACGGATGATTAATGATTTTTTGTGTTGGGAGTGCGAGTTTTTGAATGGCGAATTATTCAAGTTGAATTCCTAACTGAGATCATTCGTCTAAAATATCAATTTTTTTTATTTAGGTATATCATCACGTCTCGGTTGTGGCAAATGTATTTTTTATGCAAAAGTAACCGCAGAGAGCCGTGCCAAAACCTACTGGTTAACGTGAAAATTTTCTCTCCTCAGTTGGAGAAACAGATATGGGCAGGTTTAAAAAGGGTTAATAAATTCCCGAATAAATTGCCTGGACAAAACGTGAAAACAACCCCCGGCGATTACAAAAAAGACGAGAGAAAGCTTCATCAAGATCGGTCCAAATAATGCGACAGGTCCGCTAAATGTATCCCGCTCGTGCTTTTTACTCCCCGACATCCATTTAAAGGCGGTTTACCTGCCGGGTTATTCTTTCTACGCCGCCCCAATTTCGCCACATCTCTGCACTCTTAATTTGTTTTTAAAAGCCTTCATTTATCTTGCGTTTCTGGTGTTTCTGACAACTCGCGCAGCGAAACACCGCGGTCGCTTGTTTTTTCGTTTTTAACAGAAACGAGTTTGTTTGCGCTCTTCCACTTCGATCGAGGATTAGTTACACTTAAATTGCAAAATGTAACCAGCGGATCGAAAAGCACCTTCAATAAATATACGGCGTTTTCGAGGAAGATTGAAATGATGTTCCGAGTGAAACAACAAAATTAGTTATAATATATATTGTGGTTTCTTACAATACATATTGAAATTAAGTGAAATATTCTTGCAACGTACCAAAGATTAAAGGTTATAATTTTGCAAATTCGAAAAACTTGTAACTTATATCAAGAAGGAACGTGACTCTTCACGTTCTACTTACGCACAAAAATTCCGTATCAAAAGGTAGAAGAATTTTTTTACTTTCGGGCTTTTTTCGGGATAGAAAATTCGTAACGTATTGGTTTCCTAACTTGTGCGGTTCCGTGAGGGATTTAGAGGTATTTCATTATTTCCACTCGAACGCCGTGATTTCGGGTTTACAGGGTGTCCCACAATCCAGCATTTTGGGATAAAATACAACGAATAAATAATAATAATTCAATTTTTTTCCTAATTGAAATGGATTTTTAAGCACTGATAATATTTTTGAAATACTCGTAAAAAACCTATTCAACAACTTTCATATAAAAAAATTCGAAACAATAAACCCAAATCCACAATAATCATAAATTAATCACAATAAAAAATCAGGTAAAGAGAATGGAGTAAAAAAATTTACCAAAAAAATACCGCTTATCCTTTAATCAAACTAAATTTCGATCCACCTTGTATGCAACAAAAGGCATCGTTCATGTCCCTTTCAGCGCTTACGTCACGTAAAGGACCTTCTATTATTCGGGGAGAGAGGACGAAACGTTCAGTATTCCTGTCAGTAAAGGACCTAAAGAAAACCTGAAATTTCTGAAACCCACCTCATATCCTCAATACAAACAGAATCGGATCTCGAGGAACCCGTTCCGATATGAAAGCCAAACAAATAAGCCCGGCAAAATTTGTGAAATATATCGAATAGAAAAGTTATATCCTGCACCTAGTTGAGGTCAAATGCGCTTCTTAATATCAGAGCATAAAAATTACCTTTGAAACATACTAAATTAAGGATGAAGAATTGACAAATTAAATAATCTTCGTTCGTTTCCTTCTCGATTCGAGCTTAATCTAAATAATTAATTTATGTTGTTCTTCTAATGTGTCTCAATTTCCCGTTCCCGAGAGACAATCTTCCGATCCACTCCTGCTTAAGGAGCTTGCTTTCAGATAACAGAGAAATCGTAATCCTTGCAGGATCTCTAAATCACTTTGCTAAATCTTCCCTAATTAACACAGGTTTCACAATATAAGAGGCACACACTCCCCAACGTAGTTAGCGCAAATAATCTCGATTCTGGAACTGTCATTGGTCTGTTCCTAGGTGATTATTCAGACGAAGTACAATAAAGGACAGAATTTCAAATTTTTATGTATCTAATTACAAATACGAAAAGGATATTGCCTGTATGTAAATATATCGTGTTAAATTGTTACAAGCAATTTAAAGCACAATTGCAATTAGCAAACTACATAAATTAAATAATAAAAGTAATTGTTACTACTTAAATACTTGATTACTTGATTGTCGAAAACAGGACGAAAAGTTCAAGTTTCTGGAGCTTTTCGTCCACCGTCATGGGGTTAAATACAACTGTGTCAAAGAAAAAGGTTCATCGAACGTAATCTATCAGCAATTATCTCTAAAAGGTTGTCTTTCATTTCTACGTTAGCGTTCTTGATTTAATTATATTCGCTTCCTTCTGGTTTATTTCATTACATAAATATTTTCTAATTGAAATTAAGTAGTGGAATTATAACTACACAGCTATACAGTTATTTCAATTACCGAGACAATAAAATAGTCATCTTAATAGAGGAGGTTGTTCCTAAGATATTGGATTAATTAAAAATAAGTGACATCTATAATTACTAGCCTATTTTTTTAGGTTGCCGCCTAATTACTTAACTAATTTCGTAGCGAAAAAAATAATTTATTTAATTAGGAAGAATATTAAATATAATTAGTATAAAGTACCAATTTCAAGGCACCAATTTTCGGTCGGAACTCGGAACACCTAAAACGAGGAATTCGTAATTAAAAATTAAATTAGATGAATATATAAAAACAAAGTCTCATTTCTTTTGTAGGCTATTATAAACAACATTCGTTCTCTCTGTTTGACTTCGGTCCGAGTTTAATAATCAATCTAAATTCTGATGATGCTACTCAAATGATTAATTAATCTTAGTTTGTTACGTGAATGTCTGAGCGAGTTTGTACATTTTGATGGACTACTAAAACAGAACTTGATTAAAAGTAAATATAGACGCATCCGTGTAAATTGAAAGTTTCTATTTTGCTACATGTAAATATAAAAAATCAATAACTAATAAGCGCTTATGAAAGATAATATTTTGAAAAAACTTTTACGGACGATCTAGGGAAAATCATACAGTGTACAGATCATAAAAGTGTCTAGGTAGTTGTGGTAAAATATATCAAGTTTCTTCGAACTTTGAGTGAAAAGTATCGGCCGTTAGCGGTGGCGACTCGGCCCTAATTTCGGGAACAAACACGTTCGCAAGTAAATAAAATGAGAAAAAAAGGTCCCCGGCATAATTGATTCAATTTGTGAGTTCAAAGTGGCCGTCCCGACGTGGCAATAGTCACTTTTCCTTCCATAAAGCACGACTGCACACAGTCGGTTACTCTGTCAACCGGGAAATTACAACCTCGTCTCATTTCCGAAATGGAAAATCTTCAATGGCGTACACAGTTATTGATTTCTAATCCTAATCGAGGGGGATAGAAGTACAGGGTGCTTAATAGGAAAACTTTGTTAGCATTTTTTTGCGCAAATCTCAACTTTGTTGTATCAGCGTTACATGTTTTGCGAGAATAGATTTAATTTGTTTTAAATTCGGTAATAAATGTCTAGGTGACTATAAAATTTGCCAGTACAATTCTAGGCTACAAAAATTATCATATCTATCACTTCTATCATATTTTATTAGACTTTTAATTGAACCGTTAATGAATGCAAGTGTGGGAAGATAGCTACTGTTTTTTCGGTTATTAATCTCCGCATATTAAATAATAAAGTTCTTCAAGCGCGAGCGACTATATTAGCTTGTTACTGGTTTAAGATGTCGTTTTCGCAATTTATGGATTTTGCGGTTTCGTTCCGATAGTCATTACCAACTAATTTGTAGACCAAGGGAATTATCAATTATGGTAATTAGCTCGAATTTAATGCACGAATGGCAATTTATGCCTTTGTTTAAATGCTAACAACTAATAAATAAGTTCGACCAACGGCATTCTTCGAATATCCCATGAATATTTGCGGGCAAACGAAGGTATTTATGCGAATAGAAAAAAGCAGTAAAATGTTGTAGCTTAGTTTATTATAGGACACCCTGTAAAGTTATCACTTTTCGCTGCGTTACTTTTTTTATTCCCAAATGATTAGTTTCGTGTTATTCCGTCCAGAAAGCATGTAACGATCAAATTAGAACGTAACTTAATAAGGGTGAAGTGTGCGTAACTGCCAAATAAGTGTCAAATAGGGCTGCGAGCAACTCTGTGTGATTTAATTTGAACTCTAATAACACCAGATGTAGTATTCGAGTGGAATACTGCGGTTGATGGTATATCGTTTATTCTCTTTCCTTTCGATTTCCACGAATTATTATTATATATATTTTGGCGGATTTAATGAGTCTATACTTAAAATTGTTATATCATCGAGAATAATTGTTCCATTATTGAATCTATAAACTATAATGATGGCTATTATTCCACGAGGTGTAAGTTTACGAAACGACTACTAGACGAGAGTCGTAAACATACCAAATTTTACAGGTTTGCAATTATACGATTTCAGTTTTTTTTTTTTAAACGTTTTTAATATTATTATTTAGGCACGATTTTATGAAAAGTCGCTTTAATAAGGTAAGCATAGCGATAAAATCACACAATGTAATAATAATTAATTTAAATCAGGAAGATAATTGAGTTGTAATATAAATATTAAAATGTTATTATAAATAGCATATGAGAAACTTTTAAATTAATACTCGAAAAAACGTTTTATCCTTGAGCGCCTAATCAAATAGATGTAAATCATGTTACTTGCACACAATTTCTACTAATTATAAACACGTGTAAAAGTTTTTTCTTTCGTTCCATGATGTAATAACTTGTCGATTGTGTTCCAGAAATGACAAAAGCCGATGTCAAATTCAACTTCCCGTACGCCTACCTATACCGATATCACATTTAACATTATGGTTTGTTGCAAAAAATTTAGGAAAATTACGTTGACGTACCTACGTAAAAAACAGAAACTTTCTGTGCGGAAATTACAACAAATTGTAATGAAAGAGACGACGCGGACGAGGGAAATCTTATTAGTGCAGTGAAATGAAACATCAAGCCTATTTGGACGAAACGGGCAAGTTTTCCATTGCACGTAAACGCAGTAGAACAGAAACATAATCATAAAAATACGTCGAATTGGACCCTTGTCGCTTCTGTCGTTTAAAAACAAGAGTGCAGCTCGTTACAAAAGAACGAACTGCCGGAGTGACGTTTTTTAAATTGTTCATCACGGTCGCATCGTTTGAAGCGGAATCCTGGGGTATGAGGAAAAAATACCTCGAAACGACATATTGGATTTTTCCATCAGCGTTTTCCAAGCGAAGAGTAGGTATTTTATATTTTACGAACTAAAATTACACAATGCCTGTAAATGGCAAAAACATTTTTAATTTTCTATAACCTATAAAAAGTTGTTGGAATTTTCGCCGCCGAGTTCACAATAGAGCGCAGAATTTATAGTTCTCTGGCTCTTCCAATCATAACGGAAAATAAATCCAAAATATAATACTTATATTAAAAATTTCCCATTGTTAATTATCAGATCCTATTGAATATTTTAATCTACAGTCGCACAATAATTGCAATAATGTGACTGAAGGTGAACATTTTAATGTAATTTTATATTCATTGTCTAGGATAGCAAATAAACTACATTTATGCATTTTTATTTATTTTCTCTGGCATCCACAAATTAATAAATAATGACGAAGGTTACGTACAAATATCTCTCAATTACCCGATTGTTTGAAACATACGTCTTACCCATATACTATAAAAAATGCTATGATTAGTTTATTGGTTACGTATAAATAACTGACCTAGGACTAACGATCAAACAAGAGTAAGTAAGTGGATACTTGGGACAGAAATAGACACTTTATTAAACTATAGAGCAAGTAGCTATAATTTTCTGCTTCACCTACGGTACACTTCATTATTTTTATTGTTTTTCTTATTCCGTTTTATATTACAAACCTAATGAAGGAAACCAGGTCAATGCTGATTGTTTACCATTTTCATATGTGATATTATCTTTTAGTATTTTATTTAATTAGGTATAAGTAACAATATAGATAATACCTAAACCTCGTTTCTGAAGAAACCGCTATGTATGCTGCTAAAATTGTTACTTTTATATGTATTTTCTATATTTCATAAAAATGTTCTTCTATGTTTTTATATTTATCATTATACCTATATTATTTTTTAAGTTCGTTTAAGTTAAGAATCGTTCGCCATAATTGCTATACAATTGGTTCCATCTAAAACGAGCAAAAAACCTAAAGCGATGAAATAGATAAAAAAATGAGGCGAATTTTTCAAATTAGCTGTTAAAAAACAAATAATGTGTTAATTTATGCTTTTGCAAAACCATAAAGACTCCTGTCATGAATAAGTAAAATCCCAATAGAATTCTTATATCGAGTAGATGCTTAATATAAATATTTATAAGGTTTTGATGGATTAATATACAATTTTTGGTATGTTCAAAATGGATATTAGGTTTAAATAAAATAACATTGTACTTACATTAGGTACGGAGTAGCTATTATAGTCTTTTGAGTTTACAGAATCACCCTGCTTATTTCTGAATGCTCGGTAATTTTCCCTGAGCTGTTTTCCATACTGAAACGAAGAAAGATTATTTTAATTACCTAAATTTGCTTATAAATTTATCGATGGTAGTTTTGATAGGCGCTATGTTAAAAAAACTAAACTTGATAGGTATACCACATTATTAATAAGTTAGTTTCAGCTAATAGTAAATTCTAAATTTCACTATTTATCAATCAAAGTGCAGCCATTTGATTTTTTTGGGTTATTTTAGTTCTTTGAACTCGTATCTGGTTTATATAAATTGTATAGCGTTCAATTCTCTATGCGATATTTTGCTTCATTTCCAGCAATGCACATCCATATAAATCTTAGAATAAAAAACCATTCGAGCCAATTTGAATTGGCAATTTAACTTTTTTCTTTTCTGTATACGCTGGCTAATCTGAATATCAAATATTCATATTTTTTCCAATCATTTTGTCGTTTTGTTAATTGGCTTGTCGCATGTGGGAAATGTTTAAATATCCCATTTAGAGGATTTGATACCTAATGGAAAATGTAAGAAAAATAATTCGAGGAGGACCTGAAATATTTAGGTACATCTAATTTCAAATCAAATCGAATTGGACCACCCCGTAGACATTTATTCAATAATGCATGTTGTGTACTTAAGATAAGGCTTAATTTCTCTATTTACATACTTCTTTGTTTATTCTAAGATAAAACTGTAAATTCGTTATCTCTGTATGATTTATTGAAATTGTTTTTAGTACAATTAATAAGTTTCAAGCCTATGCATTTCATATACATTTCGGCTTTCGTAACACGTGTGTACACCAAATAAAAAAATTATGATAAAACTGGGAGATAATGTTTAATTACTTCCTTATTTGAGTCATTTGTTGATAATTAATTCGAATTTTTCGTTGAATAATATTTGTAATTATAGGCTACAAACGGTATTAACTTTGATTTATTAATTTATTCTATACAATATTTTTAACGCAATCTTAGGAACTTTTAATTTATATTCAAAATTAATTATAAATTAAGTATATAGGTAAGTTATTATATTAAAAAAGGATTGTTGAAAATATTGATTTTCCTGTGCAATTTGCAGATGTTTTCAAAAAGAATTCAGAGTTTGTTAAAAAACAAGCGAATGGGACTTAAAAATTAAAACTCCAGCAACTCTGCCCTAAAGAGGAAAAAACGTCATTAGTAAAGTTGTCACTTGGCTTCCTTCGACTTTCGTGGAGTTGCTAAACTTCGGAACTTGTCGCTCGTTAATCTAGACCACTCTAAATATACATTCAATCGAAAATATCAAAAAACTTTGCTTAGTTGAATAAAATTCAACGTGCTTTGAGAAAACTACTTATATGTTTCATAATTTATTTGAAAATTTTTATAACCATTGCACATAATTCCTGTACAATTTACCAATTTAATTAGCGTACGCGAATTTTGAGGAGTTTCCACTTATTATCATAATTAAAATTGTACATACAACATTAGGTATTTGCGTTTAATGCAACCAATGCGGTTTACCGACGAAGGCGATGCACCAATATACGAGGATGAATAGAGCAATAAGAATAAATTAATTACTTTTGGGTAATTAACATTTAACGCGAAAACTTCACGGAACATTTGACCACATAGCAATAAAATGGAACGTGAGGCACAGTGCAATGGGATGACTTAACCAACAATCAGTGGCGTAGAATACTCACAGAAACGAGAAAAGGAATTAAAAAATGGGTTTTTTGAAAGTACAATTTACACACAAATTTCTTTTTAATGCTAAATTTAATGTTTAAGTTTTTTTAAGAATCGTAAAATCGAGATACATCCGTGTTGCTACGTTAATTTGAAAGCTATTTAAAGCTATGAAAATTCCAGTAAACGCACCTATAATTATATTTATGATGCTATAGCAGATGCAAACCATACTTCTACTGCCTACGTCAATTTAATGCATTTCGGCGTATCTGGTAGGATGCATCAAATTTTTTACGACTTTTGAATTTTTTTATAAATTCACAAGTACTATTATTAGCATAAAATATATACACAGACGAGGAATATTCGACGATAACGGTGCAATCTGCACCCAGCTTCAAACACAACGCAAATTTCACTTCAATGGACAACTTAATTGGTTTCTTTGTTTAAACAAAACTGCCCGTATATTTATTTTAAAAAGTTCCTCCGAGCCAATTAATAAACATACCCAAATTTTCAAATAAACCAACTTTTATTATTGCCAGCGTCCTTCGCTACTTTAAATGCAGCAATTCATCACTTTAATAATTCAATTTCGCATGGTAACTGTACTATGAAAAACCGATTTCCGTGAGACTACTTGCAACAGCACACGACCGTTGCTGCGGTTGCTTCAGATACGATACATCAGTCGAGCCGTAATTTATCATTGAAATTATTCATTCGCGAACAACCAAATTGAAAAATTGAAGATACGTTCGGCGCGCACGAACTGCAACTACACCCCGGCTGTAATTACTTCGAATATAGCAATCCACCGCAGAAGATAAATTTCTGTCTGCACAATAAATTAGGCAGGCCATGTGTACGTGAAGTGCCGGCATACACCCAGCGCCCAACGCTGGCACATTTCGTGACTCATGGCCTGGTGCTGAAATCAAAGCGAATCATTGACGGTCGTTCGAGGGAGCAGAGTTTGAGCGCTGAGAATGACAATAAAAAGTACCGAGAAGCAGTTTGCATCACGAGATTTACCAAGCTTTTAAGCATGATGATATTCCGAGTGAGTGGAGACAAAGAATCCACTCATACAACACGATATATTTTCTGAAGCTGAACAATGCATGCGGCTCAAACAATTATTTATCAAACTATTCGAATGTATATCGCACACACAAATTACTATACTTGACGCGTTTGGAAGACGGAGTAATAAAAATGTCAGGCGGTTCCAAAATATCCCTACCCCAGTGTGGCAAAATCCTGTACAATGATCGATTCGATCGATCGAAATTTTGCACATCGCCTACAATTACTCAAAACCATTCACAGAATATCAACTTTTATGCCGGCCAATGGGGAGTGAGTGATACCGGCGACTCGTTTACACCCCGGGTGGACTTCGGGTGATTAATGTATTTATTACTCCGTCTTCCAAACGCGCCAAGTATAGATACCTACCGATAAAATCTAATTGAATACATTTTTCTGTGAATATAAAAAAGTAGCGTTTCCTTTGTTCTACTGTGCATGAGTTTTTTTTTATTGGATTTACAACAAATTATGTATGTATTCAGAATTTCTCGATCCGAATCAGTTGAATATTATACAGCGTATATCGTTGAGTGGGCTCAAATTGATACAAAAATTATTTAAATAATAAACGAGTTGCGACCTTTCCCATAACATGGAGAAGTGTTACACTAAAACCTCTAACCGATCATTTTAGAAATTACTGGCGCCTTGTAAATTACTTAGCAGGACTTGTGCATAAGTTAACTTCAGACGAGACGGAAATTAATTCGACATCTGATAATTTATGAATAATTTCTATTAGTAAGTGTTTTGCGGTTAAAATTTAAATTTCAATCTCCAATTTTAATCGTTTCCGTAGGTAAAATGCAAATTTAATAGCAAATTAGGTATGTAATACTACTTTTCATTAAAATATTTAATTTACGTTCGAAGAAAGCAGCGGTCATACACTTGTTTCTATCATTCCGTTTTCCACGATTGTTACTTTTCCCATAAATAACTGAGGGAAATTATGATGGTAGGTTGCAGCAGCGGGAAAATCGACAGTTTCTTACAAAAGTTCCATTCTATATCATTACATCAAATAGGGTGGCCTCCAATTCTAATAAATTCTGCCAATGACGCGACGTCACCGAACCAGCCATCTGAAAAACCCACGGCTTAAGGAGTATTCAGCTCTTTTTTGGTTTCCTCCTTTTGTAATATTTTCGATTATCATTGCGTCCGAAGGTTTTCCTATCAGTATTCATTTTCTACAGTTGGCTGATCACACATGTTAACGTTCCTTTTGCCCGCTTCGTCCGAACGTACTTACCTAATCGATCAAGCTGGGTGTAGAACAATCAGTTTTTTTAAGTTTAAAAAATAATGAATGAATATGTATTGAGATTGATATTTACTGACCAATCTGTATATTTCTGTAAACCCATCTTACGCTTTTGTATTTGTTTTCCTTTTTGTATGTAATCAATTCCATTTGCCTTTCTCTAGAATTTGCAAAATATTTCAGTAGGCTTTCGATTTAATCAAACCAAAGCTGGAGAAAAAAGAAACTAGTATCTACAAATCGACCTAACGGAGAAAGTAGGTAGTATGTAGAATTTTATACCTGAATATTGAATTTAAAAATATTACCTAATTAAGCAAAAGCTATAATCGACTGAGCGTACCCAGATTTATTTTAATATTCGAGTTCATGATACAAATTAAAAAAAATGTAATTATCTACTAAAATATTATTAAAACTGTTTGAAAATATTTTTTTATTTTAATATTCAATTGACGCAAGAACTTCATTAATAAATTTTATATTCACCAATAAAAATCATTATTATTTATAGTTACTATGATTCTAATACATAATAGACAACTGAAAACATTCAATCATTTAAAATTTAAATAATCTTTATTTACTACACAATACATAACTTTGCATACTACAGACATACATGTTAATAGTTGAGAATTAGATTTTTTTGTGGTGATGTTTCGTAATGTTCATTAGTGTATTATGATTACAAGGTAATATTTATTGAATAAGTCGATTGAATAAATCATGAAAATTATAGAAAAGTAGCCCAAAAAAAATAACAAGATTTAATCGCTGAAAAAATTAAAAATTGGTAGCAAACCAACAAAAAAGCCGCCGCTTCAAAATAACTTCTTTGCAAACAAAAATAGCAGGTCTGATTATTTATAGGAAGCATGTGTAATTGCAAACAAAGTATGTACCTATTTAAACGATTCAAATACCAGAAAATTACATAAAGCAGCAATTATCCAGGCATAACCTACAAATTAAATTCGCGATTGTTTGACGGACTCGAAAAAATCGTAATTCGTATCGTAACTAGTTTTTTTTTGTCAAGTTGAACTTGAACAAAACGACCGGCCAAGTTTGACGAAGTGATTCAGCACGTTCGTAGCTCGCATAGAAAGAACACAACGAGCCGATTATGAATAAAACGGCGGTGGTGCATTTGTGCCTTCAACCGAAACCACATAGCAACAACGACAGAAATTGTGTAACTGATGGTTTTTACGGTCCCGCAGCGGTGCTTTGAATTATCCTATTTGTTCTACGAGGGGAAATGTAACAATAAATTGAAACAATGGCGATTTATTAGTAAGCGAGGTGACAACTCTAATTTGAATTGTGTACCTACTCTGCACAGGATAAAATTTGTGAGTGCACGAACTTGAAACAATGAACGCAATGTTTACGACTATTTAAGTATGCACTACATGCAATCGTTTTGTACAGGAAAATTATTTCAAAAAAAAAATCCAAGAAGGGAAAAATGAAAAGTCATTTGTACTATTAAAGCAAATACGCAAACCTGCCGAGCAGCTTCATAATGCAGGCCCGCACTGCTATCAGAAGAACCCTCGCACATTAGCTCAGAAAATACCCATGCAAATAGGAAAAATCCTCATTCCCATATTCTCCAGCGAATTGTTCCCAAGTTTAATTTTCATCATACACGCCCAGGGCGTGTTGATTTAGAGTAAATGTTCCCCTAGTCATTACAACGTGCACTGGGAATTTCCACCCCATCTATCCCTGCGAGTGGAATCTTTTTTTGCGTCGGGTTTAATGCTTAATTAGCGATGACCCCGTTGGGCTGTTTCTCAGCACTCCAACGACCGTATAAGGGAGCGAATGGATTTCTTATTCTAATTACGTTTATTCGGTAAAACTGACGTCGATAGCGAGAGAACTGCGCTTCGCTTCAACAAAGGGAACTAAGATATTGAAGCCAACGTTCCTGGCACCGTAACTGAACTACATCAACGTTTTTTTTAGTATCTATATTCATATGTAAATAGAAATTTGTGCCAAATGTTATTGAAGTATTTTGTTTTATAATATTAATACACTCTGGTTAATATTCGTCTAATATTGTGCAATTTGCTTGAAATTGTTTGAAATTATGAAACAAACTTAATTTCATCTGACTCGTTAATGAAATATTGATAAAGGGCACCGGCTTTGGCTAAAAATCATAAAAAAATTATCTATATAGGTAAATTCCGGCTGTACATAAAGATAAGTTGCGGTTTGGATGTTGGTTAAACTTCCTACTTCGCGATAAAGTCGAAACCGCCGAAATATTCGGCTCGATTGAATTATGCAAGAATTCATTACAAACACTTCAAAGGATTTGTTTGCTCGTCCTTCGTCACCGCGGAAGAAACTTCGGAATTTGAGGAATCGAAAGATCGACATGCCAAACTTTCCTGATTTATGCAATCAATATTTGATAGATTTTGTTGTTTTCGATGCGGGTAGATCGCGTCAGTTGCACAAGCGAAACAGCTAATCTAATAAATAAATATTTTACAATAAAAAGTAATTATATTTATTTACGAAACAGCTCAAGTACATGCAACAACATCTAATAAAACATTTCCAAGTTCAAACACATTAAGATAAAGCAAAAACGCCTTGAAATTTGCATCTGTAGCGCAACCACCCGATAATCCGATTTATTTATCTACACATCGACTACCTGCCCATCTAATTAAATACTCCCTCGGATAGGGAAGGGCCCGTAAAAAACTAATTTTCGGGATATACCTACCTACTCGAAAATCAAGATTTACAAAGACTAGAAGCCTTCTGACAATGATGAAAAAAAGGTCAAAGACGAAACCTTACCTTGGCGAGGCGCATGGCGAGCACCCAACAGGACCGTACTCGCTCCGAATCGCAGGCGAGACAGCGCAACTGATCGGAGGAGGTGTACGATGACGAAGGCGACGGATCGTCGTCGCTGTTGTCCGCCGTTTTGCCGGTAGAGGTCACAGTCGTCGGTCGCAGTACGATGCCCCACTCGGTAGGTGCCCGAAACTGATTTTTTGCGTTTAGAGTCGTGTATGCGTGGTACCTCCTTATATCAGCGAACACCTCTATTTCGCTGCCTAATCGTTTGTCTTCTGAGATCTGAAAATTAAAAAAAAATGTCAAATATCATTCATTGATCTAACCCTTTGAACATTCTGAGATAGTATGGAAATTGTGCATCTTCAAATATCACCACCAGCTCATAAGGGTTAGAAGACATTTTTACTGTTCAATATACCAATTCACATCGATTTTATATTCTTTGTATTTATTAACTATTGAAAGTATATAAAATTAAAAAATTGTGAAAGCCGCCCCTGCCTATTATAGTCAAATTTACACGGTGAAGCAACTCATAGAGTATCCACATAATAGTTTAACTAACACCCGAAAGACAACTTAAATTATTGAAATTTTAGTCAGGACATGGGCTAAAACTCGCGTAATCCTTCCTCTTATTTTGTCCTTCATCCACCCTTCAATCAAAAAGGATTTCATTTAAGTTTCTCCCCCTTCATAACTGAAATACGTGTAACCCATAACACATAAAAGATAATATCGCATATTATTACTCATCTTTCCAGCGCTAAAAGGGACTATAAACCCTTTGTAGTAAATATTACTTAGGTAAATTGTTAAAATATGCAACATTATACGCGGTTTTTAATTGTATAATAACCATGTAGATACAATAAATGAGGGTTGTAAATTTAAAAGTATATAATTTTAATCATACTCTACGTATAATGTACATAAGTGATACATACAATAATTGTTTTAAAATACTTAATTGCATGGCTATATTTTTGTAATCATTAATAGACAAATTACCATGCAACAAAATATAAAAAAATAAGTAGATGCATGAAAATTTACTATTCATCAATATTAATAAAGGTACTATAATGTTGCTACCCATGAACAATTCCAGCATTTACAGGATCAATGTCAAACGCATGCATTATATGCACCATCAATGCTTCTGAGTCATTGCTTTTCATCAGTGTGACATAACTTCACCAGAGAATACAAAGAGGAGGGAAAAGAATTATATCAATAACATAGGGAGGGTGAATCTCTCTTCACTTTATACTAAATATATACCCTGTAATATAAAATATGGAATTCGACTCGCTAAGACGATTAGCGTGTAAAATACAAACATTTCGATGAAATGCGAGCAGTTTCATCAGTTTACGAATAAATGTAGGTATAAGGAGCGGGCTAAACGAATTCGAAAAACGGATACGAACGCTGTTAAAGTTTAATCGCCTTAAACAGATTAAAAAGTTTAATTAACCGGAACGGAGTCGTTCGAATCCTTAAAAACGTATCCTTCACCTTTTCGAAAATTTCGTTACCGCCGCATTTTGCGTGTCGACCGTCTATAAACATCGATTTCCAACGCGTACTTTTCTATGAAACGTGATAGATAAGTAATAAACTCGCAAATTAGGTTTTTCGACTCGGATTGATAGATAGTTTATTTTTGGGCATTAAACTTTTCGAAGGAAATATCGCATGCGGCGCGTTCGTTTCCAAAACTTTCGGAAATTAATAGGAAACCCTCGGCTTGATTGGTGCCCAATCGATGTTGGAAAAAAATCAAAATCGTTTATTACAACTACAAACAACAAGCAGCTTACGAGTATATCGTAATAATAAAGTAAATAATAAGAGAATCTTAACTTTAAAATCTGTATTGTATATCCTATTTACATAAATACCCTTTTAAATTAGATTGTTGCCTCACTTAGAGGAAAATAAAATAACCCATTCACACAATTACCTACGAAGAATATGTTATATAAACTAAACATACTGGTTTATTCGTGCACGCCTTTTGGGCCTATGATTATTCGCTTAGACGTGTACGGGTTGGTTCTACGAACACAATGTATTATACAGAAACCTGATGCTAATCATTTTTTTTTCTTTGAAATAATAACTCCCATTATTTAAGCAACAATGTTGCAAGCGCAAATTATACGTTTAACGTTTAACTCGTTAATAAAATATAAGTTTCTTTGAAAATAATTGACCACTAAACTCGGGGTTTTGAAAATGAATAGAGGCGCTTCGATTTTTTATTCCTCGAAAGGTTTTTATGAAATAGTTTTAAAAGTTCTATTCGAACCGGAAAAATAAATCACCACTCTAATTATAGAGAAGTACGTAATAATAAGTTAACCCACCAGATTAAAAATTTAATAGCGGAAATATGTCAAATCCTCGAAAGTTTCGCAACGAATGGGATATCCATTACCAGAAAGATAAAATAAACTTAGGGAATGCATTTAGTAATTCCATCTTTTTAACAATCCGTTTGATTTATATGTAGTATACCTGAATAGTGCACTTACTAAGCTAGTAAAATTGCAGGTAAAAATAATTTAAAAACGCGAACAAAACTTCAATAAGGAAAGAGCCGTCGGAATGAATTTATGTTTCGGAAAATCGAATGGACTTAGAAATGAACAAAGTGAAAAATACTGTAGCATTATCTAGACATACGGTTTATCTAGAACGAGGTCGACTTGTGGATTTATCAAATAAAGAAATGAGCTCTGTGGCGGTCGGGCGAAGATATCAAATCGTAACAGGCAGACCTCAGTTTACTTTATTTCTTATCGAAAACGCTGCAAATTTATATGCAATACTGACAGCGTTATAACCGAATAGATATTTGATATAATGCAATTTGACTGCGATAACGTGAAAACTTGATAGGAAATTGCGACGCAAAATTTGCTTTTGGATTAAATAGATTCATATGTTACTTATGAGTTTGCACAATTTGCTTATTTTTCGTTATGGTTGACGTGACAACGAAATTAAACGTTTCTTCTTTTTGTTTTTTTTAATATATGTATAGAATTAGGCAAAAAAACGTCCATAAATTACGTGTAAAGTGTTTAGTAATGACATTCATTAACTACAATTAAACTAAAGATATACCATTCATATCAATAGTTTGTATCATTTTAAAACAAAGTTGTACAAAGTAATAAATAAAGTTCTTCAAACTGACGTTTTGATTATAAGTTCGGAGCAAATCTTATCAACAATATTTTTTCTTTAAAATAAAGAACATTCCAAAGTACTTAGGTACCTAATTATAGCTTGAAAAGGTGATATTATAACTATTACCATTTAACAAAACCCAAGTTGCTTTATCAGTGTTATATTTACTGGTTTCATTAAATTTGGCGTTAGAAAAGAAATACAGGTATTTACGTTGCTTTTATAATATTTACGTTTACATGGGAAAATATATTTTCAGAACTTAAAATAACGCACTCTCTTATCTAAATTTCCACCTAAAATTTAAAAAATTTAAATTATATACTCTATTAAATGTATATTATATGAAATTATATGCATTCGACAAGCTAAAATTGTCGCAAAAGCTCTAAAAGCTTTATTTATTTAATTGCACCCGCAACGACTACAAACAAAAAATAATTGCAGTAAATAGCATCTAATTTCGAATTAGTAAAATTATACAGCTTCATTAACCAAAATATTCAGAATTAATCACCCAAGGAAAGTAATAATTACAAAACAATGTTAATTTAAAATTGTAATTTATTTCAATATTAATTAAAAAATTAGCGGGTCCTACATTGTCTACATATATTTTTGGATTTTCATGGTTATTACTACTCCATGCACTGAAGCCCATATGATAAGTTTGAAATAATCATCAAATACGTTCAATGATAAACGAGTATTTTTAACAACTTTTATGTAAAATCTGTTAAATAAAGAAATTTTAGAATATTAGGCTAAATGATTTCTATTATTTTATTCTACACCATACAGTAATTAGTTGAAAAAGTATAATTGATGCAACGAATTAATAGTAGATATCTATCAGTTATTTTATATGGAAAAATGAAAAACTACTTGGGCTTTGAAATATGTATATGCCTATAATCATCGGCCCCACTCAACACTGGTTCCAAATGAAACGAAAATTATAGGTAGGGCGCTCAGGTAAAAACAGCCATAATGACAGGAGAAACAAAATATAAAATATGGCAACTAATTAACCCGATATACTTTTTTGTTCCTTCCACATTGCTAGTTTTACAAATGACCTTATTAAGCCCTACATTCTTAATGAATCAGTGAAATGAACGAAAGTTCTATAATGAACTTATATGTATTCACAAAAAGTACGATATATCTGTGATGAATTCGAAATACTTGATAATTGGTTTCCTAAACGTTTCGACAATGCATCATCCTGTATAAAATTAATGGTGCTTAATTATGTGCGGGAATTTATATTTATTACCCAGTAATTCGAATGTGGGTTTGAATATGTATCAGCTGATATCACCAAAAAATTCCGCGAATTTTTCCATTCTCATTATATCGCAATATTAAGGCATTCGTGTGACAGAGGCCCAATGCAAATATTCGAAAAAGTCAAAATGGAGTTTTAAATATCTCGCTGCAATTAACACCACAATCGTCCATTAAATACTTTTTATTATGGTAATGAAACGGAATAAATTAATTCACAAAAAATAATCAATCAACTTGGAGTATAAAAAAATCTTCATCGTATTATTGAGTTTTTAATATAAATCATCACGGGTAATTGTTTTAAGAAAAAGAAATAAAAAAACCGCAAATAACAATGAACACTCGAATTTGTTCCGCTGACTCGACTAACCTGAATAAATTATAAAAAGTATATTAAACGAAATTGCAACAGTGTGGTAGTAGGTAATACAGTCAGAGAAGCAACAAAGAGTGAAATCGCTTAACGAACCGTATCTTTTAAAGCAAATAAATTGGAATAAAACTTCTAATTGCTTACAAAATTGTTTCACTTTAAAGGAGCACTTGTCTTACAACTTCCCAAATAAAAAATATCTTTAAATTTTGCCATGTTAAACACTGTGGGAAAAATATATGTAAATGACTCTAACATTAAGATAAAAAGTTATTTACTAAAAATTAAAATATTTTATATAGGTAGTAATTCCAAAAATTGCGGCATAAAATGCAACAACGAACCATAAAACTATTTCAAAAATTCAATATCTGATAAAAAAAATGTTTTGCAAAAATTGTTTAAATCCATTAAACATTCTCGACAAAAAATTCAGAGTTAAAATAATAACAAGCGAATATTACATACTAACGATAAGTAAGGAAGCTGAATTTTATTATTAGTATCTAGTGATTAATGCAGTGAAAAAATAGAAAAACAACTATAACACACAAGTGTTCTTAAATTTTATTAATAGTAACTGCATATTCAATTGGCTTAGGGAAGACTATACGTACAAACTAAAATTCGATACCTTTATTTCGCGCTACCCGAAAAATTGTAAATAATGAAGCGAAAGAAATAGCGCCCCGGCGCGGTTATTGAATTATTCACGAAAAAAATGAATGGATGACCCAAGAAAAAAAATTCGGAAAAAAATCCCGGCCCGGAATTCCCGCGGAGACGTGCCCACAAAGCTTCGGGATTTCGAGTCAGATAAACGGATGAAATATTTAAGTAAATTGTTACCTACGTTACTTACATTCATGCGCTGCAAACCTTATGTAGTACACAAAAAAAAATTAATTCCATAAAATGAGGAAAAATGATTATGTGATATTTTATTTGTATGTAGGTGTACTTACTACCTAGTTTTTTTGATGGGTGGTTAAATATGCAGAGCGTTTTAAATGATGAAAATAAGAAAGAGTGATGTATGTAATAATGTATGTCTATAATGTATAAAAGGGCCCAATGTGTTGACCCAACGTGTACAGTGCCAATTGGCTATTGAATTTGCTAATTTGTGATTGGCGACCAACGTTGGTAGATAAACCGATTGTTATCTTATAAAAGGATCTTAGAGAATTGAGAATTGCAAAACATACTGAGCACTCGACGAACGTGTAATCACTATTCCACTTATTGGCCCAATTTTGGTCCAACTAGTTGGCTAAACGTGTACTGAGCACTAATGTTTATGGTATATGGGTGCAACAAATAAGACAACTTCTAAAAGTCTTATAAAGAAAAAAGAAAGAGTTATGCAGTGTGGGATAGCAAATCTCTCGCTCAAACCACTGTTATTTTAAAATATAATCTTTCTTTGTTCAACTCAAAGAATGTAGTCAAAATTTAAGTTTAATATTTCTGAATGGAATATTTTGGGTTTTAATTCTGTATCATCCTAAGGAAAAAAGAACCAGAAAGCTTTTAAAAATAGAGAGGTAGAAGTGATTATAGTCTATATTTTTTGAGATTTTTCATCAAATACGCACATAATGTAACACCACTTATTTTTCATTCCAACAAATTATATAATTAGTATATTGTTATACCTACTATTAATACAGATTTTAGGAAATATAATAATATAGCTTTCCCAAAAAAGTGTTAAATACAATTTCAATAACTCAATAGAAATAAATTTATAAACTTGCATTATAAATCTACTTTAAGCACCACTTTTAGATAGTCTAGTTTAAAGCTAAACAAATATGTACCTAATAAAAATATCACAAACGACAAAGAGAAATGGTATTTACTACATTCCGAATAAATTTAATATATGCACCGAAATGCAGCACAATAGCAGCAGTTTAAAAAAACCGTAATATTAGGAACATTAATCATGTACCTAGCATTTTTCAGAGTCGAAGGTAACAAAGGAACTCGTCGTGTTACAGGGCACTATCGACTCTATTCAATTTATTCAGAATACATTTTTGATTAATTGGTCGTGTGCGAATAATTTTTCGAGTTTATCGTTAAAATAAATATTTCATAGAATGCTCGATAACGGTGACAGGTAGCGATGTCTTGAATTAAAAGTTAATTAACCGAACGTACATGTATAATTCTATTAATCTAAGTGAAAGTACGAATGTTGATAACGATTAGGGCACTATACAAAAGAAAACTCACCAGTGAAATATCGCAGCCGGAAAAATCACAATTAATTTCATCTAACTAAAATTCTCACTATCAATCGTTTTGGAAAAAATCCAATCAGCCGTGCATTATCACAAAAGAAATGAGTAAGTTATTGCAAAAAGAAAATGAACGGACAGGCGATGCACCTCTACCCCTGAACGCCGGCTACTGACTGTTCGTTTTCGGAAACGGGGACTTCCATAATACCACGGCCGCCTGTCAGTCTAAAAGCCGGTATTTCGAAAGCCGACCGACCGCGAGGTTACCCGACCATCTGACAAACAGCTGATTCTGTTGCTACCTCGATTTTCAGCGGGCCGTTCTCCGGCTTTTCCGGTGGGGGAAGCGAAATCGACGTTATTTTTCAGCGCGCCGCGTGCTGTTAAGCGGTTGAGGTAGGTAGCGATTATTGCATCGATGTCGTATTCCCAGAACCGGTAAATCGTACTTACGTATAGCATGCTCGTATGTATGGTTTGCTCTTCGTACAATGCGATATCGCCAAGAAATTCCGTCAGCTAACGATCGCTTTTCCTCCGATACCATCTCGAGAGGCGTAACTTTAATGTGTCCATTGATCGGTGTGGTTCTCGCTTTAAAATGCTACCTACTGCATTTTGTAACGGCCCGCGAAAATATAGGTACCTACTGGTTTAGAGTATAGAAAAATACTCCCGGGAAGCCATTAAATTTATATACCTACATTATACAGAATATTTCCTGGAAATGTGTAGAAAATGAAGGAGGCGAGGGTTGGCGAAAATTTCGAATTTTTTTATATAAACTAGATACCAAAAACGCACCCTTCCGCGAAAATATACAATTTTTATATGAATGAACATTTTCCTGGGAATAAGTTATTAAATATACGGAATATACGGATTATAAAAAGTATTTCCTATTTCCTTGGCACTTGTAAAGAATTAAAGAAGTTTCTTCTTGACGAAAATTAGACTTATTCTTTTCATAGAAACTATACGTAGATACCATAAACCTAACGCGAAAATTACAATTTTAATAAGGACGAAAATTCACCTGGACTGTTATTAAATTTACGGATTAAACAGAGTATTTCCTCCGATTTCCTAGGATATTGTAACGAATGAAAGAAGTTTTTCCTTTGCGAAAATTGAACCTATTTTTTTATAGAATCTAGATACCAGAAATCCGCGAAAATATACGTACCTACAATTTTTACAATAATGAAAATTTACCTGGAAAGTTGTTATAAATTTACGGATTTCATTTATACAGATTATTTCCAAGATAGAAACTTTTAATGAAAGTTTTTTCATTGACGAAAATTAGACCCATTTTTTTTCATAAAAACTATATGCATAAAAACTATTTTGTAGGCAAAAAGGCGAACCTTTCTGATCAGTACAAAAAAATGATTTGATTAATTAAAATGTCAAAAATAATCTGACAGTTACCTACTATAGATGTTATTCTTAATAATTTCTTCGATTTTAATAATATTGAATGTTTTATTAAGTACGCTCTTTTTGACCACAAAAAATTAATTCACTGTAATTAATTACAGTATTAATTACGTAATTTCTAAACGATTTCTAAACTAAACATGTGTTACGTATTAGCAGAAAACAATATTATCAATTTTCATTTTTCCTTAACTACAGGAGATCGGTATCAATAGTTTGAAAAATCTATACCTCATTTTAAAATTGAGCTGCATATTTTATATAGAAAAGTCATTATAAGCACACATCATTAACAAATGCACATCAGCTATTAATTTTCCTATCTAATCAAATCTATTCAGGACAGCAATATTAATAATAAAAAATTGAGTAGGTATATCTTAAACAAATAGATTCGTATAATACCAACATTATCATAAGAGGTCCACAATTTAACAAAAAAATAACGAGTGAAAGCTGTGTAATTGGTTTATTTACTTCTAACGTTTTTTTTTGTAAATAATTTAAATTATTTCTTGATGTAGACCATAACTACACGCCGGCAATCATTAAACGTAATTTTCAAAATCGCTATTACGTAGAGAAAAGTATTTAAAAGGAACAAACATCGTAAAATCTTATTAGGTATTATTATTAACAAAGATTAAATTTCACTATATATATTTAACGTTAAGAATCCAGCAGAATTACAGCCATAGAAAGATAGGAAGTGGGTCAGTTCGAAAAAAGAAAAAAATTATACGCTATACATACGAGAACGAGAACCATATTAAAAAGGTGTGGTAAAAGATGAAATTTCTAATAATACAGTTGGGTCATAGACACTGTAATTTTCGAATCATTAACCGTTTTAAATGAACCAAACCGAAGAGTAATAATAAGTTTAGTTTATATCATGAGATGTGAACGTAATCGACTCGCAGCTTGTTACAATCACTGTCACATCATTGCATGCCTGTGGGCTCAAGAAATGCTCTGGAAGTCTAAACCACGCAATATGTTTAATGTCATTAAAATAATCACAAAATATATTTAGGGTTCAATTATACGTCATTACGAAATTTAAGGTCGAATAAATGGAACTTCTTTAACGATGTTATCAAGTTACAAGAAAGAAAAATAAAATTTACCTGTATATCAAAGAGTAATTTTTATAAGTAAATTTATCTCTACTTTGTTGGGGTAGTCACGAAATAATCCAAGCTCCTGTACTGAACGATTATCCCTAGAGATTCCTTTTCGACTTTGGGATCTAAGTTTTTTTTTATTTTTCTTTCTTTTACTTTCCGTTATCTCTTGCCTCGGACGTACTGTATAAATACATACCTAAGTGTTTTTTAAATATAAATGGAACTAAAAAAATTGTTTTTCTTTTTCGCATTTTGCTGGTTTGCCCACAGGGGAGACGTATTTCTACCCGTTTGTCCATCTCCAGGGACCAGTTTTAGAAACTCGACAGCTTATCCTTCAGTAATCCAGGTTCGCGATAGATTTATCGCCGTTATATATTAATGTGATTGTTTCTGGAGAATATACGAATCACCAGTGCACTAAAGGATTCCCTTTTCTGCATGAATACCACATATAAGACTTCTAAATTCGATGTTACAGAAATTCAGTTAATTCGAATAGTAATTCAAGATTTGAGCAAAATAATGAATATTCAAAACATCCATTTTCTGTGAAACGCTCATAACTCTTGAATTCATGCCCTGCTGTTTCCTATTGCTCGTTGGGAAGAGGAAGCAGAGAGTTTTATGACTAAAAAAAACAAAAATTTTCGTATGCTCGAATTTATAATCGAGTGACACCAGTGCAAGTGGAACTGCAGAACTGGTGTCTTGGCACGGGCTTTCATATTAGAGTTAGTTGTTCAGGTGCATTGAACTTTCACTTGTGAACCGGCTGGGTTGCAGCTGATCGATACTCGTGTCGGTGCTTTTTTCACGCGAATCTGTGTTAGAATTTCCATGCTTTGTTCTACTGCCGAATGTGGAATGGGAAAAACAGGGAATAAGAAAAACCAATTAAATTTTGCGACATGGAGAAAAATTGGTTAAAATAGGTCAACATTAAAAAAATATATACAATATATTGGTTTTATTGGTTTCCCTTAACGATGCTTTAACGATACGTTTTTGTATAGAGAAATAATACATTATGGATAAGAATCATTAAAATTCCACATGTTCAGTGACAGGGAAATTGTTTCAAAAAATGGTGGAGGCGTTTCTACTGCTTCACCTTTTTCCCAAAAAAATAAAATTACTTGGAATGTACTATTTTCATATAAATACTATCTTTCATTGCAAGTATTATACTAGTTTATATCTGACATTTATGACATATAATGTACCAAACAATTAAGAAAAATCCTCGCTATCTCAATAAGCTTCCACCACAAAGTGTTTTTAACTAAAATATCCAATTTGCGTTCGCATGTTTCTAGGAATACCAACATAAGTAACTGCCATTCGCCCGCTTAAAAATTAGGCGTATTGTTAGAAGGCGGTCATAAAGGAAGCGGGGTCGTAAATTTGTAAAAAACCTCACATAAATTTTGACAGTCTTATCTTTCTCATGCGCTATTTTGATTTTTTATTGCTAATAAAATACGCAGTGGACGAAGCCAAAAGGTTTTACAAGCTTGACGAAATTGAAGATATTACTGGCAATAGTTCTTTCAAGTTCGAAGAAAGCTATGGGAAAACAATAGATTTACTATCTATACATGTGGTTAAGACATGCCTAATCGAATTGTTTAATATACAGGAGAATCGTAAAGAATTGAAAATATCGAAATTTGACCAATATCAAAAGAAATCATAAGTTCTTATACCAATCTATTTACAAGGCATGCTTAGCTTAATCGTCAAATTTTTGGTTTGTAGAATTTTTCCTTGGAACTTTTGAAATCCCTCCGTATACACGTAATGCCGTTTTCCCTTATTATTTGTAACATTGAAAAGAAAAAAAACCTTTTTGTATCTTTATTATAAGATACCAAAATGATGAGACTGCTTTGGAGGAAATAACAAAAGCCTCCTCAAGAAGGATTACAGTCATGGCGTACAAACAAGACTCCGCAAAGCTAAATCTGATTTTTCTTTTCAAAAAAGAACCGAAAAATTAATCGGCTTAAAACTCAGTAATTACCTATGACAGACAGGAATTTTCTTACAGTAATAAGTTTGACACAGATTGGCGAACCCTTCGTGCCCGTCAATCAATTCTTAATGAAAATAACATCAATTTTGTAGTATTAATGTTTTCATCAAACAATTAATAATCCATTAAGTACCTACCAATATAAAATTTAAAGTAAGCACATTTTATTTACAATTTTAAACGGAACTTTTATATAGACTCTATAAGGTCAAAGAAACGGGTCTACGTCTTTATATAGCCCGTTTTAACGGCCTTCCCTGGACAATATTATTAGCAAAATGTTCATAAATCATCACTATCAGTTATTTTTATAGCTGCTTGCATTGACAATTAACCAGATACGTGATTTTATGGCATCTAAAGACGATAGAGGCGAAAGACGTTAGCTATAGAATAGAAAAGAGGGAACGTATCAAAGTGCATGCACTCTAGGGGTGGGCGATTTTATTGGGGATGCAGAGAAGACTTTAGTAGTTGCATTAAAGCACATAAAATGATAAGAACCGAGGGAGAGACATCACGGAATTTGTTTACTAGATTATGCATTAGTAGGACTCGTTTAAGCTGAAGTTTTAGTGTAATATAAAAGATTTATCATGAGAGTTATTAACATTATTTTTTTAATATTTCGCTTCTAAAATCGTACACTTTGTAATTAGATATTTAAATTATTTTAAACAGTTACTTTAATAGAATGACTCAATCAAGGAATGTTCTCAAATTAATGAAACATACGTCCGTATAAACATTCATGACGTGCAAATGCCGTGTTGGTATTTGTAATGGTTGTATTCGAATATTTTCACCGCGAAGAGTAGCCAAAAAATTTCAATTTAATCTAAATATCGTAGAATGCTTGGAAGCGATTCGAAATATTCTTGGCGAAATTGCAAATTATTAACACATTGTAGCGCGATGGCAAGAAAATATATGGAGCTTTAATGAGTTGAAATTAATACTGGAAACTACAATATGCATAAAATTTGACGAAAATATGCTTAAATGATTGTGTGTAGGTTAATAATGACGTTTTTTTAGCAACTAAGTGTAGGCACTATTTCGAAATCATTTCAATGCCAAATAATTAATTCTAATGTAAACTCGTCTTTCGAACTATTAGCTAAAATTGCTTTCGACAAAATTAAATCTAACCTCTGGTCTATTTGGGCGATTGAATTCACCTAGACGTAATTGATTTACTGTGAAAGGCAAACATACAATGTCTATGCTATAGATAGAATATAATATGCTGATACGTCCCTAATGATTTTCTGGATTCATTCTTTACGAACGCGCCTTTTGGGCTGAACGGAAAAGGCGAAGGAGAAGCAATAACTTCGTAAACGCCAACTCGGTGATGGATTTTTCAATAATTTATCACCCCATTACTAGTTCGCATTTATCTTCTGTAGATATTAATTTTCTAACATAAGAGCATATTATATTACTGCTGTTGGTTGCTTATAAGAATACAATGGGAGCGATTGATTTTTGTGCTAGAATAAATATTATTCTTTCCCTTAGAGTTTGAATTATTAACAAAATTTACATCGTTCAATTCATAATAAATGACGTTTACATAGTTTTTGACCTAATAATATTTATTTTATTTATTTATTTATACATATAAAACTACAAAACAACATGAAGTTGGTACAGTAGAGTAAAGAAAAAAAAAATTACATTATATAGATATTAAGAATATACAAAATAAATTTTAAGGTAAAGATCTAGAACTCTAGAAATCTAGTTAAAAACTAAATGGTAGATAATAAGCGATCGATTATTTGTTTAAATATTTCTTGACTTCAGTTTTAAATCTGTCCATCTTTTTTAAATTTCTCAAAGAATTTGGAAGTTCATTAAAGTTTTTAAAACAACTGTAGCTTGGTAAATTTCTGCCTTTTTCACTTCTCACTTGATATTGAATTTCAATTCTGTCTGCATTTCTGGTGTTGTAGTTGTGGATTTGTGAAGTAATTGTTGGAATGATCGAGCTTTTTAGATATCCATTTTTTATCTTGAAGGCCAATTTACACTTTTCTAAGGCTGCTGTTTTGTTGATAGGTAAAATTGGTAGAGAAGCATATAATTCACTAGTTCTAGTTTCATATGGTATATTGTATGTATTTTTTATAGCTTTATTTTGCAATCTTTGAATTCTATTTAAGTTAAATTTTGATGTATTTGACCATATTGGTATTAAGTAGAGAAGAATAGAGTGAAAGTAAGCGTTGTAGATCATTAACTTTGTTTTATTTGAAAAGTATCTGTTAATTACTTTAACAGCTGCAACCAAACTGCCCAATTTTTTGAATATGTTGTCAATATGTTCATTCCAAGATAATTTTTCATCCACTACCAGTCCCAAGTATTTATGTTGGCGAACTTTTTTAATTTCCTGATTATTTATAACGATTTGTAGCTGTGCGTGGTTTCTTCTTTTGTAATTAAATTGTATGTAGACAGTTTTTTCTTCATTTAGCAGTAATTTATTTGCACAGAGCCACGAGGAGAATGTTTCTAGATCATTATTGATTTTGGATTGTAGAGTTTCTTGATCTTTTTCCGAGTAAATGAAGACTGTATCGTCAGCAAACATTAGATATCTTGCATTCAGGTGGACTTTCTGCAAGCTCTCTACATACATTAAGTATAAAAAAGGTCCGAGAACAGTTCCCTGTGGCACTCCACTTTTACTTTTCCGAGTCTCGCTGATAACACCATTGACTTCCACACATTGGCTTCTTGTTGTTAGGAAACTGGATATTAAATTGTAAGCTGGACCTTGAATTCCCATATTGTGCATTTTGTATAGAAGTTTTTTGTGGTCAACAGTGTCAAAAGCTTTTCTTAAATCAAAGAAAATAGCTACAACATTTTTTCCGTCTTCATAGTTACGAATAACTTCTTCAAGTAGATCTGTTACGGCACCAAGCGTTGAACTATCTCTCTGGAATCCGAATTGTGCTCCAGAAATCTCCAAAAAACTAACCAATCTTGCCTTAATAACTTTTTCTAAAATTTTTGAAAATATTGAAACTATAGAAATGGGTCTGTAGTTTGAAGGGTCCGTTTTATCTCCTTTCTTCTTGACAGGTACTATTTTTGAGGCTTTTAGAATTTCAGGATAACTTCCATTTTTCAAGACGTCATTTATTAGCCGAAACAGTTTTTCTTTAATTATGGGGAATATCTTTTCTAAGTCAAAGAATGAAATATTGTCAAGGCTTTTCGATTCAGACTTTTTTAATTTCTTAACTATTTCTAAAAGTTCAGCTTCTGAACATGGTTTCATGTATACTGATTTATCATTGATTATTTCGGAAAACTCAGTATCACATTTTTTTATATTTTTTTGTAAATTGACAGCTACAGTTGCATAGTATTCGTTGAGAGCGTTGGCAATTTCTACATTTGTGTTAAATTCCAAATTATTGTATACAATCTTATCTACGTTCGTATGTGTAATTTTTTGTTGATTGAGCTCATTATTAATAAGTTTCCATATCCTTTTAAAGTTCTTACTGTTATTTTCAAGTTTTCTGCTAATATATTCCTTTTTAGCTTTTCTAATTAAATAATTGGTTTTATTTTTTAATAGTTTAAATTTATTTTTGTAATAATTGTTAGTAGGGTGTTTTTTCATTTGTTTGTAAACTTTATCACGTTGTGTTGTTATCTTTTTTATATTGTGATTGTACCATTCATTGTTATTGTGTATTTTTATCTTTTTACTTGTCGTGCTGATATCTTTGCCTTTCATTATCAGATGAATGAAGTCCGAGAAATTCTCAGTTTTATTCAGGTTGTTTTCCAATAAAAAACCTTTAAACTTTTTGTAATCAGTGTACGTTATATCTCTATAATTAATTGTTTTCTGTTTAGGATTACTCATTTCCATTTTTATGTATAAGAGTTTATGATCAGAGATAGCCGTATCTTTAGATTTTATTTTACATTTTTTATGTACAGGTGTAATGACATGGTCAATTATAGTTCCTTTAAACTTTTTTCTTCGAGTTATAATAGATCTACTATTCAGGTTTTGAATCACGTAATTGTTTAAATTCACTACGTCTTTATAAGTTTTTTCCGAATTATTATTTTTCTTAGCATCAATATTAACATCACCCAACAAAATAGTTTTGTTATTCCGTTCAAGCATTGATTGTAAATGTTGGTAAAAACTGATTTTATTATTTATTGGGGTCCTATACACTACGTAGAAATCATAGTCCCAGTTATGTAGATTCACTCCAACTAGATTACATTTTTCAGGAATATCTGGTTCTAAAGTAGAAAATTGAAGGTCATTCCTTACATAAATGGCAGTACCCCCTCCACGTGTGAGCCTGCAATTGTGTGAGGCTGTATAATTTTTAATGCAATAAAATTGAGTTTCGTCTTGTTTCAACCATGTCTCAGTTAAGGCAATTATATGTGGTTGCTTATATTTTTCAATATAATGGTACAGATTTTCAAGTTTGTATTTTTTTCTAATGGATCTAATATTCAAGTATAAAATACGCAAGTGTTTGATGTGTTCAGTGTCTATTTTTTTTGTTTCTCTTCCAAATTTTGCAAATAAGATTCGGATGAAATGTGGATGATTTTGCTATCTTCTGTTTTTCTAACAAATATTTTACCATCACTATACCAAGCATATTTAAATGAATACTTTTTTTTAAATTCACGAGCTAGTTTGAACATCTGCTGGTTTTTCAAAGTCATATCATGGTTGATATATATGGTTTTATTTTCAGTACTACCAAAATCTTTTGAGTTTAGATTTTTATCTTTTTTTGCTTTCATAATTTTGTTCTTGATATCTAGACTATTAAAGCATACTTTTATTTGTTTGGTCTCCTCTTTTCCAACAATCCTACACTTGAAGTCTTCTTTCGTGATCTGCACTCCCAATTTTTCTGAAATCGACTTTACTGTTTTCTCAATTTTTTTATTATCGACATCTTCTTCTATTGGGAGCCCATTTATCATAATATTGTTTTTAAGCGACTCCTGTATCGAATGCTCTTTAACCAAATCAAGCTTTTCCATTTTCATTTTCAACTCTGTGTTTTCCGTTCTTAGCTCGTTTAACTCGTTTCTGAGTGACTTATTCTCTTTTTTCAATTTGTTGAGTTCTTTTAATATCTGTGTATTTTGTGTCATAACACTATCAAGTTTGGTTTCAAGGTTTTTTAGAATTTGATCTCTCGAATAAGAGACTTTTACTTGCTTTTTTGTTGATTTCTTCTTTTCTTCAATAACCTCTGCATCAGAATCCAAGTCTTCCGATTCAGAGTCACTTTCACTAGAACTTTCCTCGCCGGCTTCCTCTTGTAAACATTCTGCGCATGTCCATTTTCTTTTATTTGATTTCACCTCCTTTAGCTCAGTTTCCTTAAGATTAGTGCATTTTTCAGTGCCATGGACCCATCCTCCACAAAGTCCATCACATGGTATCTTGTAATGTCCCTTGCTGATAGCTTTTTCGCAAACATCGCAAATGGTATCCTTGAGTTTTGGTTTAGACTGCTTTTTCTTCTTGTTCATCTTATCAGCGAAGTGAACAGCTGGACTTCTGTTTTATACGATAAAATGTTAAAATTCACGGAAAGATTTTATGTGCAATGTTTATACTATTTTACTTTTTCACTTTAAAAAAAAAATTTCACTACCGACTTAGAATAACGGCAATGTATTTGTAGCTTTTTTATAACAATAAAAAAACACTCTTATTGCTGTTGAATTGTGGGAGCGATTTTAAACACGTGTTGCTTCGACAACTCATTAACAACTTATATTACTATATTTACTATTTCAAGGATGCTACAAAATGTCTAAGTAGAAGAATATTCTACCTAATTTTATTACAATTTAAGCTTGCTCTATCCTCCACATCTATCTTACCGGTAATTTAAAAAAATTAATAATGAAACTTACGGTTAAAAATAATTATGCATTCTCTCGAAAAAAACCCTATTACTCGACTTTGTACGTAACTTTAAAGAGAATTAAACTCGGGAGTTTATGAATATTTAACGTCGGGCACAAAGCGTTTTCGACTAAAAAAGCAGATTCGGCTACGGCCGGTTTATTTTTTAATTTCGCCTAATTTGGAAGTCATTTATCCGAGAACAGACGATCGGGGCACGGAGGGGCAGTCCTCTTCGAGCCCGATTTTCATAGTATAAATTATTACACCCCAATGATCTTATACATATTCACTGTAGAGTTTCGCTTTCAAAAGCGGCGTTGTAGTAAATTACCCTATTCCTTTATTATTTATGGGAATTATGTTGGAGACGCAACCCCGCAGGGACGTATTCAGAATCGGCCAAGAGCGAAAGGGAAACAGTACAATCCACAAGTTCGATTGTATCTAATGTTATATGTAGAGAAACTGATAAATATTTTCATTGAAAATATTTTTTACATATTGTGTACTGACAAATTATAAACCCCAGTTAGAAGAGTGACAACTTGATAACTAAATATACAAGTGTATAGAAAATTGGCACGTATTGAAGCATTAAACACACTGCGAGAATACACATTTTGATCATAAGAAAACATTTCGGCTCTTTCCAAGTTGAAGAAATTTCATTCGGTGGTTGGTTAGGATTAAAGTCAAAGAGAAGGAGAACGGAGAAGTTGTTGTTTTAGGCATAATAGGCCTTTCAGCATGATTTTAATTCCATATAACTTGCGTGGATCTCGCAAAAAATCTTCGTCTCCGGAAACCGCCCGTACATACGCATCCCCTCTGGTTAAACAATGAACATCACAATTAGACAAAACAAGGGTTGAAGTTCGGAACGGTAGAAACGCCGCAGATGAGCCCCGTGCAAAGGTCTCGTCCTTTATAGCTCGCCAGCCACTTGCCCGAGACTGAGGAGATGTGTGCCAAAAACCATTATTTCTATTACCTGTAACCGACTACATTTCGAACGGGTACCGCACGGTTTACCGAGCACGAGCCTTGCATATATTAAAGGAAGTTTCGAGGAAATACTTTTAAAGTTCGCATAAATCGAAAAACATTAAAAATTTTCCTGGAACACCGCGAATATCCTCATTACAAGCCAAAACTGTTCGACCGTGGAGAGTATAATGGAGGAAAGGAGTCGTTTTACGATCGCAATTGTTCGGGTGCATTAATCACTCGGCAAGTAGCAAGTAACATCATTCGGCCACTTGGCAACGGAAAATCTAACTTACGATTTTCAAAATTTCACGATTTTACGATTGCGATTTCTGCATGTCTTTATGAGATAATAAACCCCAATATCACTCTGGATCCATTGGAGTACATACGCAATGATTTGTTAATAAAATATTCCATATATCTAACACATTATTAACTTCTAAAAAAACTTTTGAAGAAATATACACCAATACAAACTAACACGTATTATAAATATTTTCGCGAATAATCAGTTATTATTTGCAAATTTAATGATAGCTTCCTTTGATCCACACTGCACTGGTAGGAGCGTGGGCGTTGTTATATTCGAAACAAAAACAGAAAACAGAATGGTGCAACATTGCAATGCAATTATGATGTGCGTTCATAATTCAACAGTTTTCATTGTGGAATATAAAATTATAACGAAATGAAAGCCTTCATCAGTTCGTTGAACTTCGTTAGCGTGATCCCATTCGACGGTGGATCGCGAACTTACGAGTACTCTGTAATTTCGAAATTAGATACTCAAAATTATTCGCCAGCGACTATAAGTATCCTCTTAGGTTTTAATTCATATCTAATATTTGTTACATCACAATTTTATG